TAGTGACTGATATCACCTGACCGTGGTTGGGCGTCTCTTCTAGACGCTTGTTCATGGGGATCACGTGACCATGAGCGACGGTACGTTTCGTAACATAAGCTTCCCTCTCCAACCGCCAAGACCCTTGGTGATTAAACCATAAGATCCTTTCTTCGCTGTTTGTGCTTCCGCTTCCAGGAAGGAAGTATTCTTGAAACAGTGTGCGTGGAGCTGTCGTGTGATTCCATGAAGGATTGATCATTCGTGCCGATGCTTGACTGTTCTGGTGCAGGACTGCCCAAAGATAAGTATCGCTTTTCGACTTGATCAGCCCAAGAAGTCTGATTGGCACTTGATGATTCCGAATCACTGTTAAACAATTCGACAGTCCATCCACTGCGCTGCACGTGTCGGTTTGAGGGACTCAGAGGAGTTTCTTGCTTCGCATTGCTGCCAGTGCTTGGATTCGAGGAATCAATACTGGAGTTTCATGCATAGGCTGCCTTGGGATGCTTGGGGGACAATGAATTGGGGATTCGTCCTGCATTCCATCGTTCGTGCTTTCGCGGTGGTCGCGACCTTAATCTGTTACTGTTGTCGGAAGTAGTATCCATCCGATACGGCTTTGGGCATTCGAATGCATGATGTCCGACACGATTGCAGTTCCAGCATTGACCAGAGAACTGTCCTTGTCCCGGTTGTGAATGGCGAGAATCTTCGCGAGTTCCTTTAAATGGCTGATTGATCCATTGGTTAACGAATGGTGAAGACTGCTGGTCAGACTTGGTCGACTGCCGCTGCTTTGTCTTCTTCTGTTTGCCTTTCTGGTTAGGACACATCTTCTCCCGTTGGCTGGGCATGCTGTTTACGGAAGAGGAGGATGTAGACGAAGTACTTTCATCGTTGTCCTCTTGTCATTTCTTGTGAAATTTTCTTTGGACAATGGCCTTAATTCCACGCCATTCTTTTTGACTGAGGTCGAGCGATGCCATAAGTACCTCCTTCCATATTGATGTAGGGAAGGCCGTCTGGTCGTTATGCGATGCATGCGTATGTATGGCACCAATCCGAATGGTATTCATGCCAAGAATATGTTCGGACATTCGATCGATATCCATAGGTTCGTCATCATCTTCTTTAACTTCCTTTTTCTTCTGATCGACACGGTGGTCTCGATTGCCACCTCCGAGAAGAAGCTTGACAAGCTTTGCATTGACCAACTTTGTTACTAGTTGCTCAATCTGCTTTTGCATCTTCTTTGTGATCGACGGATCTTTTGAGGGTTCTTTTGATCCGGTAGACGCGTGTGCATCTTTCTTCTTAATTGAAGAAGGCTTCTTCTTCTTTGATTTGACAACTTGTATGGGCTGTGCCTTCTGCAAGGTTCGATTGACGTTTGGCTTCTTTGCGGGGCATTGATCCATCTCGTGTCCAGGTTTTCTGCATCGATAGCATAGGCGTTCCTTGACCGGATGGCTCCGCACTTGTTCTATTCGTCGTGCCCTGTCGACGTCCATTGCATTGGGATCATCTATATCCATCGAGTCTCCTTCATCTATTGAATCGCCCTGATCCATATGCATGATGAAATCGAAGATATTGCTTTTTCCCTTATGGACGTTTCGAAGGTCGTTGACTTGTCTTGCACTGTCGCAAGCATCCTCATACATGATTGGAGGATTCGAAGTAAGGAAGACTTTTTCTGCCAACTTCGATTCCAAGCCTCACTTGAAATCAATGAGCTTGGTATAGTCATCGTCGATTTCAGCATAGCGAAATAGGATATCGAGATTCCCGATGTAATCGTCGACCTTCCCTTTCTTCTGCCTACACTGATTGTCGAGTAACATTTGCCATGCTTGGTCCTTGGTTGCGACTCCTCCATACTTTTCTTGGAGTGTCATCCGAAAGTCGCGATAAAGTCCTAGATCATCCGATCTTCCTGTAGATGCGATCATCGCTGCTTCCCATGATTCGACCCATTTTGCTGCTGCCGAACCAGGTTTAAAGTGGGATAGGATGAACGTTATTTGACTATAGTCGTCATTGTATATGTGGATGTTTGCCTGGAGATGTCGTTCTCCAGCCTGGAGGAATGACGTGAATGTTCGCTTATCTCCTGCGAACGGTCGGATCTCGCCTAGCTGTAATTCCTCCTTTTCCAATTCTGGTTGTGCAGAATTATACAGTGCGTAGAGATTCATTTCCAGGAGATATTCCTGCCACTGGAATTCCAGACACGTCGGTCCTGGATGCACTGGTGGTCCCTGGGCTGAATCATACCGTGCTCTGATGGGATTTTGACGAGTAGTTCCCATACTACTTGTTTGCGCCATGGCCGACTGTGGCCTTTTTGGTACTCCGATTGGCGTTACTGGCCTTCCTCCTTCCGAGGATGTCCTGGTTAAAGGTGTCGTTCTGACTCCTTTCCATAATCCTAACCCATCATAGGGTTTCTTGGATGTTGGCGTAACGCTAGAGTCGCCACTCCTTAGTAAACTTGGATTGATGCCGAGGGGATTCCATTCCTCCCGTCCTTTATCCTTGTTTGATCCTTCGGCGTCCTCTGGCCTTGGATTGACTTGTATTACTTCTCCTCTGGGAAGATCCGTATGCGTCAGGAATTCGTCCTCGAAATCCTTTGCAATGTCCTTCCTATTATTGATTACCCGTTGAATTTCTTCAACGTCGTGTTCGAGCTCTCGGAGCTCCTGTTGTTCTTCTGAGATTGTAAGGTTCCCCAGCCGTTGTCGTCTTCGCAATGCAATGGCTCGTGTATTTCTGACATCTGCGAACCAATCCAATTCTTCATTGGTTGCATCATTCCATGACAACAGCGTCATGTATCCTTTGTCTCCTTGATAGCCTACCGGCTCATCTCCGGAGTCTGATTCGTATCCTGGATTCTCCCGATATGACATCTTGCCTTTTCTTGGTGGCCCTTAACCAATTGTTCGTCGACTGCACCGGTCCACGTCTCCACACAGAGTTCTTCTGGATAGTCCCACAGACTACCGCTAGTTCCTTGAATCTTCTTGATTCCGAATTGCCTTCCCTGGGAAGGGCTTTAGCACGTCTTCAATGTGTGCCTCAGTTGAGGGCTTCTCTTCTGGATTACTACACAGGTAACCGCTAGTGCTTGAGTTCGATAAACACACAGATTTGATTGAACCACACAGGTTCATGGGTGACCACACAGGTTCCCCTTCCTTGTCGTACCAAGGTAACCACACAGGTCCTGGAAGTGACCACACAGGTCTTGATTCTCCTGTAGTGTCCAAGTAGACCCCACTTCTTGTCAGTGGTTCTAAACCTAAACAGGTTGACCTATAGAAAAACCTCTTCCAAATGTTATGAAGCGTTCCCTGCTAGAACGTTCAGAACCACATGTGCTTTCTCACACGTACTAGTCCACAACGTGGACAGAGACTTAGGTACCAAATATACCTAACGTCCCCAATAGTCAGGCAGACTATTAGCAGGGTTTATAGTGTGGTCAAGCCTAGTAGACGATATAGCAGTGAGGTCCTCACTCTACCCTTGCTAGGCCTTGGCCGCTACAGCTACTGCACATTCACCCGCAGGTTACTAGGTTCGCTGTTCTGACTCTAGCAAGTGTACGAGCTTACTACCTCTTGAGAGCGAGTACGATTGCACGAGGGTTCTAGAACTGAGAACGTTTAGAGTCACAGGTGGAAGAGGTTGTCTTCCAGCTGCTGCTCCGCCCCTTTATATAGTCGCAGACCTATAGTCTGGGGTACTAGTACAAGGGGTCCTCTACACTGCCTCAGTGATAAAGATAGGTGAAACACACTGGAGCTTAGCTGCTGCGAGCCAGGTAATTGGCGAGCTAAGAAAGCGTAGGTGAAATACCTGAAATATGAAATGAGAACCAAAGTCCTGGATCGCAGATCCTGGGGTTAGAGTTTGAGAACCCTAGAAGCTGTCCTCGGTCACATAGTGACTAGAAGCTGTCCTGGGTCACATAGTGACTGATATCACCTGACCGTGGTTGGGCGTCTCTTCTAGACGCTTGTTCATGGGGATCACGTGACCATGAGCGACGGTACGTTTCGTAACAAAGAGAAACAAGAGCGATGTGATTCTTCTTCTTGCTCGTTGGGTAGCGTTGCTCGAAACCTGAGGGATCGAGGCAGTGCATCTCTGCAGAGATCCATTGCTATGCTCTCCTTGACTCTTTGTGGCCCTTGACGTCGCATTGGATCATTGACTAACTCATCAAGTAGAAGTTGCCGCTTCTGCGTCTCTGGCATCTCTTGTGTCGTCACTTGGCTGGCCTTCAAACCCAAAAGTCAGTGGCAGCGTGTTATCGGTGCAGGACTGCCATAGGAAGATGTTATCTACCTGCAAAGCATACGCTGATGGTCTACATACCTCATGGTAATCCTGTGTTCAGCCAACAAGAGGTCTCTGATTGCGAACTTGTCTGTAATGTTGTGGTGTTGATATTCAATTAGTGCTGCAGCCACTCGAGGATCATCTTTAGTGGCTGGAAGACAGTCAGAAATGTAGCTGTCATCAAACGTCGAGATGAAGACTCACGACAATTCTTATGCTGATTCTTTCTAGTAGGATTCCTATTATATGATTGGTCGATTGCCGGTTCTTTGCTGCTGGGTTCATCATTGACAAGATCTGCCTGGCGCACCACATCTGACATTGCAAGGATGGTAGCAACAAAGGAGGTGATGGATTGTGCTGAAGATCAGTGCTACGGACATTCGAAGTGTGAGCAGCAGTCCGTAAACCCACTTAGCCATGCAGCTCAGCATGACTGGCTCCCGAACAAGAGGACGCCAAGGCACCGATGGCGAGACACTGACAGAACCTAATCATACATAAGGTCTGAGCTTCAGACAGATGACTTGCGACTTGCGACTTGTGACTTGCGACTTAGACCTGATCCTCCTCGGCAACCGTATCATGTTGAAACATGAACATCAATCAATATTCCCACAAAGAACCCTGTCAACACATCAAGAATCACAATTTTCTGAGAACTTGTGTGTGTGCCACAAAACTGTTGATAAGAGTGACCCTCAAAGATTAGTAAATACCTTGGGATCAAAATGTGATAAAAATATGATCAAAACTGCGTTAGAAAGCCATGATAATACGCTTTCCAATGAGCCCTTATACAATGTAGTTGACCCATTGGTTAAGGAGATATTTACTATACAAGTCGAAGTGAGCAATCTTATCAACACTTTTGTGGGTCACTGTATATTGTTGAAGGTGGGATTCAGCAGAGTTTGGTGTAGATTGCTACAGAGCTAAATCTACCATGTGCTTTGTGGAGGAGAGTAGGGTGTGCCATCTTCACAGGATATTCTAATGTTGAAGTATTACCTGTAACAATTCTGTCATTGTACTAGATCATAGCCCTGTACTTCTGTGCAATCAAACTGATCAATATTCTCTCCTGATATGGAGAGGAAGCTCAAATTTCCACGGGCAGAACTTGATATTTCTTCACAATGGTTATGCAATCTTATGTTTATGCATCCTGCACTTCAATTCTAATTTTAACCATGGGTTTTCTCAGGGCAGGACTTGATGTATATTTTCTCTATTGGATTTCTCACGGAGAAATAATTCTCAGCATCGGGCTTCTCTGGTGATAGGCGGGTTCCGATTGGCCGGGTCGATGCGGGGTCGGCCGATGTGGGGAACCGGTGGACTCCGACCACATTTTTGCGGGCCTGCAACGCTCGACATGTTCCCGTCGACTACGACGTCCCCGTCTACTGTACCCTCACCTCATCATGAAACCCATTCACAAGCGCATCTACACCGTCCTCCCCCGTCCCGTACCCTCCCCGTCATGTCCCTCGACGCCCTCCAACCTCCCCCGCGTTCGCTCTAACTCCGCCTCGTCCGTCCGTTCGCTCTACACCATCAGCTCGAGTTCGTCCCCGCTTTCGTTCTTTGATGCACCCCCACAGCCCGCTCCTAGTTCGCGGCCCAGCAATTCCAACCTCGTTGCCTCCACGCGTCTCGCCGCCGAAGCCAAGGCCGAACTCGAAGGTCAGACCGACTCTCCTAATGTCGGACAGAACACTGGCCAGCCCCACGCGTCTCCTGGCGGTCCTCCTCCCTACTCGCTAGCTCTCTCTACGGGCCACGCTGAGTCCGTGTCGCACACCACAGCCCCTAATCTCAAGCCCTTCTTCCCTTACTCATCCTTCTCATCATCCTTCTACCACGGCCCGAGTCCGCAGGACGACGCAAAGGCCGACCGCGGATCCAAACGACAGCGTGTCCGCTACCATCTCGATATTGGGGCTTACGGGATACCCAAGCGCTCTCGAGGTGCCTGTATGGCTGGCTGCGACGGACGCGCGAAGCTTGGTCTCGATGATGCGCTGCAGCGACAGCGTGACCACGCAAAGTCCCTGAATCGCGCTGTGCAGGTTGGCGAGGATGCCTATTTCGTACATGGCAATGCCATGGGCGTCGCAGACGGGGTTGGCGGCTGGTCTAGGGTTCATCCAAAAGGTGAGTTTTCACTCGATGCCTGGGTAGGGTCATACTAACGATGTATGGCATCTTAGCTCATGCTGGCGAGAACGAGCCATCGCCTAGTGCTCTCTTTGCTCGCCGATTGATGCATTATTGCTCGGAAGAGGTTGAGGCAGCGGGTGCAGAGTCGGCACGGGACCATGAGTGTGTAATTTCGTCATGTTAGTTTGCGTTTGCTTACAGCGCTTGGCAGTCTACCTTTCGCGGGATTAGACTCGACGGATCTCTATGAAGAACTGCAAGACTCGTTGGAAGAACTAGAGGACGGCTTAGATGTCATGATGATTTTAGAGAAGGCCTACGAGAAGACGATGCGATCCCATGTGTGTACAGAAAGCGCAACTCCGGAATCTGAGATCGACGGGTTAGACACACCTTCGCTCGGCGCTTCAACCATCTCTCCCTCGCAGGGCGCCTCGAGCACTCGCAGCAGCGCTCCGTCGATGAGCTCACCACCATCACTCCCCGCGCCACAACATATTCCCCTCGCGGAAGGCTCGTCCACTGCTCTTCTTGCGATCCTCGAACATCCATCTTCCAAGTCTGGACTGCATGGAAGTACCCCGCATTTGTTCCACCCTATCGCACGGCATATTTGCGGCGATACCGGTATATCCGACCGCGGCGCCATCATCAAAATCGCACATCTAGGCGATTGCGTCGGCATGCTCATTAGAGGCGACGAGATTATATGGCGGACAGAGGAGATGTGGTGGAATGTGAGTGCGAACGATAACATTTTCCGAGACTTATGCTAATAGTGTTCCGTCCGCAGTTTAACACGCCCGTCCAGCTTGGCCCGGCATCGCCCACACGCCCACGCGATGCGCGCGTATTTACCGTCCCCGTGCAGGCGGACGACATCCTCATCCTCGCGAGCGACGGGCTGAGTGACAACCTTTGGGACGAGGACGTGCTCGACGAGGTTGTGCGCTTCCGACGGCCGTTCCAAGGCGCAGTACAGCGCGCAATGCTGCCTTCAATGCTGAGTGAGGCACTGTGTTCACGGGCGCGCCGGGTGGCGGAGCGGCGCAAGTCGCGGCAAAATGAATCGGAACTCGAGGAGGACGAGGTCCCGTTTGCACGAAGGGCACGGGAGCATGGCAAGACGTTCCGCGGGGGTAAACCCGATGGTGAGCAGCTCTCATGGGTGTTCGTGATCGGTAGCTGATAAAGCTTGCAGACATCTCCGTGCTCGTCGCGATCGTCTCGCCTGTGGAGTCATCATAAATGATATGTTTGTGGACATTGCGAAGTCACAGTTGTACCGTATCATCCGTCTGACCACCCCCCCTTCTTTCCTCCTTCTCATTGCCCCTTCCCAGCATTCATCATATTCATTTGCATTGCTTGCATCTTCCGGATCTAATTGCAATATTTTATTTCACACACATGTTATGTAGAATACTCGTCTGCTGTGTCTTGCTGTGTCAATATATGTACATCATTGTCACCTAGGTTAAACATCTAGTCTGTCTCCATGGCATCGCTTGTATGCACGATATCCTCGTCGACGATTAAGCTCCTGATCTCCTCCGACTTCCACGCGGTCGTGCCGCGCCGGAAGCCGTAGCTACGCTCCTTTTGGACGCGCTCGTTGGGCTTGACAAAGTTGCGGAGCATCTCGGTGTGCGAAGCAGTAATGACACAGGCGTCGACGTTGGAGCCGGAGCCGAGGTCGTTGAATATACCTGCAGAAACGGCGTTCGTGATCAGGCCGAGGGCCTCTTCTCGCTGTGAATGAGGACAAATGAGAGGTGGTGAGCGGCGGCATGCGAGGTGGTACGTACTGTCATGTTCGGCCGCCAACCGCTCTCGAAGACGGCCATAGCTGCGAGACTGCCGGAGCCCATGGTGACGTATGGGAGCTTGTCGGTGGAACCGTGTGGGTGGATGGTGAAGAGATGGGGACCGGACACGTCGACGCCACCGAGGACAAGCGCAGCGCCGATGTTTCCTTGGTATCTGCGACGCGCAAAGGTTGTAGAGAGGTTTTAAGCAAATCTGTTGAGGGCAGCGACGTACCGGAAAAGGTATTGCTTGAGCATTGTCATGGCGGTGACGACGCGCGGTTTCCGGCCGGTGGAAAGCGAGTGCAGCTCCATGTTGGACGAGATCATCGCGGTCGTGAACTCGGTATCAGCGGCTGTACCAGCGCCGCAACAGCGGATAGACTCGGTGATGTAGTGGATCTATGTGGCTTCTGTGAACACACACGACCGCGGGCACATGTGAATGGCAGGCGCACCTTCTCGCAATTCTTGTCGGCGACGATGGGCCCTTCGGTCGCGCGTGTATCTGCGCCGAGGATGATCCCATCCTTGAAGAGGCAGCCGACGATGGTGGTACCTGTGCTCGTCGCCTTTGGGAGAGGGAGGCCGCGATCGACGAGGAACGCATTGCTGAGGGCGAGACGTGAGTGCAGGATCATGTCTACAAGAGTGGGACGTACCGGACTTCGTTGGAAAAGTCAAAACCTGGGGGGTTGTACACAGATGTTGCAGCCATGTCGTGAAAGGGCGAAGGAGAAAAGAGAGAGGATGTGGTACAGAGCGAGGGTGGCGGCTGCACTGACGCGTCCACACGCGCTGAGACGCGCGCCAGCGTGCCCCCGATCACTCCGCCACATCCGCGAGCGACCTCGGGTCCGCCATCACTTGCATCCTGCTCGCTCCCCAGATCGACGGCCAGCACACCATGGAAGGCTGGACCAAGCTGCAGTCGAGCTTTGCCGGCCTCAACCTCGGCCAATCCGCGAACAAGTTCGCAAAGGGCTTCAATACCAGCGTGCAGGCCACGAAGGAGCGCTTTGGCCAGGTTGCTGCGGAGGAGATCACTGAGCTGCCGCAGGGTGAGTGCTAGCTGGCTGCCGGAGCATCATCTGAAGCTCATCCAAGCGCAAGAATACAAGGATCTCGAAGCCCGCGTGGACAACCTCCGCCAGGTTCACTACACGCTGCTCAAGTGAGTGGCCGAGCGATTGCAATCGCATCTGAGCGCTGACCCACGTAGAGTCACGAAAGTGTACGAAACCGAGACATATGACTACCCGACTCAGATCCAAGAGTCCCTCACCGAGCTCGGTACCACGATCGGACACGGCCTGACCCGGCTCGCTAATACCAACATGCAAGGCGGCACTCCGCCCTCACCCCCTTCCACGGCTCCTCCCCAGGTGCAGCACAAGACGCTCCCGCATGCGATTGGGCGCGCCGCGACGTCGGCTGCGACAACGCTTCAATCCGCCGCTGGTGCAGGTGACGAGAAGCTCGGCAAGGCGTTGCACGAATACGCCGGTGCCTGGGAGAAGATCGGAGAAGCGCGCGTGCAGCAGGATGGCGCGATTAAGGCGCAGTTTCTTCAGCCGTGGCAGACGACGCTGTCGACGAGCATCGCTGTCGCGATGAAGGCGCGGCAGGCGGTCCGCGTGAGTCGGCTTGAGCTCGACTCGGCGAAGCAAGCGTAAGCGCGTCTCAAGTGTGATTTGTTGGTGCGGACTGATGCCTATATATGCACCAGACTGAAGAATGCAGGACCTGCGAAGCAGGAGGCTGCCCGTCTTGAGGTTGAGAACGCGGAAGATGACCTCGTCCAGAAGACAGAGGTCGCCATCACGCTCATGAAAGCAGTCTTGGATAACGTACGTCACGGGTAATGATGTAAATTTGGGTTCCTTGTTAAGCATGCTTTGACAGCCGGAACCGCTGAAGAACTTGAATGAATTGGCCAAGGCGCAGGCAAGCTGTTTTCAACTCTTATGTCCGTTCATTGACGCTGATCGCGGTATCACATGTGTAGTTGATCTACTACGCGACTGCCGCGGAGGCTTTGTCCGCCGTCCAAGGGGAGATTGAAGAGCTAAGCGTCGCCGCTGAGGGCGAATACAGGTGAGACGCTCAGTGCTCGTGTTTTCTGGACTAATACAAGCGATGCGTAGGAAGTCTCGAGACCACTGAGATACGACAACTGTGATGCTAATCGTGTACACATGGACTGCTGTTTCTCTCTATGCCACTCTTTTTCTCTAATATAATAGTGCCATTTCCTCTTCCAAGAAATGGAAAATGTGTACGGAATGAACAATATTAAGGCTACGGAATTAAGCGATAGAGTAACTCTGAGTTGAATTGATCTATAGCCATAGCCGTTGAACGTTGAAACGCTGGAGGCAGAATCTCAGTGGCCAGGCGCCCATCACGATTAAGCCGTAACACGATCGATCTCGCACTGTACACTGATCTCGGACTCTAACCATGGTCTCCCCGCAAACCCAGACGACCATTATCCCCCACAGCCAGCAGCCGCTCGTCACCCGTACATATCCATCGGGGAGCGAGCTCGACGTTGTCATCGAGCGGGCTGGAGTGGCGCAGAAGTCATGGAGTCGCGTATCAGTGCAGGAGAGGGTAGCGATTGGCAGGAAGTTCGTGGTAAGGAGGACTATCATGCAGGATGTTCGACGTCAAGTATATAACGGACTCCTCATAGGAAGAGTTCCGTAATATGAGCGAGGAGATACCGATGGAATTGACTTTGCAGATGGGCCGGTACGTGCTTTGGGTTCTGTTATCTTCTCCGGAGATGCAGCTCATCAGGGTCAAGTCCTGTCTCGCAATGCCCTGGCGAAATACGAGGGACTCTCGAGCGTGCCGAATACATGCTCAGCATTGCAGAGTCGTGCCTTGCGGATGTATCACTCAAAGACACCGACAAGCCGGGCTTCAAGCGGTTCATTAAGCGTGTCCCTCTCGGCGTCGTCCTCGTCATCGCGCCCTGGAAGTACGTCCCCTACACACCGTTGTCTTCTATTGATGACATCAGCGCTTTCTTTTAGCTACCCCTACCTCACCACCGTCAACTCGGTCCTCCCCGCACTCATTGCGGGCAACGCCGTGATCCTTAAGCCGTCCCCGCAAACTCCGCTCACAGCAGAACGCTTTTCGCTCGCATTTTCCCGCGCAGGGCTCCCGGCGGATCTGTTACAGGTCGTACATATGTCCCCCGAGCTCGCGTCGCATGCGGTGCAGCATCCATCAGTGAACTTTGTGTCGTTCACAGGGAGCGTTGTTGGTGGGCGGTCAGTCGCACAGAATGCGGCGAGTGCGAAGGGCTTCAAGGGTGTGGGGCTTGAAGTAAGCAGCGCTATCAACCTGTCTGCATGAACGTGCGTTGATAATCCCGGGGAAGCTGGGAGGCAAGGATCCGGCGTATGTGCGTGCAGACGCTAACTTAGAGTATACTGTTGGGGAGCTGGTCGATGGTACGCATGTCATAAAATGGGTCCGATTCACAGCTCACATCTCATATCAGGCGCGATGTTCAACTCGGGACAGAGCTGCTGTGCGGTTGAGGTTCGTCCGAGCTCTCTCTATATCTTCTGAGTGCGAGCCAAAACTGATTCTACGTCAGAGAATATATGTCCACGAATTACTCTATGATGAATTCGTTGCGAAATATGTCGATATCGTGAAGGTGCGTATGAAGATCTTTCATCTTGTACTTTATTCGCTCCTTATCATGCATAATCAATACTCCACTGTCCATAGAAATACACGCTGGGCGATCCTACGCAAGCAGGAGTGAACCTCGGCCCTGTGGTCAGCCGCGCCAGCGCAGAGAGGATACGCAAGCAGATCGCCGACGCAGGTTCGTACCTTTACCGCACCCATCATAGTGGTTCCGATGCCTGACTCATTATCGCCATATATGTTTTCAGTGAAGGCAGGAGCGAAGGCGTTGGTCCCGGAGGACCTCTTTCCGAATGCACAACCGTGAGTTGCACGCGGGTAATGTACCAAATTGCCAAAGATTAAGCACGAGCGTTCATGTAGCGGGACGACCTACGTTGCGCCGCAGGTCCTGGTTGACGTCGACCATTGTGAGCACTCTGCATGATATGCTTGTGATACTGGTTCTGAATTTATCTCTCGAAGCTATGGAAGTAATGATGGTATGAACCTCGTCAGCTGCTCTATAACGCGGACTCAGCCATGTATACAGGAAGAAACCTTCGGTCCTGTCATAGGGATCATGAAGGTATGCCTTCTATGTTCATCGTTCGATTTATGCTCTTTAACAAATGCTCCAGGTCTCTTCCGATGAAGAAGCTATTCGCCTTATGAATGACTCACCCTACGGCCTGACAGCGTCCGTCTGGACCGATGCAGCTGAAAATCCCGAATCTGAGGCGGCCTTCCTCGCGATTATGGAGGAACTGCAGACCGGTACCGTCTTCCTCAACCGGTGAATGCTTCATACACATCCTGCTGTCTTCATCGTGCCACTGACCTGCGCTCTTCGCCAGATGTGACTATCTCGATCCTGCTCTTGCTTGGACGGGTGTGAAGGATAGCGGACGAGGAGTGAGCCTCAGCAAATTTGGTACGTTAATGTCTCTTTGTGCGGACGGCCGTGCGTTGATATTGACGGTGTTCCGCAGGCTACGACCAGCTTACGAGGGCGAAGTCGGTACACATGAAAATTAAAATATAGAACATATATATGGAGGCACCACGATGGAAATGCGCCATGAAATAAACGAACAACCTAGCTGAATTTTAAATCGTTTGCGAGAGTAACTTCGCGGTACCACAATGGTTTTATTAGGATACAATTCACGGTTCCTACTGGCCCCCTTGTGCTATGCTATGTTGCCACCGCCGTCGTGGTTGGCAATACAGCCGTCTGCTTCGCGAGAGCGATGCTGGGTCGCAAACCAATGCTGCATCAGGCCCGCGTCAATACCATGAGGTTACGATAAATACAATTTCAGTTCGACGGATGCTACTTCTCATGATATGCTAGACTTTATAACGGCGCCCTGTCTTCGTGAAGAATGTTTGCAGGACATATACTTGCAAGCTAGTTGAATTGATCAGCGAGAGGGGCGAGAGCCAAGAGGGAAAGGGACATACACAGCCATGCCAATGATGCCTGCACATTCTAGGACTGCGTACCAGAAGAGACGGCTATAGTAAGACAATTTACTGGTATCAATACTTGAAAGACTAATCAGATTGGACGTGATTAGGACTGGGCGTACCTCTGTGTTGATTTCACGAGGTCAAAGCCTCTGTTTTCTCGAGTATGGAAGCTACGCGCAGACACTAAGAGACAAGTGACAAAACATGAGCAGACAACGCACTATTTCTGAGTCCTCTTGATGTTCTGCAACATTCCGCTCAGCCTAAATATGCTCTCCTCCAACGCGCTCGTATGTTCGGATATCTGGCCTGGCTTCGCTGGAGGCTCTCTCCTCGGCTCGCTCTCGACCATGATGTCGAAATCAATTAGCTTCTCTGTGAGCGTCGACATGTCATTTTCGAAGCAGAACGAGTATTCGCCGATGGTATTTGCGGTGAGTACGTAGTCGCCCTGTCGTTCTCTGGACCCGTCCAGGATGACCTTCTCGTTCGGGTCTTTGACCTCAAAGTCGATGTCGAACGAGCCGCCAGCTTGTACCTAGACGTGTTATATTGGAATCGCTGGGTATGGCGCGCATGGTGGAATGTTTCCTACCGCATAGTAGAACTGCAGCTGCTCGTGAGCGAACAGTGGCAACGTTTCCAAGACACACAACTGACCCCAATCTTCTCTCCCGCCTTGTCCACATCGGCATAGAAACATAGCCGCTCATTGGCCCCTATGGCCGTCGTCAGTGCGACTGCGTGCGCGACACTGGCGAGCCTGAGCAGACAGCAGAAAGTGAAAAGTGAAAGCAGAGCGAAAGCCATGTCAACGTGTCCTAAGTCAAGTACAGTATACAGTGGCTTATGTCATCAATACTCTTGATTGTAACGCGCACAAACAACGCGCAAATAACGCGTCTTCTTCCCGTTCGCCGCCCAGCACCCAGGCGAGTATACGCCACACTGTGCGACACACTGTGCGACACACTGTGCGACACACTGTGCGACACTGGGGCTTTTTCTGAATTTGCGGGGTGTCGTTCAATCCCGTACGAGAGAGACAGTCCCATGGAATTGAGCAAGGACTACCTGACTCGCGACGGTGACGTTCTAGAGCCCTCAACAGGCGCATACTTATACCTGCTCACCTCGTGTCTATGGAGGGTGCGTCTCGCTGGTCAGTTCTATTCTTATGATTCAAGCTTCACTGGCCGTACGCGTTCCGCATCGGGTGGTCGACTGGCTCAATCGCTTTGAGTGCCATGCATGCGGTGACTGACACTCGCGACTGCTCGACCGCTCGAGGTTCTGCCACCCGTGCATGGGAGGTATGCAGCACGCGCCGATTCATATGACCCAATTTTGTCTATTAATTCCATTCTCTCCACTCTATTACATCCCTTAGCCTCCTCCCCGATCCTTTCAATATTCTCTTCATTTATCCAGAAGGCCTGGTCATCTGTGACCGCTGATGTGAGGCGAGGCCGTGAGCGTGAACTAATTCTATCCTTATGTCCACGAATGTGAGCAGCAGGCGAGTGTTGTGCGAAGCTGATCATGCAAGGGCGGTCAGCGAGCTTGGTGTCTGCGTCAGATCTCGGGCAGAGCTTCACCACGCAACTCAACTGGGCAGGTTTGCGATGCGCATCTGCTCGGGGAATGGCAACAACGACGAGCGAGGGACGTTCGGATGACGACTTACAGAAGGTACGTCCATGCGGTTCGCTTCGTGACATGGAGTTCGCTCGTGTGAAATATACCACGTCGGGACGAGTTCGATTTAAAGGAGCTTACTCTGATTCTCATGGGGACAGTCGGGCAAGAATGCATGTACACTTCCAGATAAATGTGCGTCTCGCAAGGTCGACCGTCGTATCTTTGGAGAAGATCACGGTCGTTATCTGCGACAACCGGTTTGCACATGTCAGCGACGTCCACAAAGACATAGGTGCAGCGCGTGCCTGGTGATGGTGCTTCGACAACCTGCAAGGGCTGCCGCATGCTTCAGGTGAGCGAAGGTGGTGATCGAAAGGGCGGCGGGGCAGGAAGTTTCAGTGGAAAGATCCTTCAAGAAGCTGGTGCATTCATGTCTGCCCGACGTGCTACGCGAGAACGAGTTTTCGATCTGTATGATGGAAGGACCGTGTGCCGTTGGGAGCACTGTCGACCGCTCTGACGGAAACACGCTGAAGATTTCCGTTGACAGGGCTCAAAGATGGACATGCGATGCATACCATTCAGCACGGTACGTCTAATGATGGCACGAGTCCAAAGGGTGTGGGGTGGGTCCGGTGAGGAGTGATGTGAAGGTGAGAACGGTCATCGGAAAGCCATAAAGAGACGGCACGCGCCTGGTCCTCACGAGCCGACCTCATGAGTGCGCCCGCCATGCACTCGGGACTTCTTGCTCACGAATGGACAGCAGGTGCAATAGCGGTTTGCCTCGAAATGCCATCTACAAATAGCGAGGCGTTATACATGAACGGTGAGCACTAGGCGAGTACTGAATCCGCGCAGTGCATCGATGATGCGTACGTCCTTTAGAACTACAGCTCCAGCGTGGACAAGTCTGGCACATCAGTCATTTGCACGACTGAAACAACCTCGCGAGCCACATCGCGAGCCACAGATGCCGCGGACCACATCATGCATGGACAACGGCTGAGTGCATGTCGCTGCGAAGGGCTAGAACGTAGTCGTGACATTCAGAACATCTCATTTCAAAGGCGTGCATTCGCATTCACAAAGGTTGACATCTGCTGTAGCACAATACTGTATACATATTGTTTCTTCTCTAATACATACACGCTCCGTGAGCGTCAGACTAACTAGTGATGAGCGATGTCGATGAGCGACCGAGATGAGAACCCTGACACGAACGTACCTTTGGTCTCACCGCAATCCACGTCATCTCTCATCCACACGACACCTAAAGCCAGGGCGGCCACAAACGATGCGCCTCCTCGCTACAAACCAGCGGCAAAGTAATGTTGTATGCCTTATCATACAACAGCGTCTCGAAATTCATCGACTCGAATTTGCCATGCATTTTTTTCTTCACACTTTGACGAGGTCTCCAGTGTTCACTAGACCAAGGATCGATCAGCCCGACATCAAGGTGCTTGATGCCAAGTTGCGCGCGACGTGGGAGGATCGAGTGCAGGATGATGTCACAGTCACGATCATGATGGATGACGATACGTAGCGTGGTCAGTGCGGGACAGAGAGGCGGTCCGGTCGGGTCTCGGAAGAGTGTGAATATATCGACGATCTGCGTCAGGCCATCAATGTTGACGGACAGTGTCTGAAGCGTGGTCATCTGCCTAAGAAGGTTGCGCACACGTTCAAGACCGCGCCCCTTGTATGCCTTCAACTCGAACATGCACAAGTGCGAGATGCTGGAAAGGGGAAGAATCCGTGGCCAGTTGAATGCCATCCAATCTTCGAGTGTCGTGCATCTCCAGACCTCAAAACGGAAACCAGAAGAGGCTCCGACGACGATGGCGACGTGTGACTGGAAATGCAGTTCTTTGGGTTGCTTCAAGGCATTCAACGACCAACTGGATACCCCTTCCGGAAGTCGCTGCTCATCATCATCACGTTGCGTATGTGCAATCGAGACGGACGCGTCTTCATTAAGCTGAGCATCCCGGAAGACATAGTCGATATCATCAGACCACATCTCCTCGATCAGTAATCGGCGCAACCGAGTGAGCGAAACAGGCTTCATGCCCGCAGCCCCAATTTCCACTCGAATGTGCGGATAGCTGCTGTCGGATACATTTCGCAGGACGAGATCGACTAGGTTCGGTGTTCCAGCAAGCAAGCTGCGTAATTTGATCGGAAGTTTAGATACCATGCAAGTTTCGAGAGCCAAGAATGTCAGTTTGACGAACGCATTGCTGGGCAGCCAATTCACATTTGATAGTGACAGGCGTTCCAGACACGGGGTGTGGTCGTCGAAGAGTTTGAGTGATCCATCTGGTATCGTCCAGTTTTGCAACGCAAGAGATCTCAGCGAGGGCGCTGGCATTCCAAGGTGTTCTCTGCTGTGACGTGTTAAGGGCCATATCCAGTACAACTCTTGGATTCGGGATGAATGCTCCACATTTTGGAGAGCGTGCGTAACAGCATATTCATAAAGGGGATCACAGCAAGCCAGCACCTTGAGTGGGCCTCGGCCAGACCTCTCCAGCAAGATATGATCTTCATCTTCCCAATATGTTTCAATGCCACTCCAGAGCTCCTGAATTTCCAAGGCGATCTCTTTCCAATGATGGCAGACAAGCATGAGACTGACTGCTCTGCCCTTGTCAATCCAAGTTGGGTTCCAGACGGTAGTTGAGATGTAGCATTGATAGTGTTCAGATCTGTATTCAGCCAGCTTGACGGTGCAGGTCGTCACGAATATCTCCCGGAGCACTTCGGCAGGAAGACGGTTGATTGCGACGTGGGCGTTCCGCTCGCGCCGCATAGCTTGAACCGCAGGGGTGACAGCTGCCTTTATCAGCTCTTCAAGGTCCTTGAGATATATGCTTTTACATCAGTTTGTTGAGTTAGACTGGGAGCAAAGGTTACTGACCTCACGGGCGCTGTATACAATGAGGTCGCGGTCAGTATGTGTAATGATGCGATCAGAATGGGCAGGGACGCACCATTCATGAGGGTCTTTTTGCTCGAGCTTGGAAAACCGCATCTTCATCAAGTCCGACGCACTCAATTCTTCGAGCGAAGGTGTCTTCTTACCACGGTTCTGATGTGACATTGTCGGTGAAGTTGAGTTTGCGATGGCAATGTTCTATGAGGAGAATCGAGCAATGGGAGCGGAAGTGGATGGGGGGGAAACGTCTGAGCGGCAGACTTTGCAGCGTGCTCTGTAGCAGGAACAAGTACTGGTAGCGAACGGGTGGGCGAGTGGGACACAGGTGAGTTCGGACTGTGGCATGGGGTGGGCAGAGCGAAAGTCGTTGGTTGTAGATGAGCTTCGGTTGATCAACAGAGAAAAGCCAGGAGCGAAGAGCAGTGCGACGAGCTATTCATCGAGGGCAGGAGTGCCCCTGCTATGGTCCTGCCCTCCGCCTCCGCAGACCGCAAGGGGGGACGACGCGCAAGTCACGGCGGCAGCACAAACAACGCGCAAATAACGCGTCTTCACCGGAACGTCCATCTCCTCCTCGCGCAGCCCGTTCGCCGCCCAGCGTTTGAGATATCCAGGCGAGTACGCCATACTCTGCGACACTAGGGCTTTGTCTAAATATGCGGACGGTGTCGTTCAGTCCCGTACGAGAGAGACAGTGCCATGGAATTCAGCAAGGACTGCCTGACTCGCGACGCTGACGTTCTAGAGCCCCCAACAGGCGCATATACCTACTCACCTCGCGTCTTCCGGGAATCAGCACTGCGACAAACCAATGACCCCGTGGTTCCGGATACTGACCCGTATCTATATCAACCTACAGACAACGGATCTCCCTTCGTCATCTCACCGCGCCCAAACTTTAACGTCTTCTCTCCTCCTCTGTTCATCGGTTCATCAATAGGGGAGGATCTAAAGTCTGTATTCGAACGGTTTCCTGTCACTCCGTTCCAAGAAATATTCGCGTCTTCCCCCATTGGCTTCTGGGCCGCCGCCAGTTCCTCAGTGTCTCCTGTAGTCCGTCACACATCCCCTGATGTGGACGCGACCCGTTCCAAGGCTGGGTCTTCTGCTTCTGTGTCTGAAAGGAAAATTCCGTCCTTCGCAGCCTACCGTATGGCACAAGAGAGGCGAGCTCCCCTCATTTTTGGATCTCCCACGCGCTCGGTGTCATCCCTGTCAAGCCTATCTCCAGTCTCATCTTGTCCGTCAGCCGCAGAAACGCCCTGCCGAAGCCAGGATTCGCTGCTGACATCTAGCTCATCTCTCGGAAAGTCCGTATCAAGATCAGCAGTCCATGATGACCCCGACTTGCGCAGGCCCGCGCTTGCAACTGGCGGCCAATCCATGTCCAAAAATCTCTCCCATCTGCATGAGTCTCTTGAGGGCGTAACCGACGGTGTACTCGCTCGGTCTCGCTACAACATCCGTCCTAGGAAGTTCGTAAGAGGATCTGAGCCTGCTTCTAAACCCGTTCCACAATCAAAAATCTTGAACGAAGAAGATCCTGAAGGCCCTGTCGAACGTCCTTTAGGTCGTCCACACAAAAGGCTACGTCTTGAAGAAAGTACTAAGTCATCCCCCGAAGGTGGACCGTCCATGGAGAACGGAGAACCCGGTTCTATTCACATTATCTCAACAAAGCTGCCCGTAAACATTCCAAGGCGAACGTTTCCTCTGCGTATACCAATCAATCCGGAATTTCCTCTCTTCTATCGGCGTTTTGCGGTCAGCTCGTACCGCGAGGAGGAGAGTGAGAGGTAGGTGTCCTGTCTTGCCATCACCATAAAATGTGAACGCCACGTTGATGTTCCGTAGCTACCTGTCATATCGCTCGCTTTCCGAAGCTACGTTCAATCCCCCTCGTGGCCCTCTCGACTTGTACACGCCCCGTTTCGTGAAGGGCAGGGGTTCGACCAAGGTCGGTTATGGCCTGTCCACACGTTTTTTCTGACGTATGTGCTCGCTAGGTTGGTCTCTGTCCTTGTTGCTGCGAGTCCATCGCGCGCGGTGGAGAGAACAAGAAAGTATGGCTGTCTACGAAATTCTCTGCATTCAAGTGGTACGAAGCCTCCACGATGTCCGCTTACGTTGACTGACTATCAGGGCAGAGTCTCTTATTCCTGTTTGTCACCGACTGCTCTGAGCCCTCTCCAGTTATCACATGCAATATGCGCACGGTAGGCATGCCGCATTCTCTCTTGTTCATCCGCTCATACGCAACTCGCAGGTATTTCTGCGATGACAGGATGCCCGTTCTCCCCGCCGATCGCCTTCCGAACCGTTGCTCGTCACAACGTTGGCAAGCACGAGAAGGCCGCCCTCATCGAGGGCAAATGCCACAAGTGCCTGAAGTGGGTTACGATTGAAGGTGTTAAGGACATCCCAACAAAGGTCCGAAGGGTTTGCTTATCTCATACCAGAAAATGCACATCTAACCTCGCGACCTTAGGTGAAAGAAATCTATTGGTGAGTCAGGACTTATGAGGAGGTGCGCATGCACCCTGAGGAAACATCTCGGCAGGTGGAAGCATGCCGCAGCATGCCATCAAGGCTCGACTATCGAGGGCGAATGCGATATTTACCTCGAGGACAAAGTATACAAAGAAATTGCGGACGAGTGACTGTGCCGCTAGAGCGCTGAAAAGATATACTCCCTTAGGGCTGCATGCGCCAGCACTGTTGTTGCCTGCTGTCTTTCCTGCTACACCCTGTGCTTGTGAAATGCCCCAGCCTTTTCCTGTGCTGGAAGCCGTGTTACCCTTATTCATGTCCATAATTCATGTGTTATGGCCAATGTACTACATACTGCAGTCGGGATTAACAGTATATGCTCAAGAAATGGAGGTCCATCTGCGATCCATCGTGGCGTACAACGAGGGATGCTCAAATGAACGATTTGGCAAACAACGGAGTCTGATCACTTTCACACGGTCGCGCAACAGCATCCCATCACACATCATATCATTAAATGGCTCGACAAGAAGACCAGAAAGATGTTCTGTTTGCTCAGATACAACGGAGGATGGTCGAGCACGGCGAATGGGATAGGTGCGTGTTGTGCAATAATTCACCGTATAGGGGGGGCTCATCGCGTCCGCCAAATCAGGCTATCGTGGCTGCTGAATCAGAAACTGAGTGAAGCCGGATGGTTAGACGAGTACCGCGACAAGAGCAGAGGTGCATGTCAACGCTTTAAAACTCGTGGAAGCTCATAGAATACATTTATAGAGACGCTTAGAACAGACTCTGTGTCTGTCGGGTCGATCATGGCAGAAGTCTGGCCACAGGCAGAGGGTAAGTTCGATCATCAGTATTAGAAACAAAGATATGTCGACGTTCCTACCCTCATCAGCATCGATACCAGCGAAAGCGAAACGAGAAATGATAGCGATGATTCGCCAGTATCTCGAGACGCAGTTGGAGGGATGAGAGCCCGGATTTAGGGAGATCGACGGTCCTTTTTTGCTCATGTACTATTAAGTCGGATATCGACGATGGCGGTCTCACTTCCATGATCAATGCCCTGGAATCTTTAAGCGAGACTTCACGCACATGGAGCTTGAATCAGGACTCTAAGGCGTGAAGCCGTGAGAAAATACCAAATTGGGTCGTCCGTCCTTGGCCACACCCTCCTTCACCACTCGCAGCTACAAGCGTAATGCACATGCTGACGCTGGCCCGCTCCTGCAGAAATACTTGGGCAGTTGCTCGCCAGTGTGTGCGTGCCAACAGCACCGCTGCGTGAGTCCCCGATGTTTTTCATTGCACTTTGTGGTTGACCGTTAGCCAGGCCATCCACTACCACCGCGTTCGCACCGGTCACGCATGATCAGGAGCGGTTATGGGCATCTACCATCGTACACGGCCGAAGCATGCTGGAGCCGTACTGTCATCCCAAGACACACGGCATTCCCGTCGCGCTTGTTCACTTCCGCTCATACTATCCTGAACTCCTCAAGCTCTTCACGCACTTCACGGGCCACGCCGCAGCGTCGCTGGGCATCCCCGTCTCAAGAACGGTGCATTTACCGACACAAAGATCACTATGGACCGTCCCAAAGGGCCCGTTCGTGCACAAGAAGTCGCAAGAAAACTTCGAACGCAAGGTGCACAAGCGCGTTATCAAGGCCTGGGATGCGGACCAGGAGGTTGTGGACCACTGGATCAAATACCTCGAGGAGCACGCGCTGGCGGGCGTAGGGATACGAGTCGTACGGTGGCACAGGGCACCGGTCGGTATTGGTGAAACGACATTGCACAGCGTGATGGGCCAGATGCGGCTGCCGGTGACCAGTGTGGAACAGGTGCAGGCTTTGGGCGAAGAGATCTTGCGGCGAGAACTGTCCGCTGCTGAGGATGCTGTAGCAGAGGCTGTGAAGGTAGAATCATCACCTCAAAATTCATAGTGCAGTATTGTATTAGATTCTTATACCATTCTGCACGATTTCATTCTATTTCGTTACCTTTATACTTTCGACTTCAGGCTTGATCCGTCCAATCATATTGCGCTTTGCTGCGCTGACTAAGCGGCATATCCAAATGCGATGGGCACCTCGTCTTGCACTTGCTCAGCAACCACCACCTCCTCCACCATGACTTCCTACGAAAGTGACCCTTTCTATCTCAGGTACGATTGAAAAGTGCTCGGGCGTGCGCGCAAAACTGCTCACGCCCACCCGGGTTCTAGATATTAGTAAGTTGTCGTAGCTTCTGCTCCAGCACAGAATTTCATGCTAACTTTCTTTGCAGCACTGGCCATTCAGGCAAGCATGGACACGAGTTTCTCGAGTTTGAGTACTCGCATGGCCGTCTTCGATATGCAAACAACTCGAACTACCGCAACGATAGTCTCATTCGCAAAGAAAGTGAGTCGCACTTCTGCTTCGAGGTTTGCGACACCTAACTTGGCATAGTGTGGGTGGGACCGTTGGTAGTGAAAGAGCTGAAGCGCATAGTCGAATCAAGCGAAATCACAAAGTGAGTACTCGTCTTCTTTGCGCTACGACATGTTTGAACGTGATTCTTGCCGCCTATAGGGAAGACGACACGAATTGGCCCAAGAAGAACATCGTAGGGAAGCAGGAGCTGGAGATCCGTGTTGGAAACGATCACATCGCATTCGAAGTACGTACGGTCCGCCTGTTGCCCTCGTCGTTTATTCACACTCAACGTCGGGCTGCGCAGACAGCAAAAATCGGCTCGTTAGTCGACATTCAAGACAGTGAGGACCCCGAGGGCCTGCGCGTCTTCTATTATCTCGTCCAGGACCTGAAGGTATGCCGTTCCGTCGCGCGCCGTTGCTGTCGTATTAATCTATCTATATTTTCCAGTGTCTCATCTTCTCCCTCATCTCGCTCCACTTCAAGATCAAGCCCATATGATTGACGATGCTGTTGTGCCCTTCCCTCTCCCTCGCAATCAGTTTTCTTGTTGTCCTCTTTCGTTCCTGTGATATGTTGATATTGGACCGTGAATCTATACTGCCCACTATGTATCGCTGAATATTCGACCGATGAAGCACTCGATTCAGAAGTCTCAAGGAATTTCAGTTTGACGTGCGCACAGCTTCGGTTAGAGATATTCTGCTTACTCGCACCGTTTCAAAAATGTTGTGTAGCGCCACATAGCATTCGTCGGATGCTATCGGGCTTGTAAAAACAAGCAGTTGACGTTCAATCATTAATCAACATTCAATGAACGTTCAGGTCGTGAACGCCCGGAAAATCCGGTGCAAAATCTTATCGACATGCTCGGACAATTCTACTTTGTGCTAGCGCCAGGGGATTCAATCTGACAGCTGCCCTCTTTCGGATCCTACTATGCACCATCCTCGCTATGTAGTTGACTCGGCAGGCAAGCTGGATCATCTTTTCACCGAAGTCGCTCTGCATATCTGACCAAGATTGCCATTGTTCAAAGGAGTCAGCTTCGCAGAGAAGGTCCCATCAGCATTGTCATAATGAATCGAAAGCGTGAAAGACATCTCGCTAGTATATCATCGGTGAAGGTAGGTAAGCTCCAACCATATTCAAATCTCGTCTGGGCTGATCTGCCAAGACGTCAGCTCTCAGCACTGTTGAGCTAACGTTGCACGATGCAGGTACGACTTACACTGAGGTCGAAAGATATACTTTCAGCCGCCGCGATAGCTGGAGGAGTGTAGTTGTCAAGGCCTTTTTGCACCGCAGAAGTAAGCATCTCTGAGCCCTCTGTGATGGCTTTGGCCATATTCGGTTGCAGATTAGGCAGCATTTTGAGATCCTCTGCGACAACTCGTACCCGGTTCTCTAGCGACGCTGCAACCTGCTCTTTATTCTGAGGGTGGCGTTCGCTTAGCTCCAAAAATGTGGCCTTTGGACATGATGCACCCCTCACCTTTGTAATCATTGCGCGTATCGCGCCCTGTGCATTGTCGGAATATTCTCCAAGTTTCTTCGTCCGTGTGGCAACAGCTGCTGCTATCTTGTCGTCGTCTCCTTCAATGCTGAGGCTGAGCTCATCGCAAAGAGCTACTCCCGGAATGATGTACTGTCGCGATATCTGAAGGTACATTTGCGAAACACTCTTGAACAGAGAGAAGTACGCTTGACACATCACGGATATGTTATACAACTCCTATGCGAGAGTAAACAATGGGTGTTATCAAACATGAGACCTGATGGCATACCTGGCGAGAAACGTCCAGCAGCGACATGCCACCCATGAGCACCCTAGTTGCTGAATCAACTTGCTGTATGAAGTCTTTGATGTTTTGACTGACAACATGCTCGACCATGGCAGACAGTGCATTGAAAAATAAGACAAGATTCGTTATCTGAGCCTTCATTTGTATCAGAGTGCCGATGGATTGGGTCAGAATCTTTTTGACTCCTTCCTATTATCCGTTACCGCGCGCTGGTGAGGCGTCAAGCAAGACATACTAATACATGTTGCACTCACCATAGTCATATGTTGTTTCTCCAGCTTCTGGAGATTTGCCTTGACACGAGCAAGCTTTGCTTCGACTTTGACGACCTGAGAGCTGGCTTCCGTATGATTCTGTTGAGAGGAAATATACGCTGCTTGTGTCATGCTCAGCTTGTGTTGAGCCGCGGACAAAGCGGACCGTTCTACGACATTATGGCATCACTGCACTCGAGTCAGCTTGTGAACACGTACGAGCAGTTGGATCTACGGTTGACGGTGAGGTTTTAGGCATGCTCGATAATTGAAACTGAGGGATACTCTGATTGAGCAGTTGCGTAAAAAGGAACGTCACCAAGATCTCACGCTTGTTGGGGCTCCGCCGGGCATGCTGCGTGCGAACGTCGACATTTTCATGACCTTCGCATTTGCTTCGGAGACTACGCTTTGCCATTTGCGAACTACTTGAGCGTCGGGTTTTTGCGTCGCGGATACAAGTTCATGATCCTTCGGTACGAACTTCTCCAGCTCATCAATAACCTATAAAGGAATGATTAGTGCCAAACGCTTCACGAGTTTTGCGCCGGAAACACTTACGGCCAACGTGTAACTGATAGCGGAGCGCAGTTCGATGCTCGGCGCGGCCTCCGTCCATTGGACATTGTCAATTTGATGTTTGAGTGTCACCTTCACGCAAGTCAAACCAGACTTCATGCCCGAATCTTCTTTCGGAATGAAGCTTTGCCAATCAGGCCCGTCTTCTGGATTGGTATCAAGCATCGTGCTCAATGTGATCAGCATGTCAGAGCAGACGACGGCTGCAGGATATGCTGGGTCATTGCTGTCATCCGGAACTGTCTTTGGATGCCAGAGTTTCGCGTGAGCTTTCGGAAGAGCGTCTGCATTGCGACCTCCTCTCCTCCCTCCTCCAAACGGATTGAGAATTGCATGGAACAACGATGGTATTGCCTGGGAGACAATTGTTGTAGCAGAAGTGTGGAGACTGTCAATGAAGTTGAGGGCGACAGCTCCCCACGCTGGTGAGCAGGTTGTTCAGCATTGAGGGTGTCATACACAGTGTGTGATTAAACCCACCGCTCGGCATCGCATCTGCAGCCTTTTTGAACATCTCACGAGATTCATCCAGCTGTTTTTTCAGATCCTTTGCAGTCTCCTGCGCATGACTGAGATCTGTCTGTGTCAATTCCGCCTCGAGCGATACTCCATCAATGTCGACCTTGTGTTCGTAGTGGGCCAAACTGATCTTCTCTTCCTTGCTCACGGTGACTTCATATAATTCGCGTACGATGTCCAGCCAATCATTAAACGCCCTCTCTATGGTTCGCGCATAGTCAAGACAGGCATTGGAGCCATCTTTCATCAACTGCAGCTTGTCTTTGAGTGCATATTCTGCAGCAGGCGCAGGCAATTCAGGGAGATGGTTGGAGATTGATTGCATCTAAATGCGCATATTCGTGAGTGTTTCACTAAAACTTGTGAAGCGAAATGTACATATCCGCTCAATGAATTTGAAGTACTATTGATGAGAGTCATGTTTTTCTCGGTTATAAGAAAAGCCTTCTGACCCGCGTTCGAAATTTGGACCAGACATGCTTTGAGCATATCATGCCTATCAAGCGGTGGGTTAATCTTGCACTCAGACGGAAAAGTGACGACTCACTGTAGATATTTGAATCCGTCCTTTGGCACGGCGTCGCTGAGAGAAACCCCGCGCGCGAGCGGCGACGTTGCCGCCACGTAACATGAGCCAATTAGATAAAGGGCGAGAGGAGCAGCGGAGAGGAGCTCCCCCCAATCATATTGGAACAAAAGAGAATTCTTGACATCGCGAGCGAAGGCGAGTTGCACTTTCCCATCGCCTTGCTGTTTGAGGCGTTGATCGTTACGCCCGTGAATGAGCGCGAGCTGCTGGGTATCGTTTGTAGTAGATGAGAGAGACATTGGACGAGATCAGCTTGGAGACTCAGAGCGGAGGTCTTGCTGTTGGTCTAGTGGCACATTGGGTGGGTATTTATGCAATATCCGGAGCATGCGAAAGCATTGACTACCGCTTGCCGTCAGCAGCACCTGTCTGCTTTAGGAACAATGAGTCCAGCGAAACGCGAAGCGCCTTGATCCACATACCCTAGAACCACTGATACAGCATGGGTGGGAGAGAAGCGTGCCGCTTCTTAGAAACGGGGGCAGAGGGTATGCGAGAGATAGGACTAGTAAGTAGATTGTTTCATGCAAAGCAGTTACACACTATATCGAACCTTGGGCTGTTGCAGTTTATCGGCAAGTTTTAAGGCCTTAACCGTGCAGCTTTCTCGTATTTCTTTAGCTTCTTGCTGGGCACTGTAAAGTACACCTTGACCGACGAAATATCATTGGCACGAGTAGTTTGTTATACTTGAGGATTGATGAGAGCGCGTTTCAAAATATGTGTTTTGGGTGGGCAAGAACCCAGGATGAATAACACTATGAACTCATCAATTCATGACTCATTCATGCAATTCTGCACCAGAATGAATCCCGCGAGGGCGATATGAAGTGAGCCTTCGTAGTCTGCGGATTTTCAGCACATAATAGTCGCTATTCCTGTTTGTAGGATAAGGTTTGTCGAATGTGTATGTGCATGTTCTTAGTGCCTTCTGCAGGGCGCGTGGTGGCTAGATACGCATGTCAGCGGTAAGATTGTACTCCTCCTGCCTATCGACACCGGTGCTTCTGTCACGGTGGCTAACTCGTGGAAGGTGTCAGTGGCCATGAAGCTCAAGCGTGTGCATAAGACACCTTCCATTGAGATAGTGCACTAGCCTGACTTCGTGCTGAGGCTATAGTGCACCGTGCATGCCACCTACTAGATCACCTCCACTTCTGTCCAGTGGACGATTTGACGGAAGGAAAATTCCAACCTTAGAATATTAGGGCTTGTTAGCTGAGAGTGTACCTTCTGACATTGTATATTCTGAGTTTGGGGCTTACTACCTTGCAACGAAATGTCAAATGTAGCCGGACTGTTTAGGCTCGGCTATATCCGTTACCCTCAACAATGCTGACGTAATATCCGCGACCCGTGCGCATTGCCGACAGCGCGGTCGGACTCCGATGAAGGCTCTTCTTGTTCAACCGCGCCTCACGACAACCTCGCCCCGCGCACGTTGCACACAGCCTCACTCGCCCCTCCGAAGGCACGTCCAATTCTACGTAAATCCTCTCGTCCTTTCTTTACACCAGTCATCGGACCGCTCATACTTCGTCGCCATTCGTCATGGACTTCACTTTCGGTGGGAAGTATAGAGTAGAGGACACGATTGGCACCGGCGGCTGTGGTGCGTATGCTTGGCGTACTCCAGTCCTCTGCGGAACTAAGCTGCTTCGCCTGACAGGCACTGTCTTTCAGGGTGTCCACATCGTCGCAGGCAAGGAAGTGGCCATCAAGCTTGAACCGGCCGTAACGCGATCTAGCCCTCTACAGCAGGAATCCAAGATTTACAAGACTCTCGGGGGCGCACCTGGGGTTCCATGGATGATGTGGTCGGGGCGCAAGGGCGACTTTAATGTCATGGTCATTGATCTCCTAGGTCCCTCTCTCGAAGATCTGTTCCGCATGTGCAATAGACATTTCTCTCTCAAGACCATCCTCCTTCTTGCTGACCAATTAGTGAGTCAATCCCATTCTGCTTGATTGCCTTGAATGTGCACCCCACGGTGGGTGCTCATGACGCGCCTCATTTCGCGTCATGAGCGCTTACCGTGCGCCCATATCGCGTGTCGGTGTCTAATCTCCGTCGTGTGCTCATCGTATCTGCTGCGCACTCGTAGATCACTCGTATCGACTACATTCATTCGCGGGATCTTGTTCACCGGGACATCAAGCCCGCCAATTTTGTGATTCCCAAGGCCGATAAAAACGCTCACCATCTGATAAATATCATCGACTTTGGATTGGCGAAGAAGTTCCGCGATCCTCGCACGAGCATGCATATCCCTTACAAGCAGGACGATCATCATGGAGTGGGGACAAGTCTGTTCGCGGCCATCAACACCCACCTTGGCATTGGTATGCCGTCACCGATCGCTGCTGTCCTTGAGCTTACTTGACGCGCTTCACCTTAGAATGTTCACGGCGCGACGACCTCGAATCGCTCGCATACATGCTAATTTACTTCATGCGCGGCACGCTGCCATGGCGGAAGGTCAAGGGCAAGACGTCGTCCGAGACATGGGACCTAATTCGCGACAAGAAGCTCGAGACGGAGCAGTTCATCGCAGTCGGGCTGCCACCCGAGTTCGACATCTTCTATAAGTATACGCGAGGGCTCGAATTCGAGGACTTGCCCGACTACGACGGCCTGCGCGCTCTGTTCCGCGGGCTCGCGGAGAAGCACGAGATCGAGTACGACTGGGTGTTTGACTGGAGCGTGCCGAAGCCACATGAGCGCAAGCGCAGGCGTGCATGTCGCACGTGTCACGCGTGTTCCGTCGCTGCTGAGGCGAAGGCGAAAGCGGGCGCGCGGCGCTCTTAGTCTGCGCGCAGCCCGCGCAAATGTCATGCGAAACGTGAGCTCGTGTCCCATCTGTGACGTCTACGTGCCTCACACGCGTTAATGCCGTGCAGTGATCAGGAAGATGGACAGTTAGTGTCCCATATGATTCCTGTCAATTGAAGCTCGCCATGCATGGCGGCGCGATGCTCCGCGGCTCGTACTCTGGCGCTGAGAACCCGGCCCCCCTCTTCTCCCCTTGACTTTATTTCGGGGAGGGTCGGGCTCACTCTGAGTATCCTTCTTGACCGTCGATGGCAGTATACGATAGGTGAGGCGCATACTGTATATATGTACTTCTAAAAGGCGAGTGATGATTTGCCCCACTCCACGTGTGATGCCGTCGCTGACTGTCATATATGTGCATTCCACAGCCTGCCTGGTTTGCTGCTGACGGGAACTTCGCTAGGGCTCTGCAATACTGTGCTCTTTGCCGTCTGGTGCTTACAGCCAGGTCTCTCTTCAGGTGGGGATGCTCATGTGCCCATGACGGGCATTCCCGTGTATCATAGTGTAGCTAAAAGTATGTGAACCGAACGGTTCCCACCACCTTCCTTACACCGTTATCAATCTCGATCAAATTGAATGCATTATATGGAGCGATATGATACGTATGCACGCTGTATGCACGTAGGCCACATGCGATATATATGTCCTGGAAATAAGAGCGGCGAAATTTCGGAGTCACGATACCAGACGGAGGGGTGTGGGTTGTGGCCCGTCGAGGCGCCACGCTACTTGCGCCTTCTGTCACTGAACGCCCGCCGTCCACACGCGGTGTACCGCTCAACGCTGCTAACCGTCTAACTCAGCTAGAACAAACTATGGCGGGCGTGTTTGTACCAAACGAGCGGGTGCTGTGCTACCACGGGCCACTCGTGTACGAGGCGAAGGTACTCAAGATGGAGCATTGGGACGAGGCGAGCACGAAGCTGGGCTCGGTTGGCCCGCACTATTTCGTGCACTACAAGGGGTGGAAACAGACGTGCGTCGTCTTCTTCTAATGTCAACTTCTAATTGTTTGACGTACATATGTGTTGGTGTGGCGGGCAGATGGGATGAGTGGGTGCAACCATCGCGCCTGCTGAAGTTTAACGAGACGAACATCGCTCTGCAGAAGGCTCTGCAGGCGCAGGCGCAGGCAGCTCAGGGAAGCGCGTCTGCATCCGCGGCGAAGGGTACGGGAAAGGCGGCGGCGGCGAGGGAGACGGGGCGAGGAGGCCGAAAAGATGGTGGGACGAGAGGGGTGAAGCGCGGGAGGGAAGAGGTAGGTCTTGCGTAGCTTCGCGTGAAGTGCGCATGGGCTGATATGAGGGCAGGATGACAATAGCAAGCGGCCGGAGATGAAATTGAATGTCCCGGAGAGCCTGAAAGTGCTGTTGGTGGATGACTGGGAGGCGGTAACGAAGAACAACCAGGTCCGCACCGTCCTTCTTGTTGGGCTAAATAATCACTGATACATTTCTTATTCTCATAGCTTGTCAGCCTTCCGCGCTCCCCAAATGTGATAGAGCTGCTGGAGGAGTTTAAAAACTATGTTCTCAAAGAACGCCCTCCACAGTGCGTCCTTGTCACATTTCTATATGCTGCGATGTCTGATCACTGCTGCAGTCTGAAAGACCCGGTGACACTGCTCCCGACACTCATCGCGGGGCTGCAGACGTATTTCGACCGTGCGTTGGGCGCGAACCTGCTGTACCGCTTCGAGCGGCCACAGTACGCGGAGATCCGCAGGAAGTATGTGACGGGCCCGACGGTCAAGGTCGGTGAGGAGAAAGAAATGAGCGCAATATACGGCGCGGAGCACCTCCTGCGGATGCTTGGTATGTGACTGTTATTCATTAAGTGTATGCTCCGTATGTTAAGAGCAGCGCAGTGAGCCTCCCACAGATGGTAGCAAGCTCGAGCATGGACAACGAGTCGGTCGGACTTGTGCGTGACTACGTGAACGAGTTGATGGTGTACGTTGCCTTCTCCCTTTCAACAAATTGGTTTATATCTCAACCTCTATGCAGGTACATGGCAAAGGAGCAGCATCGGATATTCGTACCAGAGTACGAGAGCGCGAGTTTAGCGTACCAGAACATCTCCCGCTCCTGATTTATGTGGATCTGTGACTATAATAACAGCGTGACCATGCGTGACCCTCCGCGGATGGATGACGTCACGCGGATTCATGACGAGGAGAGCGCGCGTATATATATTCTGGGCCTCCTGCGCGATGGCGTATCGTTTACTCCCTGCTTGATCCCACCATCAGCATGGCATCCTTACTCTCCAGTGCAACTGAGATGGCGCACCATGCCGCCGTGTCGCTCTTGAGCTCGTCCGAGGTGAAGGTCGGCTCGACCATCCCAACCTCCGTGCCCGTCAAGGAGAACGAGGCCGACAAGACGTTCACTTTCAAGGGCATCTCCGGCAAAAACCTCTTTGTGAGCTCTGTTGCAGCTTGTGACACAGGATCATCTTTTCACATGTGCAGATCGGCGTGCCGGGCGCGTTTACGGGGACGTGCAGCGCGCAAATCCCGGGATATATCCGCCACTATGATAAATTTAAGGAGAAGGGCATCGACAACATATACGTCGTCGCGGTGAACGATGTCTTTGTTTTGAAGTACGTGTCCTCTTGCTAGTGCGATCCGCCCTGTCAGTTGACTTGGTGTGGACGGCAGAGCCTGGAAGGACTCGATGACCGATGGCGCTGGAACGCGTAAGTGAATGTTCCTCACATGCATATATGGATCGTGGTACCATCGTGCCGTTTTTACAGCCATCCATTTTATCGCGGATGACAAGGGGGCATTCGTGGGAGCGCTTGGCATGCTCTTCGACGCTACGGAACGCCTGGGTGCGCCGCGGTCCAAGGTAACCTGAGAAGGTTCCCTACAGGCGCGGGATTCTGACTATTCTTATATTCTCCTTAGCGTTTCGTGCTCGTCACTGAAGGTGACACGATTACCGAGCTCGCGGTCGAGCCCGTGACATCCGGACTTACTGTCACTGCGGCGGACAAGATTCTTCCATTATTGTGATACTTGAGCGTTTTGAGTTCAATCAAGGCCGTGAAGATGCATGTAACAATACCCACAATGGTATCGCTGTATGAAGATGTCTAAGCGGCGTGGTTGGTGCTCTCTTCGCCATTAACTCTACTTGCGATCAGAGCCTCGTAGGGGTGCGGTGGGAGGGCTCGCGAGAGCAAGATCGACGTCAACTGTTAACTGGTACGGGTATTCTGGCAGCATCCCGAAGTGCGATGCAATTAAGCAGCGCTTGAAAGGCCTCTACTAATGCGCCCAACTGTGCACAACACGCTGAGTGGTATACTTTCAGATTCAAAGATTCGGACAAAGAGCTATACAAGATTCGAAGACAGAGAATTCCGCGGAATAAGTTACAATATAAGGTAATGCACAATCGTCCTGCAAAAAGCCGCCGTTCACAGATAATGTCACTTGCGCTGCTGCGCTGCCGCACATTGGCGGCCGCCCGTTTTCGCTACCGTCCTCGAAGGGCGTTGCGAAGTGTTCTTTTCCATCTTTGACCGCGCCCGGGCATTCGTCTCTTTCTGCTTCTTGCTCACGACTAGTGTCTCGCGCGATCGCTGCATCCATGGTGTGTTGTCGGCGAGGGAGATCCAAGAAGCCTGTCGGCTCTCTGCTTTCGTCAGTTCGTCTGCAAGCGACCCGTTCGGACTTCCTCCGAAGAATTCGTCGAGATCGCGCTGGTCCCAGTGCTGTAGTTTGGTGGTCTGCTGATGCCATTCGAGGAAGACCGATATTGTCGATGGAGTTGGAGAAACTCCATCGATACTGTCCGTGTTTCTGCATGCATGCGGGCGAGATGCGACATGTTCCACGGGGGGAGGGATATCACCATGAGCAATTGAAGATGAGTCGCTGATGTCCGCGACGGGCAAGGATAAGGCGGATAAGTATACGGTATCATCACCGTCTCTTTCCGTGATCATGTCAAGCTCCAGCGCATCGTCTTCGGTGGGGATGGTGGTGTTGATGTGCTCGTGGTCTTTGACAGCATGGTCAGTGGATTTCGCGACAGCCGTCTCCATGATGTAAGTGAACATCAGGGTACCAGATGGTGGGTTTGCTTGAGCCGTAGGAGGCGAAGATGGGCCTGAAGAAGGTGGGATAGTCTGTTTGTTGATTCCAATAATCTTGGAGATGTAGCAGGCGAAGGCATCATTGCAAGCTGCGTGCTGAGTCAAAATGTCCACGCAGCCCGGAAGGTGTGCCAGTGATTCATTCTCCAGTGAGGTGAATGCACTTGAGGTGTTCTGCAGATTCAGAATGCTGGAGCGGTCTATTGCGAGCGCCGAATTACGTTGAACGAGAAAGTTGGAGAGCTCATCGAGGGCATAGCGGCGGCGATTAATTGTTTCTGTTTCGAGCTTGACGAGCATCCAGAGATCTGCGATGACCTCATCTGTCAAGGCTGGGATGTCTCCCTGCTCGATAGTTGCTGCGGGAGAAGGGGATAGATTGGAAGCTGGCTCTGATTGCTCGGCTGAAAATGCAAGGATACGGCCGATAATCTGGGCAAGGTCGTGTCTGGACGGATAATCAGGTGTGGAATGCTTTGAAGATGCGAGTGGGATGGCAGGGCACTTGGGGAGACGGCGCTCCGTGAAAACAGGTGTGCTGTTTGATTGTCATTCATTGCATTTCTCGAGCAGCGCAATCTTACTTGCCTGGTGCAGGTGATGTCGATGCTGCTGAAGACAGTCTTGTCTTCGTCGTCGAAACGAAGGAGTCTTCCAATGGCCAAGGTGTAGGTAAGGAACACTGTTCATCACAATGACTTTAAACTCACATTCTCGAGCCCTCTTGCCCAGGCTGATGTTCTTTAATGTTGTTGAGATTGTTTGCAACAGTGACTTCGTACGTCTGAGGCAGGCCATCGTCCTGGCTCGCTTCGAGGCCGATAGCGTCGAGGTCACCCTTGATCTCCGAAGTTGCAGCAGGGGAACTACCGAAGTTCAATAACAGCATCGGGCGATATATCGTTACAGCAACGCACGTTTCGGCGCTATCATCGCGCAGCTCGCTCGTGCTCATATACGAGAGCGCGTTGGTCGCGTACTGGAGCTGAGGCGCATTTTCGGACGATTTTTCCGGCTCAACTGTGTCGACCGCATGGAAACCGAGGGTGGATTTGCTCCCGGCATTGCACGCGGCGTAAAGATCGCTGTAAGCGCATTGTTGAGCCGGTAAGCTACAGCAAATCGTTGAGACAGACTCACATATCACTCATGATAACGCGGAGTTCCGTCATGACGTTTTCGAGATCGGATGATGGCGGATCGAGCTGGTCGGTATCGCTACAACTCTTTTGAATAGCGAACTCACTGCGGAGCATTGAACGGGGACGTTACCTCTCGATTTCTTCTAAGATTGGGTATAACGTCTGACCATGGACGTATTCGGATTGAGTGGGTGAGTCCCATTCGACCCGCATACATCCATTGCCGGCGTTGTTAGAATCCATGATGTGTCTAATATAGACGTGAGCACCGCTTCGAACATTATGTAGGATGAGCTTACCCTTGAGTCTCATGTAGTTCACCGTACAAGGATCCTTCGGACTCTTCTGTAACACATCAGTGCGCGAACAATGGAGGGAACGTATGGCTGACCATTGTGCATGCTCTCGACATACAGCGAGTCGAAGGAACTCGTTATTTCCGCGATGCTGTCCTCTGAGTCGTACAGCAGACGGGCAATATCGTCCTCCGTAGCCTCGGTAATGAGGAGACGAGGGAGCGCTGCGGGTGTCGGAGTGTTTAGCTCTGAGCTGAAGGAAATGCCCGAGTCGGAGGGACTTCTGCGCTGGCTCCTTGAGGTGGTGGGATAACCGTCATTGCGACTAGTACGTGAGGTTCGGGTGGTGCAAGGGGTGACAACCTGGCCGTTCTCGAGGATGTCGATGTATTCACCGCGAGGAGTGCGCATAGCCCATGTCCCACGGGGGCTGTGGACGACAATGCTGCTCGTCGGCGTGGGGATCTTGATACGCGAAGGCGGGGTGATGAACGCGGAGAAGGGGATGGAGGGGCGCTTGTGCTTGTCTCCCTGCATGAGGCGCGGGAGAATGCGCTTGCGGGAATTCTCGCTCGTGCTCGAGGCAGAGACATTGAAAGAGTTTGTCGGAGTCTGGAATAGGGTGGGGACGAGAGGCGGGTGGAATGCCGGCTTGGGAGCCGGGGTGAAGGCCTTGAGGACCTTGCGGACGGCCTTCGTGAAGCCCAGCTTGACTTTGGACTTCATGGAGGCACCTACGGGGCGAACGGGGGCGTGCTCTCGGAGGAGAGCGGGAACGACGAGCAGCGGTGCACGTGCGAGAGTGAACATGGTTGTTGAAGCTTGGGTGGTCTGGACGAATGCGAATCGGTAATAGGTGAAGAAGAGAGGGGCTGGAAGTTGGGTGGTTTATATCTCTATAGAGGCTGGCACTTACGTGTGGCTGGCTGTATGGACGGACTGTGAGCGCGATGTTCTAGGCATTACGATGTGGACTGAAGTACTGAACAGTTGAGTGCGCGCATGGAACGCAAGCAAGGGGACTGCGATGTATCTCCAGCGGCACCAAAATGATGGTCGTGCATAGATATGTGGATAGGCGGTGGAGATATCCGCTGCAAGTGTGGTCTTATCCCATCGGGATTCTTGCGAAGCGCATATACATGTCAGTGACCACACGGGGATCGCGATGATCACCAGTAAATCAAGCGGCATTGCGTGGTTGAATTTTCGCGAACATGCTTCCACGGATCGCGAGGTAATATAATGAAGGAATTCAGGAAATACGTAAGCTTCAAGTGTGCGGGAACGATGCTGTAGCTGTGGGGAAAGAATTCACCATAATCTCCACGCATACTTATACGGCCTTTGGCAGCAAGAGCGAGCAGTAGCATGCATCACAACACCGGAGAAACCAAACAAAAGGGTGGTTTAGCATGGAATAGGCATGGCACAGTGCAGTGTGCACCGTGACAGAGGCGACTGAGACGAGCGCTCAGCTCACGTCGAGAACGCGATCACGTGATATCGCTTCGCGCGTTCGCGTTTGCGGCGGCCAGACGTCCGTGGCCAACGCATACATAACTTACAGGTTTCCAGTAGTATTGCCAGGTAGCGTCGTAGTTGCATCGAGGTCAACATTTTGAGCTATCTTTCTTCCCTCTGTTCGGTACAGAGCAATTTATCCTAGGGAGCATTTGCTGTGTAAAAATGGGGTATATGCATGCGTGCACCCTCGAGACCAAGCTAGGAGTGTCACAGTGCACGCGGATGAAGTGCGGCTAACAGCGACAGAGAACGCAAAAACCTTGTTGGCCAATGCAGGTTCTGACGTGGCCGAAAGCTGAGTTGGCACCGGCCGATTCATTAGTTTCATGCTACCATCCCGCGCACTTGGCGGACTCGTAAGAGCGTCAGAAGTCGAGCGGTTGACTGCTTGTAGGTAGCATGTTTTTAAACACGGATATATATGCCCATTAGCATCAACATGTGCGTGATGAACGCATCTGTGGCTGATATATCCCACTGCGAGCACGAGCGGCCGACGATGAACCGCGTTCCATAGCGATAAACTTCGGCGACATCGAAAACCAACAAGCATCGTTTCCAAAGACTCTACATGTATCATTCAGTGATCGACCTTTCGTATCCACTAGCAGATAGGATCGAAGCACGATTCCGATCGCCTATCCCTGTAGAGACGCCCTGAGCTCCCACACGCTCTTGATCGCCGGGCGCGCCATGAGCTTCTGATGCCACCTGCAAGACACGCGACTCAGCCTCCGTACACACCATCTCAAGGAAAAACAGGTGAAAACGCACGCATGGAATGCGGGATAGTCCTTCTCGAGGTCGAGCCCCTCGACGTCGTTGATAATCATCCCGAGCGCAGCATTGTTCCATCTGATTCACATCACGTCAGTCGTTCAGCACAAGACGCGTGGTCGATCGGTACACGGCCACGCACGTTATGAACGCCATATCCGCGACGGAGCATTTGCCGCCGACGAGCCACTCCTGCTTCTGCAGCACGCCGTCGAGCACGCCGATCACGCGGAGCGCCTCCTTCTGGTACCGCTGGACGGCGCTCGGCACCTTCTCCGGGTGGTACACCTTGAACCAGATCGCCTGGCCAAAGTACGGGCTGCAGAGCGTCAGCATAAAAGCGAAAAGCGGACGAAGGATGTGGGCGCGCACCCCTGTCCGGAGGCCTGGAAGAAGAGCCACTGGAGCTGAAGGATCTTGTCCTCGGGCGTCACGGCCGAGATGCGGTGTGCGGTGTCGTACTTTTCGACGAGATACGTGATGATCGCGTCCGACTCCCTGGCGCGCGCGCATTAGCAACACAGCAATTTTAGCACACCGGGCGATGCGCGGACCAGACGACAAAGTTGTTGTTCTTGTGGTCAATGATGGTCGGGATGCGCCCGTTCGGGTTGTACTTGGTGTATGCGGGCGCTTTGATCTCGCCCTTGTCAAAGTCGAGGTAGATGCTCTCGTACGTGAGGCCGAGCTCGGTCATGACCATCGCGACTTTCCTAAAGATGGTTATGCAGTCAGCGTGGCTCGCAGACGCGTCGAACAAGAGCGCACGAACCAGCCGTTGGGGCCGCCCTTGTGGGTGTAGAGCGTGAACTGCGTTTTGGGCAACATGTTCGTACGGCGCTGGATGAGATACTAACAGGGTGAGGATCTTTATGCAAGGACGAGGAGGACTTGGTACGTCTGTGCAAGTCCTGACACCCGTCTCTTAAACGATCGCCAGAGCCTCTCATTACTCCTCTCCCCTCTTGCGTAATTCAGCGCACTGCTGACAAAAGCGTCGCCATGTCAGTCAGCGAACGTCTCATCGCGTTGATGTCAGTGCGCTGCTCAAGGGAGAAGCACTTACTCCGTGAGTGGCTGGCTGTGCGAGCGTCTCCAGATGACTGAGCATTGGAGCAATGATCGATGCCGCGGGGTGATGGCCTGAGACTCTTGCTTAGGAAGCATATATTCGATCTTCGCGACCGCGGCGTTGCTGCGTTTGAGAATGCAATTGCTGCGAGAACGAGGCGGCCGATACGCACGAGCGTCGGCAAGGCGAACCAGGGTTGTCAACGCAGTCAGCAGAGCTACAATCACCCTGTAAGCTGTGTCGAATGGTGCAGACGGTCGCCTGTAGTGCAACGGTGCGTCCCATGTCCGCCACTCGCCGCACATGGGCAAAGAGGAGTTGCGGTAGAATCCCATGAGTGGCGCGGAGGGACGCGAGTGACAGGGAGGGATGCAGCCGTGACTGTCACACTCACGCATCTCGATTCTCCTCCGCGTCTTCGCGTCTCTCCCTGCGGTCTGCGGCGAGCACGACCATAGCAGGGGAACTCCTCCCCTCGATGAAAAGCTCGTCGCACCGCTCTTCACTCCTGGCTTTTCTCTTCTGACCAACCCGAGCTCATCTACAACCAACAACCTCTCTCCATCCGTCCTACTTTCCCAACGTCCTAACTCACGTGTGTCCCACTCGCCTACCCGTTCGCCACCAGTGCTCCCGCTACAGACACGGTGCAAAGTCTGCCGCTCAGACGTTTTCCACCCATTCACTTCCGCTGCTCTTGCCTGCTCCTGCCACCTCTACTCTCCTCATAGAACATTGCCATCGCAAAGTCAACTTCACCGACAATGTCACGTCAGAAACGTGGTACGAAGACACCTTCGCTCGAAGGCTTGAGGGTGTCGGACTTGATCAGGATGCGGTCTTCCAAGCTCGACCAAAGGGATACTCGCCAACGGTGCGTCCCTGCTCACCCCGATCATATCATTATACATCCTGACTGCGACTCATCGTATACAGCGCACGTGAGGTCAGTAACCTTTGCTCCCAGTCTAGTTCAAAAATCCGATGTGACAGCATATAGCTCAGGCACCTTGAAGGGCTGATCAAGGCAGCCGAGGTTCAAGCTGAGCGGTGCGACAGCAATGCCCACGTCGCGATCAATCGTCTTCCTCCCGAAGTGCTCCGGGAGATATTCGTAACGACTTGCACCGTCAAGCTAAATGAATATATATCTAAATACTATGGAGGCGAGGGCTTTACGACCATCTGGGACCCAATTTGAATTGACAAGGGCAGAGCAGTCACTCTCATGCTTGTCTGCCATCATTGGAAAGAGATCGCCTTGGGGGTCCAGGAGCTCTGGAATGGCATTGAAACATATTGGGAACGTGAAGATCGTATCTTGCTAAAGAGATCCGGCCGAGGCCCGCTCAAGGTGCTGGCTTTTGACGAATTGGAACCCTCTTGTGCTGTTGCGCATGCTCTCAAAAATGTGGAGCATTCATCCCGAATCCAAGAGTTGTGCTGGATAGGGCTCCCAGAGAATGAGGAAGAATATCTTCAAAAATATCTTCAAATGCCCGCGCCCTCGCTGAGGTCTCTTGCGTTGCAAGTTGACTGGAGTGCTACGCCAGATGGATCATTCAAACTCTTCGACAACCACACCCCATGTCTGGAACGCCTGTCACTGTCATATGTGAATTGGCTGCCCAGCAATGCATTCATCAAACTGACATTCTTGGCTCTCGACCTCGAAGATTGCATGGTACCTGAAGCTCTCATCAAATTACGCAGCTTGCTTGCTGGAACACCGAACCTAGTCGATCTCATCCTACGATATGTGGCTGATGATCACTACAAGCATGTCCGAATAAAAACAGAGGCTGCGGACATGAAGCTTGTGTCGCTCACTCGATTGCGTCGATTACTGATCGAGGGTATGTGGACCGACGATATCGACTTTGTCTTCCGGGACGCTCGCCTCAACGAAGACCTGTCCGTCTCGATCAAACATATGAATTGGCGGGGTGATTCGCAGCGACTTTTAGAAGTGGTATCCACTTGGTCGTTGAATGCCTTGAAGGAACCCAAAGAACTACATTTCCAGCAGGATGTCGCCATCGTCGCCGGAGCCTCTTCTGGTCTCCGTTTCCAGGTCAAGAGCGGCATGACTCTGGAAGATTGGGCTGCATTCAACTGGCCACAGATTCTTCCCCTTTCCAGCATCTCGCACTTGTGCATGTTCGAGTTGGACGCATACGAGGAGCCCGGTCTTGAACCTGTCCACAACTTTCTTAGGGAGATGACTGCACTTGAAACACTGTCCGTCGACATTGATGGCCTGACGGAGATCGTCGATGCATTCACACTCTTCCGAGACCCGATCGACCTGCCTCTCTGTCCCACACTGACCACGCTACGTATCGCCATCCAGAAAGATAGCGATTGTGACATCTTCCTGGACTCGATCCTCCCACATCGCGCGCAGCTTGGCATCAAGCACCTTTATATTGGGCTGACCAATCCTCAGCTCAGAGAACACTGGAGACCTCGTCAAGCTGTGAAGGACCAATTGCGTGGCAACTTCGAGTCGGTGAATTTGTATGTTGACGAATACAACATTACTTTGCCGCCGGTTTGTGTTGAGGAGGCGCATCGTTTGTGGCCGCCCTGGCTTTAGGTGTTGTGTGGACGAGAGATGACGTGAATTGCGGTGAAACCAAACGTATGCTCATGTCTGGGTTCTCCTCTCGTCGCTCAGCGCTCATCGCTCCTTATCAGTTATACCGGTGCTTACAGAGAGCGGGCATGTATTAGGGAGGGAGAAGTACGTATTTTATGCTACAGCTGATGTCATCCTTTATGAATGCGAATGCAATCTTTGGACTGAGATGTCGTGAATGTCGTGACTAGTCCTAACCAGTTCACAGTGACATGCACTCAGCCGCTGTCCACGCCCGTAATGTCTGTGGCTGAGATGTGGTTCGCGATATCTGATTTAGTCAGGCATGTCATTGACGTGCCAGACTTGTTCAGGCCGGAGCTGCAGCTCTGGAGGACGTATGCAATGCTCACACACTGCGTTGAATTGCCATTGATGTAGGCGTTGTCGCGCTCTCAGAGAGAAGATATGCATCAAAATACTGGCCACGGACTAGTGAAGTACTGCGATGCACTCGACCGTCAGTAAATGTTCTTCTGAATCAATCGGTCACTTGCGCTCATATCTATTTGCACACAGACGTACTCGTTTCAATTTGTTTCCAACATGCTACCACGCTCGAAGCATCTGTACTCGGCTCCTGCGAAAGCACCATCATATGCTCTCGAATTCCAGCTCGCAACGTATGGCGACCGACGACTGCAGTTCCCCCCAAGCCACTGAGCGCACAGTCCGGCGGGCGCCCTAACGAGATCGGCTCGCGATGACGATGTGCGCACCGTACCTCGCTCGCTTTCTGATGACCGTTCTTGCTTTCACACCGCTCTACAGAATACAGCCCACACCCTTGGAACTCGTGCGGCCACTGGACGTACCCGTGCTGAACCGTACGCATCGCATGTCCACTTTGGAGCCCTGTCAACAGATATCTTCAGCACGTTTCTGTCAGAATCATTCCATCGTATAGATCGAGCACTTGTTCTCGCGTAGCACGCCAGGCAGACACGAATGCACCAACTCCTCGAATTTTTGTCCACTGAAACTTCCAGCCCCGCCATCCTTCGATCACCACCTTCGCTCACCTGAAGCGTGGGGTGGGTCGCAGGGAGTCAACACACAATTACCAGACACACGCTGTGCCCACGTCTTTGCGGACATCGCTGACATGCTCATAGTGGTTCTTGCAGATAAAGACCCCACCATTCTCTGGACCAGATACGACGGTCGACCTTGCGAGATGCACACTTGTCTGGATGTGCACATGCAGTCTTGCCCGACTATCCCATGAGAATCGGAATAAACCCCGTTGAGTCGAACCAATCCCTACGTGGTATGACCCACGCGTGCGAAGTGTATATCAAGAAAAAAAGAAATTAATCGCATGGACGTGCCGTCTGTAAGTCTCCATCCGAACGTCCCTCGCTCATCGCTGATGCGTTTCCCAAGCAGACACGCATCACTGACCTGCCCTACCTGTTGGGTTGCACGCGCTGAAGCTCTGCCCGAGTTCTGACGCGGGCTCGCCGACAACCTTGCCGCAAGCCAGCTTCGCAAAACACTCGCTTGTTGCTTACATTCGTGAGGTAGGGTCGGACCAGTGCTTGCTCGTGGCCTCGCCGAGTTGCCTCAATCGCGGATGAGATGCGGCCAGGGCACCTGAATATGATTGAAAGAGATGGAGGCTAAGGGATACAGTAGCGCGGAGAGAATAAAATGGACCACGATAATTGAGAGCTCACCGTGCTCCGCACACCACTCATCTCGCGAGAGCCCATGTCTGCCATTCGCAGTATATGTGCCTGTACTACGTGGCGTGTCCTGGTGAGTGGTAGAGTAGTATCGAGTGGCGGTACAGCACAGACGCTGGACCATCGACTCGGACTTTCCCGCAAACGTCTGTCTGGTCACGCTCGTTCATCTGAGCCCTCACTCGCGCCCATGTAGTCACAAGTTCAGGACGTGAGTACTTGAGTACTGAATATTATAGCAAGCACAGTAGACGGGATCTGCGGTGAGCACGACCATAGCGGGAGCGCTTTTGCCACTCCGCGCTTCGTGCACACACGGTGCTGGCTCTTCTCTGAGTCAACTCAAGCTCCTCTACAACCAACAACCCCTCTCCATCCATCCTCCTACTTTCGCTCTGCCCGCGCCACGCCCACAGTCCGAACTCACGTGTGTCCCACTCGCCTACCCGTTCGCTACTCCCCCTACAAAGCACGGTTCAAAGTCTGCCGCTCAGACGTTTTCCACCCATCCACTTCCGCTGCCCTTGCCTGCTCCTGTCACCTCGACTCTCCCCATAGAACATTGCCATCGCAAACTCAACTTCACCGACAATGTCACATCAGAAACGTGGTAAAAAGATGCCTTCGCTCGAACAATCAAGTGTGTCGGACTTGATCAAGATGCGGTCTTCCAAGCTCGAGCAAAGGGACACTCGGCAACGGTGCGTCCCTGCCCATCCCGATCATATCATTATACATACTGACCGCGACCTCATCGTATACAGCGCACGTGAGGTCAGTAACCCTTGCTTCTAGTCGAGATCAACAACTGATGTAACAGCATATAGCTCAAGCATCTTGATGAGCTGATCAAGGCAGTCGGGTTTCATGCTGAGCGGCGTGACTGCAATGCCCGCGTCGCGATCAACCGTCTTCCTGCTGAAGTGCTCCGGGAGATATTCACGACCAGCTGCACCGTCAAGCTAGCTCAATACAGATCTCTACACTATTACTGCAACGATATAACGACCATCTGGAACCCAACTTGGATCGAAAAGGGCAGAGCAGTCACTCTCATGCTCGTCTGCTATCATTGGAAAGAGATCGCCTTGGAAATCCAGGAGCTTTGGAAAGGCGTTGAATCATATTGGGGACATCAAGACCATACCTTGCTGGAGAGGTCCGGTCGAGGCCCGCTCAAGGTGCTGATCCGCGGCGATCTGGAACCCTCTTGTGCTGTTGCGCATGTTCTCCATAATGTAGAGCATTCATCCCGAATCCAAGAATTGTACTGGATATTGGGCTCAGCACATAAGGATCTTCGAATGCCAGCACCCTCACTGAGGTCTCTTGCGTTGCGAAGTTACCCGAGTCAAATACCAGATGAATCACTCAAACTCTTCGGCAATCACACCCCGTGTCTGGAACGCCTGTCACTGTCATGTGCGGGTTGGTTGCCCAGCAATGCGTTCGCCAATCTGACATCCTTGGCTATCGAGTATTGCTACGTAACCAAATCCTGCGCCAAAATACGCAGCTTGCTCGCTGGAACACTGAACCTAGTCGATCTCATCCTACGAGATGTGGCTGGCAATAACTTCCCACACGTTCGAGTGGAAATTGGGGCTGCGAGCATGAAGTCTGTGTCGCTCGCTCAGTTGCGCCGATTACTGATCGAGGATATGCGGACCGATGATATCGACTATGTGTTCCGGGATGCTCGGCTAAACGAAGACCTGTCGGTCTCGATCAAACATAGGCCAGGCAGTGATGAGCAGCGACTTTTAGAAGTGGTATCCACTTGGTCGTTGAATGCCCTGAAGCAACCCAAAGAACTGCATTTCCAGCAGCATGTCGCCGTCATTGCTGGAGCCTCTTCTGGTTTCCGTTTTGAGGTCAGGAGAAGCATGACCCTCGAGGACTGGACCACACTCGACTGGCCACGGATTCTTCCCCTTTCCAGCATCTCTCACCTATGCGTGTTTCAGGATGCACGCAGGCTACCCGGTCTTGAACGTGTCTACAATCTTTTTGGGAAGATGACCGTGCTTCAGACACTGTCTGTCAACATTGATGGCCTGACGGAGATCGTCGATGCACTCACATCCTTCCGAGACCCAATCGACCCACCTCTCTGTCCCACACTGACCACGCTACGTATTGTCATCTGGAAAGATAGTGATTGTGACATCATCCTGGACTCGGTCCTCCCGCACCGTGCGCAGCTTGGCGTCAAGCACCTTTATATTGGGCTGATCGATCCTCAGCTTAGTGAAGACTGGAGACCTCGTCAAGTTGTGGAGGACCAATTTCATGGCAAATTCGAGTCGGTGAATTTCGAAATGCTGTTGTCTGGTAATGAATACGGCATTACTTTGCCGCCAGTTTGCGATGAGGAGGCGCATGCTTTGTGGACGCCCTGGCTTTAGGCGTCGTGTGGACGAGAGATGGCGTGGATTGCGGTGAGAACAAATGTTTGCTCATGTCTGGGTTGTCGTCTCGGTCGCTAAGCGCTCATTGCTTATTACCAGTTATACCGATACTTACAGACAGTGAGCATGTATTAGGGAGGGAGAAGTACGTATTTTATGCTACAGCAAATGTCAACCCTCGTGAATGCAAATGCAAGCTTTCAACTGAGATGTTGTGAATGTCATGACTATGCGCTAACCCTGCACAGCGCCATGCACTCAGTCACTGTCCATACATGATGCCGCCCGTAGCATCCTTGGCTGAGATGCCATCGCAGGTGCAGTGTGTCCGCCTCGCGATGTCCGATTCAATCATGCAGGTCACTGACGTGCCAGACTTGTCGAAGCTGGAGCTGCGGAAGTACCGGAGAGCGTACCCATCATCCATGCACTGCGCAAAGTGAACGGCGGCAGCTCACCGGCGAAGCTTGAGCTCTCTTTGAGCGAGGCGAACTCGGCGTTCCGCTTCTGCACCTGCTGTCCGAAAGTTCGTGAGGACGAAGTTGCTGCCACTTACCGCCGACGTGGCGATTGCACTCACACGCATCGCTGCGACTGAGGACATGGTAGCCGAAGATGATGCGACCACTATGGGTGACGACGTGCTTGAAGAGTTGCTGCCCATTATGCCATGGACCATCGCATCGGCAGCTGTCAGGATCCGGCTCTCCACATCTGACATCTTGTCGCTGTTTATGAGCGAGAGTGCATAGCAACTCGGCCCAGAGCTGCAGCCCTGGAGGACACATGCATCGCTCACGCATTGTGCGGATTTGCCATTGATGCAGGTGTCCGAATCGTCCTCTAAAGAGAAGATGCGGGCTAGTGAAGTGCCACTGCACTCGACCATCCATAGGTGTCCTCTTCAATCAATCGGTTGCTTGCACTTGCATCTATCTGCACCGTGACAGGCGTGCTCGCTCCAATCTATCCCCAACAGGCTACGCGCTCGAAGGATTTACATTCGGCTCTTATGAGAGCGCCATCACACGCTCGCGAGTCTCCAGCTCACGATGTACGGGCGACCAACAACTGTATTCTCCAGCCAAAGCGCACGGCCGGTAATCTAGGGAGATCGGCTCGCAATGACGACGTGCGCACCATACCTTGCTCGCTTTCCGATGACCGCTCTCGCCTTCCCGCCGCTCCCCACAGGTCGGAGCGCACACCCTCTGGACTCGTGCGATCACTAGACGCGTCAGTGCTGGGCCGTATGCATCGTATGTCCGCATTTGAACACTGTGCCAACGGATATCTTGAGCATGTTTCTGTCAGAACGGCCGTGAGCATTCCCAACGACAACACTCCCAACGATACACGAGCCCTTCCATCATATGTGTCGAGCACTGGGTCTCCTGTAGCGCGCCGCATAGACACGAATGCACCCGCTGCTTCGAGGCTTCTTCTGCTGGCACGTCCGGCCCCACCACCTTCAATCATCGCTTTCGCTCACCTGAAGCATGTGGCAGTCCTTGCGGGGGGTCAATGTACCATCACCGGACATGCACCGGACCTACGTCTGTACGAATATTACTGACATGTTCAGATTGATTCTTGTAAATCAACGACCCTGACCTTCTCTAGACCAGATACGATGGTCGACCTTTGCGAGACGCACGCTTGTCTGGATGTGCGCATACAGTCTTGGCCGACTGTCACCATGAGAACGGGCATAAATCCATTCCATAAGGTGCACGAGCGCTGCCAGGCGTAAGAACGCATCCAGACATGGTATATCCCACACGCTCGAACTCCACATCATAAAACCAATCGCACGAACGTACCGTCTGTAAGTCACCGTCCGAACGTCCCTCGCTCGCCGCTGACGCCATTCTCCGAGAAGACGCGCATCGCAGACCTGCCCCATTGAGTTGCGTGTGGTGAAGCTCTGACGCAGACACCAAGCTCGCTGACCGCCCTCGCATGATCAGCTTCGCACAACACTCGCTCGCTGCTCACATTCGTGGACATCAAGACCGGAACCGGACCAGTCCTTGCTCGTGGCCTCGCCTCGCGCCACTGGCGACAGGCGGCAAAGCCTTCGAATGGATGAAGAGATATATTGAGAAGATTGGGGAGAAGGCTGAGGGATACAACGGACTAGAGATAATGGAATTAATAGACAAAATTAGATCGTACGAATCGGCGCGTACTGCAAACCACCTGTGCACGGTGGCAGGGCCTCGAGCGGTTGAGCGGTCGTGAGAGTGCCAATCACCATATGCCGGCAACGGAACTACGCTCAGAGCCGTTTGAGCTAGTCGACCGCCCGACGCGGAACGCGTACGGCCAGTGAAGCTTGAAAGATGAGCATGAAACTCACCGACGAGATGCACTATCCACCGCACAACAATATCGTTCACCATCCTGCTCACTACTGACCGACTTTGTGGTCATTAATGTGGGTACGGTAAAATGGCGGGGTTGCGATGGGCCGCTCTCGTAATCGGGCTACGCCACGGATGCACAGACAGGTGGGGTCGTGCATTTGGATTTGAGCGATGGCATGATGCGAGCGGAGAGTTGTACAAACAGAAAGCGCAGGACGCATAGCGTACGATGGACAGTGTGATCAGGAGAGGGTTTACGCGCCACAGCGCCTGGGACGCCCGACTCTAGCCACAACGCCACACATTCAACTCTCCTCGTAGAACACTGCCATCGCAAAGCCAACTTTACCCACAATATCACAACAGGAACGTGGTGAAAAATCACCTTCGCTCGAGCAAATGAGTACATTGGACCTGATCAAGACATTGTCTTCCAGGCTCGAGCAAGGTGACGCTCGCCAACAGTGTGTCTCTGTCCGCCCTGACTGTATCATTATCCATACTGATCTTGATTTCATTGCGTTCAGCATAGTTCATGTCAGTAGGGTTTGCTTCCAATCTAGCTCAACAGACTGATATAACGGCATATAGCTCAAGGATCTTGAAGGGCTGGCCAAGGTAGCCGAGACTATGGTTCGCGCTATCTGGCGCGAGCAGAACGCCCACATCGCGATCAACCGTTTTCCTCCGGAAGTGCTCCGGGAGATATTTATGACGACCTGCACCGTCAAGCTGGCTGAATACAGATTTGCATACTATGAATGCAGCGACATAACGACCGTCTGGAACCCAACTTGGATTGACAAGGGCAGAGCAGTCAGTCTCATGCTTGTCTGCCATCACTGGAAAGAGATCACCTTGGGGGTTCGGGAGCTCTGGAATGGCATTGAGACATATTGGGAATGTAACGATCGTATCTTGCTAAAGAGATCCGGTCGAGGCCCGCTCAAGGTGCTGGCTTTTGACGAATTGGAACCCTCTTGTGCTGTTGCGCATGCTCTCCAAAATGTGGAGCATTCATCCCGAATCCAAGAGTTGTACTGGATATCGGGCTCAGCACGTGAGGACCTCCGAATGCCAGCACCCTCACTGAGGTCTCTTGCATTGCAAGGTGACTGGAATCATATGCCAGATGTATCACTCAAACTCTTCGACAACCACACCCCATGTCTGGAACGCCTGTCACTGTCATATATGAAATGGCTGCCCAGCAATGCGTTCGCCAAACTGACATTCTTGGCTCTCGAAGATTGCCGTGTATCTAAAGCTCCCATCAAATTACGCATCTTGCTTGCTGGAACACCGAACCTAGTCGATCTCGTCCTGCGACATGTTTACGACCCGCACGTTCGAGCGGAAACAGAGGCTGCGGACATGAAGCCCGTGTCGCTGACTCAGTTGCGCCGGTTACTGATCGATCATGTGAAGCCCGATGACATCGATTATGTCTTCCGGGACGCTCAGCTAAACAAAGACCTGTCCATCTCGATCAAAAATATATATTGGCGTTATGAAGAGCGGCGACTTTTGGAAGGGGTGTCCAGTTGGTCGTTGAACGCCTTGAAGCAACCCAAACAACTGCATCTTCAGCAGCACATCGCCATCGTCACCGGAGCCTCTTCTGGTCTCCGTTTCCAGGTCGAGAGAAGCATGACTCTGGAAGATTGGGCTGAATTCAACTGGCCACGGATTCTTCCCCTTTCCAGCATCTCGCACTTGTGCATGTTCGAGTTGGACGCATACAAGGAGCCCGGTCTTGAACATGTTCGCAACCTTCTTAGGCAGATGACCGCACTTGAGACACTATCCGTCAACATTGAGGGTCTGACGAAGGTCCTCGACGCACTCACACTCTCCCGAGATCCAACCGACCCGCCTCTCTGTCCCGCACTGACGACGCTACGCATCGCCATCCGGAAAGATAGTGATTGTGACATCATCCTAGACTCGGTGCTCCCACACCGTGCACAGCTTAGCATCAAGCACCTTTATATCGGGCTGATCGATCCTCAGCCTAGTCACGAACACTGGAGACCTCGTCAGACTGTGAAGGACCAGCTGCATGGCAAATTCGAGTCGGTGAAATTCGAGACGCTGTTGTATGATAAGGCATATAACATTACTTTGCCGCTGGTTTGCGATGGGGAGGCGCATCGTTTGTGGCCGCGCTGGCTTTAGGTGTTATGTGATGGAGATGACGTGAATTGCGGTGAGACCAAACGCACGCTCATGCCATCAGGGTTCCCATCTCGGTCGCTCACCGCTTGTTACCAGAGTCAGTAATTCCGACGCTTACATAGCGGACATGTATCAGAGAGGAAAAGAATACGTTTATTATGCTACGGCAGATGTCAACCCTTGTGCAAGCGAATGCAGGCCTTGAACTGTGATGTAAAGAATGTCGTGACTACGTGCTAGCCCTCCACCGTGACAATCGCATGCACTCAGCCGCTGTCCATGCATGATGCCGTCCGTGGAATTCGTGGCTGCGATGTGCCTGCCTCAGGATGTCTGATTCTATCATGCAGGTCACTGACCTGCCAAGTTATCCAGGCTGGAGGTGCTGTTCAGAAGGACGTACGCATCATCCATGCACTGCGCGAACTCGCCATTCATACATGCCTCCTCGTTACCTGTAGGTGGTATTCCATCAGTACGTTCGTGTGAATGGCGGCAGCTCATTGGTGAAGCTCGAGTCCTCCTTCAATGAGGTGAACTCGACGTCCTGCTACCGCGCCTGCTGTCTATTCGTGAGGATGAAGTTGCCGTTGCGTACCGCAGACATGACGGTTGCACTCACATTCATCGTTGCAACTGAGCACATGGCCGAAGATGATGCGACCACTACGAGCGACGACGCGCTCGAAGAGCTGCCGCCCATTACGCCACCCATCGTCTCCACGTCCGACTCAGTCTTGCGGGTGATCGACATTCTGCTGCTGCCACTTTATGAGTGAAAATCCATAGCAATCCGGGCCAGAGCTGCAGCTCTGGACACGCACGAATTCCACATCATGAAACCAATCGCATGGACGTACCGTCTGTAAATCATGGTCCGAACGTCCCTCGCTCGTCGTTGATGCCGTTTCCCGAGCAGACGCGCATCACAGACCTGCCATGTCGAGTTGCGCGCGCCAACAACCCTGCCACAAGCCAGCTTCGCAGAACACCTGCTTGTTGCTTACATTCGTGGAGGTAGGATCGGAAGACGAGGCGAGAAAGGGGGAGACGGGATATACGGGTCCGTCGAGGAGCCCGTTGCGCGCCGATACTAGCCTGTATATCCGGGAGAGACAGGCGTTCAATATTCATGTGCGGACAAAAAAAGCCGAGGAATGCACGAACCTAGTAGAGCTGGACGCCTTCCAAGGTGTTCTTGATGTGCGGCTCGAGCGCGTACCACGCGGTTGCGAACGTAACGTCAGTCTCGTCGGTCAAGCCGCCGCCGCCGGTGAGCAGGGCGACGATTCGACCCTTTCTGTCAAAGATGATGGAACCCGAGTCGCCGCCCTCGGAGAAGGCTCCGCGCCCGCCGTAGGGCACAATGGTGGTCTCGAACGAGGTAAAAGCGATATCGTAGAAGTCGTAGTGGCGGACGAGGGACTTGAGCCCATTAAGCCAGCCGACGGTGGTGCCAGTGGTCAAGCCGTTCTTGATTACAGGCATGGCGAGGCCGCCGCGGCCGTTGCGCTGCGTGGGTTGGCGCATTTCGCTCTCGGGTACGACATCGAAGATTGGGAGCAGGCCGTCCTGCGGGTACGCGTAGCCAGCGCGGTCGGCAGCCCAGGGATACATTAGTTCCCGGAAGGATTCCTTGTCGATCTTGCCCCCTGTGCGATAAAGTATAAGTAATTGATTAGCAAGATGGGAGACGTGCCGATGTAGACCTTGTTACCCTTGAAGTTGGCCCAGTCGAAGGCATCGTCGCTGAGCTCGACGACGGTCCTATCGATAGTGAACCCCTCGGGCCCGGAGGAGACGCCGACCAGGTCGGCGTGCAGGACATGGCCGATAACTCGCTTGTTCGTGGTGAGCATCGTCTTGGCGACACGGGTGTGGAGGCGGTCCAGCTGCTCTGTCTTCGGTCGAGTTGGTCACTTTCTCCCGCTCGCGCCGGAGCGCGCTGGCGATCCTCTGGGGGTCTCCTGTGCCATCGGCCTCCTGCTGCTGCAGCCGCTCGATGTTCTCCTCCGCCTTCGTGGTGATCTCCTGCAGCGTACCGATCCTAGACTCGATCTGCGTGATGGCGTCCTCGAAGCCCTTTTCGCCTAGGACGATGATCTCCTCGCGATGCCTGCTGCTGGCCTTTTCCGTCAAACCCCGCGGGGGCGAACGACATGGGCCGCGGTCAGAGCGAGGACGCGGTCGCTGCCGCCTCCGCGGCGGAGGAATAGGCTGGCGGTACCCTCGTAGTGGGGCTTCTTGAGGGGCGCGATGGCGACGGGAAGGATAGACGCGAAAGGAGAGGCGAACTCGGTGATGACCCCGTCGACGAGGGGGTTGAGGGACATCAGTTTAGGGCCGATACCCGAAAAGCTCGTCTTCCATTCCCAGACGGCAACCTCGATCTCGGGGAAGCCAGCATTATCAAGGATGGTGCCCTTGATGTGGTCGGCAGCGGTCTTGGCATTGTCGAAGGTGACAGAGTCGGGCTCCATGCCGATGGTCATGAGGAGAGGGCAGAAGGGTTCCTTGGCCCCTTGGTTTCCCCAGCCGAAGCCCGTGACGGCGGTGAACGGCATCTGGTGTTCGCTGAGGCATGCCTTCACATCCTCGAGGATACTGGGCCAGGAGTCAGTGATGGGATGGTTGTAGACCGGGTAGAGCTGACGAAGGAACGGTTGCGCCTCCGGACCGCCCCCAGGCGTGGGCCAGCGAGAGCCCGTCTTTTAGAGGAACGGGGACCCGCTGATGGTTCAGTAGGTGTCGGTGAACGCGTCGGGATAGTCTGCTACGATGCGTGCCCGTCGTCCAGGGTCGATGTCGGGCTTGTCAAACCCGATGGCAGTAAGCGATTGCATGTCAGGCTTCGCCACAGCCCCAGCGACAGCGATAGATGCGCACTGTCTGATGAAGAGCGGATCGATGGTGGGGAGATTAACAACTGACACTGGGTAGGAACGGTCAGTAACGAGGACAGTGATAGATCAAACGGAAGGGCTTACTTGTGGATTGTTGTACTGGTGTATGTGAGAGAGCTAGCGTGAAAGTAGATAAAAGCGTTTGTTGGTTGAAGGGAGGGCGGGATATCAGGCCGCTTTTATATTAGCGCCAACGCCACCTTGCCAACTCCTGCCGCTTCAACTCTCCTGGCAGAACACTGCCATCGCAAGCTCAACTTCACCGACAATGTCACGTCAGGAAAGTGGTAACAAGATACTTCCGCTCGATAAAATGACCGCGTCGGACTTGATAAAGATGCGGTTTTCTAAGCTCGAGGAAAGAGACACTCGCCAACGGTGTGTCCCTGCCCATCCCGATTGCATCATTATACATACTGACGACGACTCCGTTGTATGCAGCGTACGTGAGGTCAGTAACCTTTGCTCCCAATCTAGCTCAACACATTGATCTAACAGCATACAGCTCGAGCATCTTGAAGAGCTGATCAAGGCAGCCGAGATTGCTTCGGTTCAGGCTGAGCAGCAGCGCGACCTGAATAGGATTATGAATGCCCGCGTCGCGATCAACCGTTTTCCTGTCGAAGTGCTCCAGAATATATTCGTGATGAGCTGCACCTTCACGCTACCCGGACGCAAATATTCATACTATCGATGCAACGACATAATCACCGTCTGGAACCCAACTTGGATTCACATGGCCAGAGCAGTCCGTCTCATGTGTGTCTGCCATCATTGGAATAAGATCGCCTTGGGAACCCGGGGGCTCTGGAATTGCATCGAACCAGTCCAAGGTAATGGAGATCATGTCTTGCTGGAGAGGTCCATTCGAGGCCCGCTCAAGGTTCTGGTGTCGCAACTCAAATTGGAACCCCATTATGCTGTTGCGCACGCTCTCCAAAATGTGGAGTATTCATCCCGAATTCAAGAGTTGTACTGGATACTTCCCTCGGAACATGAGAATGGAGAATATCTTCGAAAATATTTTCGAATGCCAGCGCCCTTTCTGAGGTCTCTTGCGTTGCACGGTGACTGGAATCCTATGCCAGATGGATCGCTCAAACTCTTCGACAACCACATCCCATGTCTGGAACGCCTGTCACTATCAGATGTGAATTGGCTGCCCAGCAATGCATTCACCAAACTGACATTCTTGGCTCTCAACTATTGCAACGTGCCCAAAGCTCCGATCAAATTACGCGGCTTGCTTGCTGGAACGCCAAACCTAGTCGATCTCATCCTGCGAAATATAGCCGACATTAGCTTGCCACGAGTCCGATTGGAAATTGATGCTGCGGACATGAAGCTTGTGTCGCTCCCTCGGTTGCGCCGGTTACTGATCAAGGATATGTGGGCCGATGATATCGAATATGTCTTCCGGGACGCTCAGCTGAATGAAGACGTGTCCGTCTCAATCAAACATATGAACAAGCGTGATGATGGCCGTCAAATGTTGGAATCGGTATTCACTTGGTCACTGAATGCCTTGAAGCAGCCGAAAGGACTGCATTTTCGGCAAGACCTCGTCATCGTCGCTGGAGCCTCTTCTGGTCTCCGTTTCGAGGTCGAGAGAGGCATGACCCTGGAGGATTGGATCACATTCAACGGGTTACAGATGCTATCCCTTTCCAGCATCTCTCACCTATGCACGTTTGAGCGGGACACATGCAGAGTGCCGGGTCTTGAACGTGTCCGCAACCTTCTTAGGCAGATGACCGCACTCGAGACATTGTCCGTCAACATTGAGAGCCTGACGAAGATTGTCGATGCGCTGGCACTCTTCCGAGATCCAACCGACCCGCCTCTCTGTCCCGCACTGACGACGCTACGTATCGCCATCCGTTATGAAAGCGACTGTGACATCATCCTAGACTCGGTCCTCCCGCACCGTGCGCAGCTTGGCGTCAAACACCTATACGTCGGGCTGATCAATTTTTCGAGCACACACTGGAGACCTCGTCAAGCTGTAAAGGACCAACTGGATGGCAACTTCGAGTCGGTGAATTTTGAGGCACTATGGAATGATAAGGCATACAACATTAGTTTGCCGCTGGTTTGCAAGGAGAACGTGTACGCTTTGTGGCCGCCCTGGCTTTAGATATTACTTAGACAAGAGATCACAATGATACATTCTGGCACCCCGAGGTACGGATGAAGTACACTAGCTGTAAGTGTTCGTGAAAGCATCGAACCGATGATTAGTAATTGACATAAATCACGCAGAAATATTACTCTCGTGATCGTCCCTTTGCACTGTGTTTCGATTGTCCTAACGAACAACACTATGCAGACAATGCTAGTCGTGTTGCACATCAGTGCAATATTTTCTTATTAGCGATCCTCAGATATAACGAGCGTACGAGAAAGTTCAATAATGACATAGATTGTGATGCCAACGCTATACAACAACTACTGTCCAAGCGATCCGAACCAGTCAGGTGTCTCAGACATAGCATCATCTCTTATGCACGCGCATGTGCTGATTTAGGTTGTCCTGTCTGCTGAAAGTCTTCTCACAGTCCGAATAGGGGCATTTATATGCTGTATAGAAGTGAGGACGTGAGCTGCGTACGATGGGACAGACGTACGTTTCTCGTGAGTGTGAATGCTTCTGATGTGCCTCTTGAGATGCTCGCCTCTTCTGAAGAACTTGCCGCACACGTCGCATTTATAGTCTCGCACTCGCTGCGAACGTTTCATAAAAGACGTCAATCCACTCTCTCAATAAATATTAGATAAGAATGGTTCCGTACCTGTTGTACTCCATTCTTCGAGACGACCACAGGAGAGGTAGGCACGCGGCGTCCTCTGCTCTTTTTCGTCAGGTTGGGTACCGGTGTGGGTATCGTGAGGCGGTGCGAGTCAGGGCGCGATGAGGACGAGGCGGGCGAGACAGTCCGCGTCTTACTGCGAGGGCGCATGGTGGAGCTGCCTGGCACGAACTCATCATCGCCGCTCGTATAACCATCCGCCATGTCGGAATCATCCTTGTACGACTCGTCACTTTCGATCTGATGATCTGAGTCGCTCGCGGAAGAGGAGGAGCTCGTGTAACTTGCGCGGCGCCTTCGCTTTCTCTTCTGGGAGCGACTCCCCGTTGAACCCGTTTCGGCTTGCAGCGCGTCATCAACCTCAGCAGGCGTTCCTTCACGGACTGGTTGATTATTGCTGAGCAGACTCATTGTGAGAGCGGTTGAAGCAAGGGGATCATTAACGAGCATGGTAGGATTGATACCGCCAGAGACGTCCACCTGCGGTGATACAGCGTTATCGTCCGACGGCGCACTCAGCTGCCGTGGTGGTATTGCGGGGGAGAGCTGCTTGGGATCGATGAATTGCGGGAGAGTTGCAGGCTCGGTTGGTGGCTGCGGAAAGGTTTCCACGTAGGTAGGAAACGTGTATGGCGACGAAGAGATCATTGTTTGGAGTGGATTGTTCAGGTGCATGGGATAAGGCAAGGGTTCTGCGTTGTACAATGTTCGTGCAAATGAGGTCATGTCAGTATGAACGTTGACTTGTGGATGTGATAGAAGAGACCGGCGAGATTTCAGTGATAATAGGGAAGTTATGATCTGGCAAACGAACGAAGCCCCGCTCCATTGACTCATCAAGTCGGGATGGATGGGTCATCTGCTTCAAAATGACGATCCGAAATGTCCATAGTTCTTTGCGTCTTCACGGTCTCTCTGAAGCCCATATGTCAGCCGGACTCTTTACTCACCTTGCAATCTATGAGCCGAGCTCGTGATCGGAGCGGGATAGTGACTCAGATCTATAGGCTGCCCGATAGATTCCCCAGGCTGTCTTTCATACTCCATGAATTGCGATATCGGGCCGGAGGAAAGATCAAAATCCTCTGTGGGCGACGAAGTGTGATCTGTATCGATATACTGTTGAGATGACGTGCGAACGTAAGATCCGTGGAAGGACATGGCGCTACGGTTGGAAGTTTGCGCGGGTATCGACTGGATGTTGGGGCAAGGAGCTGCGATATGAATTTACTAGCTATTTATGAGCCCAATTTTATAGTTTTTTCGGAAGACCTTGAGCAGCGGAGGTGTTCATTCGGAAAGGGGTATGGATATCCGACAAACGATGCATACCCGATGCCGCCAAGTACTCGTCCGAGTCGGTCGAACATCGAACAATTACTTCTCTCGAGTCCGAGCGGCTTTCGAGCGATCTGACACCAGACATGTCGATCTGCAGAGGCTTTCATGACTACACATAAATGGAAAAAAAATAAACACCGGTAGTGCAAGGAAATGCGTCGGAAAATTTGAACTTGATTGGTTGTGATACCAACGTAAGCGCGGGCCACAACGGTGGAAATTTCCCACGAATGTGTCGCACGGTCCTAATTTGGCAGGCCCTGTTGATGCCGCGCTGCCCTCAGGCTCTCGTCCTCCTCCTCACATCAACCCTCGATTACAATTATTTGGATCGTTATTGCGAGCTATGCCTGTGCAGTGTACACCGCAACATTGTTCCCGCAGAGCTGCATGACCCTTCAAGTGGTTATCAAATGCATAGTTCATCGCAGACGAGCTCGCTTCAGAAGTGCTCTGCGATGACTTTTCCAAGTCAGTTTTGCCAATGGCATGAACAATTCAGCTCAACTCAGGTGGCTGGCCAAGCCATGTGTGTTATGGCGTTCTCCTACATTCATAATGTTACGATTTTGACCACTCATGGTTCCAGCTAAGGCAACACTGCAATGATTCGGAGGTTGACCGGTGACCGCCCACCCCACGCATCGGCCCAAGGGTCATAAAATGTCCCAACTCCTCTTTTCCACATCTTTACTTCAGTTCATCTCGAGTCCAGCCGCTATTCGCGCTTGCATTCAAGATGTGCTATATTGGCTGCTCCGCAGTCTCTGTATCTCAGGAATTCGTCATCGCAGTTGACGCTCCTGCGCCTCGCAAGAAGTCTCTCAAGATCAAGCGAGTCTTTGCGAAGGTCGCAGAAGTCTTTAAGCTTAGAAGCAAGAAGGCAAAGGGCAAGGTCAGTACCTGGCTGTATGACACGGGAGCATTAAATAATTCACTACCTCCAAACAGCCTGAAGTCTCTGACTTCAATGCCTCGTCCTTTTCGTCAATCGTCTCCGCTCCCATCGAGGACGCGCCCGTCGCCGAGGTCGTCAAGGTGCAGCACGAGGAGCCCTCGTGCGCTCGCACCCAGGTCGCTGGCTCCATTGAGGAAGAGTCCGTAAACGTCTGCGAGGAGGCTAAGGACGTTGCGACCAGCTCCGGCACCATCGCAACTCCTGTCATCCTCTACCAAACCGCTGCTAAGATCAGCCGCTCCGTAAAGACCCCCAGCCTTATCCCCGTGCGCAAGACGATTGTCCACGCTAAGGGTGAACTCGAGGTCAAGGGGACTTCCGTGGTCGGCAGCAACGTCTCCAAGGTCAAGAAGGCGAGCAATGTCGGTACCGTCATCAGTCCGAAGGAGAAGAAGACGGACGTCTCGACTGTAGTGCCGGTTGCTGTCCGCACCTCGATCAATGTCTCCAAACATACTTTCATACCCATCCCAGCCAAAGCGATCTCCATTCAACCTCGCAGCACCTGCCACGTTCGAGTGCGTGCCCACGGCCCCGGATATGTCCGCAAGGCTCAAGCCGGCACCATCGGCGACAAGAGGGAGCCTCTCAAAGTTCGAAGCAATATTCCCGCGCCTACGAGGTATACCAAGGTCAGTAGCTTGGGCGAGAAGGAGAACAAGCAAGATGGAAAGGGAAAGCCGAAGAAGGCTGAGTCATACACTGTTACCAAGGTATGGTGGTCCGTCGGCTTTGACCTTCCGTTGTCTGAATGTTACTTCGTCAGCAGGAGACCGTTAATGGTCCCCTGGAAGTCATTCCGACGTGTGTGCAGTCCATCTCCATTATCCATTCCACATGAGCTTATTTCTGACCGCATATAGAGATATATCTAAGCAGCTTCGAGAGAAGGCAGACGAGGAAGTCATTAACAATGACCCGCTCACTGTCGCAAGCCTCGGAGCCCATGACATAATTTCGATTACACCACGTACTGCCCATGGCATTCCGGACACGTACGTTGTATCCTCGCGTTCAGAGTTCATTTGTACTCATGATACGGCTACCCAGTACGCAACAGATCACAGAACTCAAGAACGATAATGTCATTCCTACCACCATCAGTGGTCTACCGTCGATTCCGAGCCTCCCCTCTATCAACAACCTTATTTGCATGTATACGTACGTCCCTGTCAGCCCGTCCGAAGCCATGATGTTGACCTTTCGGATGCGCTCCACAACAGATCTTCCTCTCTCGGAGGAGAGCATATTACGGATATCAAGATCACTATCAGCGCTTTGCCCACGATCGACAGCCTTTACGAATGCGAGAAGAAGCCCAGTTTCACGCAAGCGCAGCTTCGATCTGAGAACGACAGTGCCTTTCTGAACGCAGAAAGGACAAAGAACGTACAAGACTTTGATAACGCCTCGGTATTGGCCGAGATCCCTCCCGAGGCGAGTCAGCGGATCGACGAATCTACTCTACACAGCGACGCTTGCGAGACAGTGCACCACAACGTCGCGCCTGTCTCCATTAGCTCTGAAATCAGGGCTCACCCCACCACGTACCCTATCACTTTGACTGCCACTCACGATTTACATGGAACGATTGCAGGATCAGACCCGCATCGCGTCGTCGAATCCATCGACCTTGTCCACCCTACTATCCCACAGCCGCCAGCCGTCCTTTCCTCTGTCACCGCAGCATCCCAATGCGCCGGCACTCAAACTTGCTTATACATGACTGTGGACGTCATGAATAAAGACCAAGTTCCCCAGTTTTCTGTCCCTACAGTCATTGCGTCGACAGTTTCTCTTGACGACCGCAGCACCCTATGCACCATAAACCGAAACGACGAGGATCCAGAGTCCCTCAGCACGATGGACCAGTGCGTCCAGAATATACAGCATGCACTCAAGACTCCCGCGAGGTCCGCATCCCAGGCTTTTGTCCAAATGGACGACCAGGAAAACGGAAGCCCGCTATGCCTTCACGGCAACGTCGAATTCCTCGAGAAGGAACGACAAGCAAAAACGTACGTCTGCAATGTATCGCCTACTGCCGCCGACTCGGCGCCTGCTGCTCCGACATTTAATCTCCCCACTTCGACATGCTCTGCAACGAGCACCCAAGCGCATAACGATGATGACGACGAGGAACTAGCAATCCAGCTACCTCGCGATCTCGCGCGTCAGGCACAGGCACGTGCGTTGACCCTGAAGAACAAGTTGGACGCGATGGGCGCGGGGGAACGCGAGCGCCGCATAGCCGCACTGACGACGAGACACGAGCCAAATTCTTCAGCGTCACCCGCGAAGGGTAGGCTGATCCAACTTCGCCCCTGCGATTCCTCTTCCACTTCCGCTACTATGACAGCTCCGCCTTCCACATCGCGCATTCCTATTCTCAAGCGCGCTCCGGCTTCCAGAGTAGGACTAATCCAGTCAGATAACAACACGACAGCGTCAGAAGTCAGTCGCGCGAAACAGCGCTACCTTGACTATCGAGCGAGGAAACTGTACGAGCGGCAGATTGGTTCTACGGAACTCAAGATGAACTCGACTCCCACTGTCCTGAAGGACGCTTCGGATCGCAACGCGCGAGGCCAGATTTATAGGCGACCACTGCGGCCTGTCACGTCGAGCACTTTGAACGTTATTGAGCAGACGAAGAAGTCTGCTGTTGATCCCATTGCAACCAAAGACCGTAGCCCGTAGGATATGTTGCGGGAGGGCATGAAATGTCTGTAAGTTTTGCCTTGACTACCTTGAGATGAGGGAAGCCGGGAAACTGTCGAGCAGCACGAGAAGATATTTATTTGTTTCTGCTTTATTTGAAGTTCATCCATTGCATCGCGTTATCTCTTCCGCAGATTATATGCACGATCCGTCACGTCTCTATCCATACCAAATATCGTTAGATATACGAACCTGACCCGAAGTTTTTCACTAGCAGTAACTTGCGCATGTCACTGATCCAGAGCCTTTCAAAGCAGATATCGACGTACACGCTGTGATTCAACTACGACATCTGTTTATGTGCACAAAATGATTACGCTTGGTCAGGTATAGCACGTGGGACATGACCGTGATCAAGAGCCACAGCACAACAGAGGCGGAGAGGAGGCAGTGCATAGTAGGAAAATGTAAGCAGTACAGTTGTGCAACACACTGAGAATACTGAAACGGTGGAAGAGCATATATTAGCATGATAGTCATAATGAGTGAGGTCGCTGCTCCTCAAGAGCAGCCTGTGAGGATGAGTAACGAGCAAGCGCATTTTCTGTGACCTCGACATCATCAGAGAGGTTCGTTAACGCACGTCAACGCGCTCGCCTCCTGGATGAAACCACTGCATTTGGTTTCCGTAACGTCAGGCTGACCGATAAAAATCGCAGTTCAGTGGAACATAGGAAGCCTCACGATGTCCGTTCCGTGACTTCTGCCAGTCTTTTGCAACCGTAAAGATAATAACCGTCCGAGTCTTCCATCTGCAGGGTTGTATCTGTCACGATCGTTATCATGCTTCGTTATGGCTGTAGCCTGTGAGTTGCTACAATCTCATTGCTGCACTCAAGCATGTTGACGGACTCTGCGTTCTGTAGTTTGTCTTTTACAAGGGCAGTTTGCTCTTCCTAGGCATGGCCGCCGTGCAGGGCAAACGTGTGTGCCCAACACTTTCCTCGTGCAGTTTTGTTGACGATCGTCACGCAGTCTACGCCAACTCCTTCCTTGCTACGTAGGTTACATATACATTCTACTCCTCAGGCTCCATTGCATGCTCACGCTCGACGAAGGTTGAATGCTCGACAGCACTTGAATAGTCCTCGAGGCATCGCAGCAGGCGACGCGATCACTATAGGTTCGCTGCTGAAAAGATTGCCGGGGGAGATAGGTACGCGACACCAGGAGTAAGTTTCCTACACGTTCAGATCGAAGACAGAAGTGTGTGCTCAGCAATTTGTCTCTCCAGCGCCACATTGCCAGGATCTATCAGACGGTCACGAAAGCCACGCACGACGACTCCGCGCAAGGCATCGACGTAGGGTCCAGTGTGACTGAAGTCCCGAGCATGTGGATATGGGCGTGGACGGCGCGGACGGGCGCAAAGTCCAAATTTTGGTCTAATCCAGATGCCATGACCGTGATTGAATGCTCCCAGGGATCGCATGGATTAATGTAGGATACATGGACGTCTAAGAATTTATGAATGGATGTCATGCAGCAGGTTGGGAGGATGCGGTGCAATAAGAGGTTCAGGCACCGCAAACCTCAAGCGTGGGGACGTGGTTGGTCGTCGGCGTTTTCCTCCTCATCCTGAATCGCACCGTCGTAAGATTCCGCGCACAGAGTACTTCAGTACGGTTTGGGCCACTCATCAGCGCGATTCCTCCAGGAGAAACCTTCGCGATATTAAGGATGCGATACAGATCACCTATCTAAGTTAGAATATAAGCATATGCGTATTTCTAGGCCAAGTATCTCTACGCATGCATGCCGGCGTCATCCGTGTCGATTCCGTAGAACTCCCACATCCTCCGCACGTCCATGTCTGGCACCCCGGACATCGTCGACTGGGTCCTGCCGTCGATCTGCCAGACCATCTTCCTCTGCGAAATTCCAATCAGCATTGGCATATGCGCGGGAGCTACCCGACAAGCCAAATACTTACAAGTCCAAGCGTGATCTTGATTCCGGGCGGACCAGGTTTATAGTGCTCGAGCTGGACGCCCTTGGTCGGGTCTTCACCTCGCTCGCTGCGTTCTATCATCTTGAGTATGTTCCGCACGGCAACCTCCGCCTGCATAGGGCATCTGCACGTGCTATCCGGACAAGCGACCGAGGAACGTACCTGATAGAATGAGTTCCTTCCAGCTTTCTGCGCGCCGAATGCATCCACTGCGTCGCCAATGGCAAATAAGTGCGGATAGGGCACGCGAAGATTTTCGTCTGCCTGCTGCGAGTCGGCTATCGACATCTTGCTAATCGCTGTCGAGAGACCGATCGTCGAGGTCATGGGCGCTGCGATCTGCATCGTCCGTGCGACGCGTATGAGGCCTTTTTTTGGGCCATCTGAGATCACGGCATCCGGGATCGCCTCAACAATGAGCGCAGTGTTGGGATTCTGGCCTGTGCATAGAAGCTGCAGAGTGTCAGTAGTATAGCTGAAGCGAACAAGGCATCGACTAACTATGAGCTCCGCGCGGATCTCTAGCCCACTAAGGGTACGAACGACACGCTCTTTCTTGCCGTCAGGCATTGTGACCGTCTTGCCTTCTTTAATAGAGTGAAGATCGAGTCTCTCGCCAAGGATGACGTTGACGTTCAATGCAGCCATAGATGACATGACTGCACCCAGTTCGCGTAAGATATGAGACATAGGTATTTGAATGATTCATTGCACTCACCCTCCTTGTGCATCGATTCCTCAAAAGCTGGCAGGAGGCGATCACGAGAGTGGAGCAACGTAATATGCTTATTCGGGTAGACTTCTCCAATATCGCTGGCATATTCTGCAAGGACTTCGTCAATACTGTCCAATATTGAGGATCGCAGACTACCCACGAACGCCCAACGGACCTCCACCTACAACAAGCACGCTAGACGCCATCTCAATCCTGTCGTGAGAATGCTGTAACCACTCGATCCCCTCTGCCTTCGTTCCTTGATACGAATGTGCGCTTGCTGCCGACGGAACACCGACAGTTGAAGATGCAGATAAACCAGTGGTATGATGCGCGCCATCCGCTTGATCGACGCCTGTCGCCACAGTTGAGACATCCTTTTCGTCCCCTACAGGCCCCCAAAGGTCGATAGGCGCAGGCAGATGGCTCCCCAGAGCATACACCACATAGTCGAAGTGCAGAGTTCTTGACGGCTCAGTGATGCCGTGTTCCGGAAAGGCGCGAGAAAGGGACACGGTGTGCGGTGTAAGCGATGTAACTTGTGCGTGAAGGACAACGGCGTTCGTGGAGTTAGAGGCGGGCGATTCACCTGGGAGATGGAACATGGTGTTGTACGGGATGAAGGCCTTGTGGGCGTGCTCGGGTAAGATGGCATAGCGCGGCAGGACGTACAGGTGGTTCATGTGGCTATTCCGGTCCACGACCACCACTCGCCAGTTTTCCGGGAGATTCTGCGCGAGGAGTATGGCGGCGCGAGCGCCTTGTACCGTGCATCAGTGCACGTATAAGCTCTGCGGTGCACGCGAGACTCACCTCCATAAGACGTGCCCAGCACCGCAACGGTTCGCGAAAATGAAGAGGAGCCCATCTGTGTTCTCTGCTGCTTTGCATCAAGAGCCTGCTGTGCGACTGTCATGGCTATACTTAAATATCAATTATGATGCAGAGTCGCCGAGGAGACGCGTCAATGTCGGCAACGACTCGAACAAGGAGAAAGCCTCACCGATAATTTAAAGATGCCTTTCTAGCCTGTTGATCAGTCAATGTCGTCCGATGTTATGGAAGAAGGAGAGGAACGGGTGTGAGGACTCTTTCTGCCGGGCGGCTGGGCGTATCTGATAAGATGCCGATGCATCAAATCTCAGATTATCTGATAAGATATGCCTGCATGTCAAGGCAACCGATGTTCGCTCCAGCTTCACAAACTCATGGCTCTGAAGTATTGTGAGGCATGTGGTGACTCTGCGAGAACCAAAAAGGGGGGGGGGGGTCTCACAGTTAACATTGTGGTCACGTTTCTCGCCAGGCACATTCCGCTTGCCGAACAGCAGGATTTGATATAGCCTCACGCATCAGCTGTGGTGGCGAATTGATCAAGGCGAAAAACCAGTACGCACCTGATTTGTCAGAATCCGATCTTTTTACATTCCAGGCCACAGAGACGACAGAGGATCGATGTCCGAAGCGAAAAGATCATGGAGCCCCGCAAATGAACGAGCCAAGAAAGGGCTGGCCAAGTGCCGCTGCGACGCATGTTTGGCTTGGGCCGCGGCCTATTTGAGTATGACAACCGGTCTGCTTCATCCTCGGCATCCTCCTTTCTCGTCTGCGTGAGTTCGTCGGGATACAAGCTGCGAAGCAGGAGCTCCGGGGAGTTGAGTGATCGACGAAGGCGAAAGGAGCGTGGCGTCGAATATTTAACCGCCCGCTTTACTAACCTGTCGTCGAGACTCTGCTGCGATAGACGCACAAAAATGGCGGGAAATTGACGAAATACTGACCTCGTATTCTCACTCTGCTCGGTCTAGCTGGGCAGATGATACACGAATGCACGATACTAGTCCTCGCTGTGACTTGTGAAGTCTGGCAAAGCCAGGCGTAATTCATATAGTTGCTTCACGAGGCATTTCAGGAAACCTCAAATCGACTCCCACCCATGATAAGATCACAAGCCCGAGCTGGATGAGACCTCGGAGAACGTGTGAAGTTCGGAACTAGCGCAAGGAGCGATGCGCTAGACCGAACGCTTGCTTACTAAGCATGCGGACGAGAAAGAGACGCGCTCACCTGACTTCGGTATCGCGTCTTCTCTCCGCCACTACCTCGCCTTGCTCATTTTAACCTTTTTCCTACCCACCCACTCCTTGGGGTATCTTGTGGTTGGTGTAGTCGTGCCACCCTTTCTACGGCAGCTATGCGCCACTTCACGCTCGAGAGATTCGGCCTAGGCCACTTAGGAGCCTGCCCACATTGAGCAAGACCCTGGACACCTTGATCTGGACCCTGGACACCTTGATCTGGACCCTGGACACCTTGATCTGGACCCTGGACACCTCAATCTGGACCCTGGACACCTTGATCTGGACCCCGAGCACCTCTCGCGCGCGCATGCCTGATGCACACGCACCCCGGCAGAATCCTCTTACCCCACACCCTGTAGTCGTCTGAAAACCCTTGTACATTACATTCCTCCTCTATCTGGAGCATCCGCAGCTATTAGGAAGCTACCCCCATGCGCTCGCCGCTCTCCTTTGGCGCTGTCTCCGTCAATCTTCAATAGCGCGTACATCTCACTGCTCGCAACCGTCATATTACATTTCAGCGTGCTATCCCAGAACCCATGCCTCAAATCACAGATTACTATATGCCGTATGGACACCAGCCTCTCCCTTGCTCGGCTCAGATACCTTTCGTCGTCATGCCTGAAAGTGTATGGTTCATGAATAGAGAAGCGTGTTTACCATCATCACTGAGCTTCTTTATGCAATGCTAGTACACCGCACCGCACAAATCTCCCAAGCTTCCTGGTTGATACAGTCAGCCATGAAACATGCATTGCATGACTGGCTGACCGCTGGTCATGAACTGCGACAAATTATGCGGCTCCATTTGTGATGAGCTCGAATGAGCTATTCACGTGGTGATGCGGCCGGACAATGGTTGGTTACACCAACGTTGTCGTTACCACCCAGGCCGTGCACGAGTTTGTTGGTTCAGGCGACATGGAGATGATTGGGAAGATAACTGACTACTCTGTGCCTTAGACTATCGGTCATAAAAGGTTCTGACCTTCTTTCTGCATCTTTCTTTCATACCAATAGCTCATCTCGAATCCAGTTGCTATCCGCACTCGCATTCAAGATGTGCTATATTGTCTGCTCCGCAGTCTCCGTATCTCAGGAACTCGTTGTCGCGATTGACGCTCCTGCACCTCGCAAGAAGCCTCTCAATGTCAAACGAGTCCTCGCGAAGGTCGTGAGTGCCTTCAAGCTGAGGAGCAAGAAGGCGAAGGGCAAGGTCGGTACCTTCCTACATGCTATGTGCTTCGCGAGCTCAGAATGATACTGTATCCATACAGTCTGAAGTATATGAATCCTCAGCCTCATCCTCTCCCGTTACCGTCGCTGCTCCCCTCGAAGATACATTCGTCTCCGGGTTCGTTATGGTGCAGCGTGAGATGCCCACATCTGCGTTCGCTCTAACGGTTGTGCCTACCGCCATCGACGTCGACGCAAAATCTATTGCGGTCGGCGAGGTGGCCAAGGACGTTGCTACCGGCCTCCGCACCATCGCGGCTTCCGCTCCTCCCTGCCCTTCTTCTGCTGTGATGTGCTCCTTCCCGGCGTCCACCAGTCTTATCCCTGTGCGCAAGATCGCGGTGTGTGCTGGGCTCGAGCTCAAGTCCTAGAAGGCAATCGCGGTTGGCTGCGACATCCCCAAAACGAAAGGGACGGCTAAGGTCGGAGCCGCCGTCGGTTTCAAGCAGAGGACAGCGAACGACATTGTTAAGATCCCTATCGCTACTCGCATGACGAGTGTCATCTCAAAGTCTATCTACCTACCTACCTCAACTATCCCTATTGCTATCCAACCTCGTAGCACTCGCCGCTTACGCATGCGAGCTCGTGATCCCGGTCACGTCCGCAAGGTCAGGACTGGCCCCATCGGCCAGGACAGAGAGCATCTCGACAATCGAAGCAATCTTCCTGTTCCTACGAATTCGACAAGCATCGGAGGGCTGTGCGAGAGGAAGACGCGTGGCGAAAAGGACAAGGAGAAAAATGTTGACTCATATGTTGACACCAAGGTATAGCAGTCCGTTCTCTCTGAGCTTTCATTAACTCACAACCGTGCTGTCTGCAGGAAGCCGTAAACGGCCCCATGGAGGTCATTCCAACGTACGTGTTCGGCCTGATTTGCCTCATCAGATGAGTTGACTTGCAACTGCGTTATAGCGACGTGTCCAGGCAGCTTCGAAAGAAGGCGGATGAGGAACTCATCAACAATGACTCGCTCGCTTCCGCAAGCCTCGGAGCTCAAGGCATGGTCTCGGTCACATCAAGTGCTGCTCACGGCAGCTGGAACATGTACGTTCTACCCCATTTCCCGATCTGCAGCTGTACTCACGTAGTTATCACCACAGCGCGCAGTACATCGCAGAGCTTACGAAGGACAACGTCATTCCTACCACCTTCAGCGCTCTGTTGTCGATCGCGAGCCTTCCATCTATCAATGCTCTGACCCGCGCATATATGTACGTTCCTGTCGGTCTATCGGAGACTTTGATGCGTTGACGTTGTGTATGCATTCATAGGACGTCGTCCTCGTTTGGAGGTGAGCAGATCACGGATATTCAGATTACTATCAGCGCTTTGCCCACAATCGAAAGCCTTTACGATAGCGAAATAACCTCCGGTTTCAAGCAAGTGCAGACGTGCACTGGATATCACCACAGCGCCTCTCTGCATGCAGAGAGGACAGCGAACATACAGGACTTTGAGCGTAACTCCGCATCGACCAAGACCTCTCCAGAGGCAAGTCAGCAGGTTGTTAAACCTGCTCCCCACAGCAGCATCCCCGTCGTTTGCAAGACGGGGCAAGGCAATAAAGCATTGAACAACGTCAACTCTGACACTAGAGCTATATTTTCCATGCATCCTATCACTCCCATTATTGTTGCTCACGGTTGCGACGCAACGATCGCAGAATCGGGCCCGCAGCACATCATCGAATGCATCGACCTCCAACAGTCCGCTGCCCAACAGCCACTAGCGGCCCCTTTCACCAACTGCATATCACCGCAATGCGCACACACTACGCTGCGCTCATCTACAACCACCGATGTCACGGACGGAGGCCAAGTCGCCCAGTCCAGCATCCCTCCAATCACCCGGTCGAGAATCTCTTCCGACCGCGCCAACGCCCCATGCACCACGAATCGCGATGACGAGGATTCCGAGATCCTCAGCACGATGGACCGGCGTGTCCAGAAGACGCGACATGCAATCGAGACCTTCGCCAGGTCCGTATTCCAGACTCCTGTCCGAATGTATGATCAGGAGAATGTGAAGCCGTTATGTCTTCACGGCCATGTCGAATCCCTCGAAGAGGAACGACAATTTCAGACGCACATCATTGACATGCTCTCTACTGTCGCCGAGCTGGCACCCGCCGCTCCCATATCTATATACTCCACTATGACAGAATCTGCAACGAGCACCTGCGTGCTTGTCGACGCTGATAATAAACACCCAGGACGCCGATCGACTTGCGAACGCGCACATGAGGCACAGGCGCGTGCATTGATCCCGAAGAACAAGCTGGATGCGATGGCTGTAGAAGAACGTGAGCGTTGCGTTGGTGCGCGGATGGCCAGAAACGAGAGAAGAAACTCCGCCTCGGCCAATCAGAATAGGACGGTCCAATTCCGCGCCTGTCCCTTCTCTTCGTCCCTTACTACGACAACTGCGCCTCCCCAATCCCGCACTCCCGTTCTCAAGCGCATCCCAGCTCCTAGAGCCGAAACGGCCGAGTTGAGCACCGAGACGACACCGTCAGACATTAGTCGCGCGGAGCAGCGCTATCCTTACTACGGAGCGAAGAAGCTCTATGAACAACGGATTGGCGCCAGATACACCACGACGAACTTGAGAGGTGCTACCGCCCAACATGGTTGGGATTTCCTGCTACCTCAGCACTCGCATTATACATCGAGGCTGAGGTGAGTACCTATCGGACTCCTTACTGCCTTTTGCTCATGTACTGTAGTTACTCATTTACTATGTGTCTTACAGGTATATTTTCTATAGCACTCACATCATACATCAGGGCTGAGTCACCTGTTTCCTGCATGTTTTACAGTGCTCGGAAAGTTTCATCTCGGACAATACGGTATCTTCCAGACACATGAGAGGAACGGGAGCGTACCAGACATAGTACATTACATGACAGTGCTTGTTGGGGCGTGAAACTGATCAGAGCGGAACTCGAGCGTTTATATATAAGGTAGACACATTGACGGTGTCGAATTGTCATCAAAATATTCTCTGACATGTAGCCATCAGTATCAGATATACAAAGAGCACGAAGACCGCCAGAAATCCCAGACGGGCCATTTGTGTCGACGGGCGCACAACTTCAAACAACTTTGTCGTCGGACTCCATGATGAGCACAATGCTTCGGTTGGAGGGAGCCACTACATTTGTCACGATTCGACACAATATTGCTAGACCCAGTAGAATTGTAGCGTCATATTCGGTAGAAAATTCTTCGCTTTGTTTATACCTCCGGCAGTGGCACAGTGCCGCACGAACTTGACACGTGATGGATCGGGGACGGCCGAAGCCAAAAGTCCCGAGCCTAGTGGTGTTGGTCCACTTCCGCAGCCAAAGCCCTGGAGCCTGATTCGTCCAGGCCAAGTTCCTGGACCTGGGCCTGAGGCCTGATCAATGATTGGCCCCGAAGATTCCACTACAAACGATCGCAGCGTTCAACAGCTTTACCTAGGTGTACGCTTTACCTAGGTGAGTGTCCGAGACGTACACTCGCTTGTCTCGTCTATTGCAACGTGTAACACCGTTAGTCACGTGCCTCGCATTGGCCGAGCTGCAATGCGGCCTTCACGTCGATGGCGTCGGCGGCGTCGGCACATCAGGAAAACTATCCAGCTTAGAACACTCTCGTTCGCTTTCCGTCACCAAAAAATACAGTAAGCTCGAGAAAGTCTCATTTTGAACTTTTTTTCTCGGTTGGAAGCTTCTTATTATGCACTTATTCGGTTGTACAAGCCAATACCAGCAGGAACAAGTCAAAAAGGAGGTTCTCGAGCCACAAGTCGGTTTCAGCATTCCTGATGAACCCCTCAAGGCCCGACTATATATCCCGTCCTTTCCACCATCTACTCGCTCCCTTTCCTCTGCGTACTCGATGTCCATCCCCACCTCCCGTCGCACTCAAGGCCTACGTTGATGACCTGGGCCTGTTGGCGGCTGGCTCCACTTTCGAGCTCACTACTGACCACCTCGAGTGTGCCTACCCGCTTGTTTCACACAACGTCGACCTTTGCCTGGCTGCTGACATCGACAATCCGACCTCCTCCTTCACCTCTATACAAAGCATCTCGATCTCCCTCGCACTCCTTCTGTCAACATCACTCCCCCCGGGCTTCCCCCGCACTTCTTATGCCCTCAGCCTGTCGTCCGCCGGCTTGGTTTCTGGCTGGATGGTCAACTGTCTTTCTGACATCATGTCGATTCATGGCCAACCATGTTTTCTCGGCTGCTTGCACCTCCCTGTCCTTGCCAACACCGTCCATAACCTGTCCATTCATGTGGTTCGCCTCCTCTCAGGCTATGTCTGGCAGTCCATGAGTACAAGTCTCACGCTCGACATACCGGAACCTGCCCGTACATCGTTACTGAGTGCCCGCGTCATGCCATGCCCGTCACATCCTCCGCGAAGCGTCGCCTGTGGTCTGTATGGTGACCCTCTTCTCCACTCCCAAGCGCCTCCGCTTCCTCGCGTCCTTTATGCGAGGACTACTGCGTTATCGAAGACAACCCCACCCCCCATGCCTGCCGTTGACTTCGATAAGCTGTTTCATCCACTCATCTTCACGCCCTCTCCAGCCTTCGCCTTTCACCCACCATCGCCGTATATCTCATTGCCGCTGTCTATCATAGTTATGGCGCGCGGGATATAGATTGTATTCAAAAAAAGCGGCGTTCATGTGCCAATTCAATCCGATCTCTCTAAAGAAGTGATAATTGATACTGGTGTTGTTCAACGTGCTACTCTGTTTACTATCTAAGCCAGAAAATCCAGCTGGCTTCGTTTGAGCTACAACGTATACTGGTGCATACAATGCTAAGTATATGATCAATCTTGTCGAAGCACTGCTAGAACAGGTTGAAAGCCGCGCTTGGAAACCTGTTTCACTCCCAGGAGCACGATCTGATCAAAGGTAATGGAGCCTCCGGGAGACAATTCCCACCCAGGCTCGGTACACTTCATGCCGGAAAATTTCTATACGCGGCATTAGCGCGACGACTAGTATGCTTAAGTGCGTGGCAGTTACCTCGATCATGATCTTCACCTGCTTCGCTATCTCCTTTGCAAGTTTCATGATAGTGATGGATTGCGGCACCTTCGCCGAGGTCCGGACGTTCACTTGTTTCGTATAAGATGTGTACCCTGGCCACTGATGTCGAATTCGTCAAATGCATCGTAAACACTGCGGCTTCAATATCACTTGCCAAAATTTGTATGGACGCCTTTTGACTGATTTTCCCTTTGTACACGGGCTTGTGTAGTCCTCGTCTTTTTACCTCTTCTTTTAATGCTGCGGATAGCCAAACGAGGTCGTTCATGTCCGGAACGAACTCGAATAAAATGAACGGTTTGAACGGGATTCGTGACTTAGGCTTGTAGCGTTTTTGTGGCACCTCTTTTATACACATCATTTGGGAGGAGCTAGGCCTGGACACTTCAGACTGCTCGAGCTGGGCGACAAATTTCTCAAACCCTTCGTTGGCCTGGTAATCGTGAACTAGATTTCATTGGACACACAATAATGACGTACTATCACGGCTTCCATGGCTCTCAAGTCAGTTAGATAGTCGTGGGCATATGACCGTGGTCCCGCCATGGGCTTTGGCTCGTCGCGCGCGGTGTATTCCTTGACCAATGCTTCAACACCACCGGAATGCAGCTTGTAATCCCCACTCGTCGACGTGAGAGGCAAATGAACAGTATGCGCGACTTCAGTCGGCGCGTTGTCCTGTGTGCCGATGAGCGGGGCGTCAACAGCAAATCATCAATTCTCGTACTCGATGAAAGACCCCGTCGGTGGTCTGATGTCTTTTCGAACTAACAGCCACCTCCTTCGACGTGCTGCCGATCTTGCCCTAGACATGTCGCACTCGGTGTTGAGTAATGGACAACCAGCGACCTGGCAGCTAGACGTACCTCGTCAAGTGCGTGGCCCAGTTCCGAGTAATGACTGGTCGTTGCGGAGGGATAGCATGAGGGGTTAGACTGAACGCGTCGATTATCCCAACACATCTCGAACACAGGTAAGCGTAAGGGATTGCCACCATCGTCTGCGCTGGTCATTAAATACTAGTGTCCAGGTCGAAACGCACAGTTTGCCAAATGCATGATGGATATCGGGAGACAATGCGACCAAGGATGGGTGACGAGTAATCCGGATATCTGGGCGGAGGCACCACGTAACGTGCCGCCTTGAGCCCCCACTACTCATCGTTGTAAAGCCTCCGCAGAGACAGCCTTTACAGAATTCATCATCAGCATCTAGATATCTAGAGAGCACGCGGCTGACGCACAAGCGACGTCCACGTTCTTCGTCGTCCGAAGGCCTCAAGGCAGAGGCCAACAAGATCCGACGAGAAGCATCCTATGGATATTGCTTCATGATTGGCTGTGGATCATTTGAGGCGGAGGGCAGCATCAGCGGAAAAAATAGTCAGCTGGATACCTCGGCAAGGCACTCTGTGACCGACGCGGCGGGAATCGGAAGGACCGACCACATCAGATGGGCAGGCAACATGCATCGCCACTTATCTCAAGCGGACCTATTGTGTGCAGTCTCTAAACAAGTCCACCAAGAGAGGTGACCTTTCCGTTCTCCTATGCCCCGCATCAGCGTGCGAATTGGATGCCTTTTCAATTCGTCATGGAGCTTGCATTTGATATCGTGGGCTGGCGTAAGCTTGGCGGTGTGACCAGTCACATAAAGCCGACCTTTCTGAGCGCAGTCCGATAAAAGCTAGGTACAAGGCTTCGCTGGAGATGTAAAGCTACCCACTGTGTTTGGGAGGAGTACCGATGAGCGTGTATCAGGCACCACATGAGGGCGGAGAACTGGAAACGGCGTCGGTATTGCTGACCCCGACTTGCTTAGATGTCAGACAAACTTGTTGTGGGCGATAATGGCAGACGGACCGTGCCGTTTTGAGCGGTGGAAATCAGAGGAGTTCTGATCCAAGAGAAGCATGTCAATGCCGTACACAACGCTCTTTTCACCGGTGTGGGATCAAGCGCTCATCGTCGCCCGCCAGCTCGCAGATTCCTCTCTTCCGATGAAAGTCCATGAACCTATTGGGTGCGGTCTTTTGCCCGTAGCGCGCTTGTGCAGGACAATCATCCTTGCATCTTCAGTACGCTCAATTGAGTTTGAGCGGAGGAGCATTGTATGTAGCCGGACTTCGGCAACATGCATCGCCACTGCTCTTAGGCGGACCTGGATTCAAACGTATTGGACGAAGGCTGCGGCGTGGAATCCCCGAGAAGTGCTGCTGCATCCTGGATGGCCATCTTCTTTGCTGAGTTCAGAGAACACTGCGCATCGCATCCGGTAGGAGGTGCGACACGGTCGTGCTTACAGATGGCCGCCGAACGGAGATAGTAAATAATGCGGCAGAGTCGGGCTAACAAGAGCACGCCTCTATCCTCGATACCTAAGTATCTTGGTTGCCACTCCTTGCAAGGCGCAACACTCACATGGACAACGTAATTGACAGCATTCAATCTTCCATCGTGCACTGGTCAATAGAACCAGAGACCGGGGCTCTTAATCCAAAGAAACTGATATCGGGAAGTACAGAACATCTGCACACCCGGTTCCTCAGCTGAATCAACACGCGCCTGGATGCCAACTGTCATGACTTATCACAGAAGGTGTGGTGAACTTGAACACGACCTGGTCGCATTTCTCGCGTGTGAACAAGTTGGAGCAAACTTGAACGGATTAGCCGAAAGGCGATAGATTTGGTCGTCGAGGCAAGAGATCAATTGAGTCGTCGCACTCAGGACGCTTGAGATCAACTGACTACATTAAGTAAGCAAAATGAAGAATGAGAATGGTTGCCTCCCGCCGGAAGCTGTGATGATGTGACAACAAGCGCCCGTCGAGGGTTCGAAGTTGAATGGAGAATACTGTCACGCTCCCACACTAAAAACGTGACCGTAACAACTCTTAATTAGTCGGAGTTGCCACAAACGCCGTCTTGCTTCCCACCAACTGTCTCTCTCGCGTTCGAGACTGCTTGGCAATGCGCTCTTTCTACCAGACGGACAGCGATGATCACAGGCGCATTTTTGCCCAATATGCCTATCCTACTTCGACTTCCCTTGATCCCGGAGAACCTTCACCATCTCGTTCAGCTCGATAGCCGCTAGGAAGCCGCTGAGCATCCTATGAGTACTTGGGACGCCGCGTTATGCGTCGACGGGAGAAGATGGGCCTCGTCAGCATGCATGTCATTTATGGCTTAGTGCTTTTCGAGGTCGGATGTATTCTTTCACCCGAAATCTGACTCTAGGCCCGAGAAGATCTCAAGACAGCAACATTCATGCTGGCGCACCAAAGACTCGTTTGCATGGCAGTGATATGGAAGCATACTTATGTAGGATGATCCGTGGCGTTGGAAGATCAGCTATTAATGTCGTCATGCTCTCCGAAGCGACAGCCAGTCCGAATAGCACACAATGTGGCATGCAACTATTTATGTGCGCAGAATTTGTCCATGTCCTTGTTTCAGCAGCCAAAATCATAGAAACAGTCTGAAGAGCGACGTCTGTCCCGCCAATTGCCCTTATACGCCTAAATGGACAGCCAGAAATCACAATGACGTACTGATATTCCTTCGACGCCCGCGTGTACCAGTTCAACGACCCTGTTTATGCTTTTCTGCGGGATCATGATCAGTATCTCTTTGGATATTTGCCGAGCATCTCTACGTACAGCATGCCCTCCGTGACGGCGTCTCTACCCGCATTCCTGGGTCACTGTGACAGGGAAGATCAAGAACGTGTTTTATCTGCGGTGGTAAGGGTGCGATTAATTTCGGCTGTGTTATCTGCGCGGCACTTCCTGATTGATGGGTTGAGGTCCCAGGGTGCGATACAGACTCCGTCGAGGTACAGCAGTAGCCGCAGAATCATAGCTTCCTTGATGCTCCACTCCAAAGCGCCACCTCCTGTGTCTTGACTTGTCCTATTGTGTCTCGGTCCGCCAGACTGCTCTTTGCATTCGCATGTCCCGTGCTCTGTATGTCGAGACTTCCGCACATTGCTCGCTATCAATCGTGTCTGGACAAGTCTTCCGTGCGTCTGTCAATGGAGAAGGTGGCCTCCGCCGGATTTTCGACTGTCTTTGTTTAGCATCGTCTTTCCACGTCGGCACTGAAGAAGTAAGGACCATTGCACGCAACTGCCTTACATCTGACGTTTAAAACTGACGATTTGCCGGGAGCTCCTGCTAGAAGAGATGGCGGTATGTGCATTCTGTAAGTTAGCTTCGAAATGCCAGAATCACTCATCGGGTGCAGAATAGCACATGTACATTGCATCAGCACTATGACCGGAGCACCAACCGGCATCACTGAATTGATCTCACATTCACCGTTCGAGTGACTAAACGCTCTACGGCCGTTCGAATGCTATCTTGATCGGGGATCTTGGCATGCAGTTTCATACAGGGAGCTGCCAGAGCGGGCTTCTTGGCAAGTCATTCCGCTTGCGTGAGAGCAGGGATCCTCTAACAATCGTCGCGGTACTTTGTCTACGGCGTCTTGGCATTTCCCGTCTGAAAACCTCGCTCTCCTTCTGCCAGATGTGCCTCCGTCGTTCTGCAGTCACTGAAGCTGTCAAGTCCGCCGTCAGCACCAAATCGGCTGGTTGCATTGATTTTGACATGCATGTGTCCATGTGGCTCTCTCATCGCGGGTTGCCGTCCGCGAAACCAGGATATGAAAGGAAGAACACGCTGGCAGAAATAGATCTCGTTGCATTTCTCAACCACGCGCTCCCAAACTTCTCCGGTCCCAACGCACGTAATCGACAGCGCGTGCGGCACGGCTTTCTCTACACAGATGGTAGAATGAGAAGCCGTGTAGCTTGATTGCATTTTTGAATCCAAGCGCCGTTGTAACCATGAAACCAAGAGAAGAGGAAGGCATTTACTAAATAAGTTCCGTTCTCGACGCATGCGTTTGACACTCGTCCTTCGGCTCGGGTTGATGCCGCGTGCGTTGAATTCTCTACACTTGCGATTGCGATAGCACTGAATGCCACGACTCGGGTCCGCCCTTACATGAATAGTGAAGCAGATCTTGTTCCTCGGAGCCGCTCAGCGAAGTTCGCGCCCGTGATATCTGTGATCGCCTTAGAGAAGAGTTAGTCGTCCTAAGTGTAGTTGCCCAACGATGTCAAATTCATACTCTCTTTCTCCCTGACAGCCCTGGGAGCCTCTCACGTAAATGCCATTTGAAACAGGCACACCTGCAAGTTGGTTGCTGGAGGTGCCATCTGGTGCAGCACTGCGTTGACCAACAATGCCTCCGGGAAGGGCGTTCTATTGCGATTCTGAGGTGAGCACTCCGTTGACCCTACTCACGGCGTTTTCTGGAATTTTTTGGGCACCGTTTCATCCTTGTCAACAGATTCAGAATCAGGAAACAAGTCCACCAGGAGAGATGACCTTTCCGTTCTCCGATGCCCCGCATCAACATGCGAATTGGATACCTTTTCAACTCGTCATGGAGCTTGCATTTGATATCGTGGGCTGGCGTAAGCTTGGCGGTGTGATCAGTCGCATAAAGCCGACCTTTCTGAGGGCAGTCCGACAAAAGCTAGGTACAAGGCTTTGCTGGAGGTATAAGGCTACCCAATGTGATTGGCTTCAGGCCGAGGCCAAGCATTGCCACGAGCCGGTCGAAAGGGTCAGCGACGTAGTTACAAATTCGTTTATGGGCGATGGGACGGCCGCTCAGTAAAGGGAGGAGTACCGACGAGCCTGTGTCAGACATGTGTCACTCAGGTACCACATGAGGGCGAAGAACTGGAAACGGCGTCGGTACTGCTAACCCCGACTTGCTTAAATGTCAAACAAGCTTGTTGTGGGCGATAATGGCAGACGGACCGTGCCATTTTGAACGGTGCGATGGGAATCAGAGAAGTTCTGATCCGAGAGAAGCATGTTAACGCCGTACAGAGCTCCCAGCTTCCGAAGCCAACGTTACGCCAAGTGGGTCCTGCATTGCGATACTCCGCGTGTCCATCAGCCCAGACCTCAGCTTTACGTCGTGTATTGTTTCCGGTGTACGACTCGGACCCACTCGTTTGTTGCGTCCATTGTACGTGCCATGTGGCTCGACAGCGTTCGCGTGCCCCAGTCGCTATTGGCAATGCGGCCTTCACGTGCATTCGCGGGGACCGACGATGGCGTCCTCAGGCGTCGTCATCCCCTCCCCCCATTTCCCCCGTCCCTTCCATCATCTACTCCCTCCCTGTCCCCCGCGTACTCGATGCCCATTCCCATCTCCAACATCGCACTCAAGGCCGACGTTGATGACCTGGGCCTGTTGGCGGCTGGATCCGCCTTCGAGCTTACTACTGACCGCCTCAAGCGTGCCTACCCACTCATTTTACAACGTCTCATCGACCTTGGCCTGGCTGCTGACATCGACAAGTCCGACCTCCTCCTTCACCTCTCCACAAAGCATCTCGACCTCCCTCCTGTCAACATCACTCCACCCGGGCTTCCCCCGCGCTTCTTCCGCCCTCAGCCTGCCGTCCGCTGGCTTGGTTTCTGGCTGGTCGGTCAACTGTCTTTTTGACATCATGTCGATTCATGGCCGACCATGTTCTCTCGGCTGCCTGCACCCTCTGTGTTCTTGCCAACGCCGTCCGTAACCTGTCCATTCATATGGTTCGCCTCCTCTCAGGCTATGTCTGGCAGTCCATGGGGTACAAGGATCATACCCAACATACCGGGACCTGCCTGCACATCGTTACTGAGTGCCCGTGCCATGCTCATGCCCGTCACATCCTGCGCGAAGCGTCGCTTACGGTCTGTATGGTGACCGTTATCTTCTCCATCCCAAGGGCCTCCGCGCACTCACGTCCTTTTATGCGAAGACTTCTGCATTCGCGAAGACAGCCCAACCCCCATGCCTGCCATTGACCTCGGGTAAGCTGTTTCATGTTCCCTTACTACCACGGACTGTCAGTGGCTGTCTACCATATGTACACATCAGCCTAGTCCACTCATCTTCACACCCTCTCCACCACCGCCGTATATCTCATTGCTGCTATCTATTGTAGTTATAGCACATGGGATTAAACTGGAATTTCTCGAAGGAGGTGGTGTGATCTATTCGGAGTGAATTCGCGGTGCAAATTTAATCCTAAGGGACGATCACGCAATGTCTCGAAAGAGGCGCTGCGAAATATATACATAATACGTGACTGGTGTGCCTATCTGCTTATCTAAGCCAGGCAATCTGCTTCGTTCGACAACGCATACTGGTGCATACAACTTGTGCTAAGTATATGACGAATGACATTGTCGAGCCACTGCCAGAATAGGTTGAAAGCTGCCCAGAGAAACCTGTCTCACTTCCAGGAGCACGATTTGATCAAAGGTAATGGAACCTCTGGGAGACAAGTCCCACTCAGGCATGGTACACTTCACGCCGGCAAATTCCTATATGTAGCATTAGCGCGACGATCGGTATGCTGGAGCTTGTAGCAGCTACCTTGATCATGACCTGCACTTGTTTCGCTATCTCCTGTATAAACTTTATGATAGTGATGGATTGTGTCCCCTTCTCTGAGGTTCTCCTGATGTTCACTTGTTGCGCATAAGGTTTGTACCCTGGCCACTGACGTCGAGTTCGTCAGATGCACCCTAAACGCTGCGGCTTCAACAACACTTGCCTCGATTCGTATGGACGCCTTTTCACTAATATTTCCTTTGTATACGGGCTCGTGGAGTCCCGACCCTTTCACGTCTCCTTTCAATGCTGCAGATAGCCAAACGAGGGCATTCATATCCAGGTCGAATTTGCATAAAATGAACGGTTCGAACCGGGTTCTTGACTTGTACATTTCTTGTGGAACGATTGCTATATACATCGTTTGGGAGGGACTAGGCCTGGACACTTTAGGCCGCTCGAACTGGTCGAAGAACTGCTTCAACTCTTCATTGCCCTGGTAACCATGAGTTATATTTCATTCGACACACAACAATGACGTACTATCGCAGCTTCCAAGTCAGCTGAATCGTGAGCAACGGCGCCATGCGTGCGAATCCCATCACCAGCCTGTGGCCCCGCCATGGGCTTCGGCTCGTGGTGTGCGGCATAGTCCTTGATCAGTGCTTCAGGACCATCGGAATGCAGCTTGTGATCCCCACTCATCGACGTCAGAGGCAAATGAACAGCATGCGTGCCTTCAGCCGGCGAGATGACCTATGTGCCGATGAGCGTGGTACCAACAATAAATGATCAAGTCTCATACTCGATGAAGGACGCCGTCATTGGTCTGATGTCTTTGCAAACTAACAGACACATCCTTCTGCGAGGTGCCGCCGATCCTGCTCTAGACATGTCGCACTCGGTGCTGAGTAATGGACAACCGGAGACCTGGTAGCTACACGTACCTCGTCAAGTGCATGACCTAATTCCGAGTAGCCACTGATAGTTGCGTGGCGAGAGCATACGAGACGAGACTGAATGCGTCGACCATCCCCAGACATCTTGGAACAGAGGTACGCGTAAGGGATGGCCACCGCCCCTCTCCGCCACTTCATAAATAAGGCCAGCTGAAGACGCACAATTTGCCAAATGCACCATGGATATCGAGAGACATGCGAGCTGCCTGTAACCCAGATATCTGGGCGGGTTCATAAAAGCAACGTGCCACCTTGAGCCCCCACTCGTCCTTATAGAATTTCCGCCGAAGGAATTCTATAGAGCTGGTGAGGAGTATCTAGATATCTAGTAAACACGCTGTTGACGCACCAGCGACATCAACGTTGTTCAATGTCTGAATGCCTCGAGGCTGAAGCCATCGTGTTCTGGCGTATGTTGAGAAGCATTCCATAGATATTGCCTCACGATTGGCCATGGATCATTTGACTCCGAGCGGCGGACCAGCAGAAAGGATAGTCACCTGGATACCCAGGCAAGTGGATCATCACTCCGTGATCCTGAGGCAGCGGGAATCGGAGGGACCGACGGTGCAGCACGCACTTGCTATATAGAGAGGAAGAGCAGATGAGCGAAAGACACGACCCAGGTTCCGCGGCGGATACTATTATAAAGCTCCAAAGCTGTGTTCCAGTACGCAGTGGTGTTCAGTCCTTTCCATGAAGTTTCGCCGCTCAGTGAAACATCACGTAAGATGGGCAGGCAGCGTTCCAGCGCAAACGTGCAGCGTGAACTGACCGAACCATCATGTAGACCTTGGCACATAGATATCTGGATACCGTCGGCAGTGCAGGCGCATGGTGAGTGTAAGTGGTGACAGTGCGTATGCTCCGCGAGAAGATTGTGGTCATGGATATCTAAATTTGTAAAGGCGCTTACCCTGGCGCTGAACGTTGTTGAGCTCGTCCTTGGACGCTGTCACCAATGGAACCTGCTGGAACTATCCAGAACCTTGTTTTTGCGTGTGAGCCAGTGCAGTCCCCTTCAACAGATATCTTCGAAACTTCCATGTATCGTCGCCCTGCGTTTCGAGCGCAATTGATTGAGGAGTATAGGTCATCTTGAACACAGTGAGCAAGGAACGCCATCACATCTCTCCTGCAAGAGAAGGCGTAAGAACGCTGGAGATAGGATGATCTTAACTTTGACCGCGGGGGAGGGGGGGAGAGGAGATGCACCGGAAAACGATCGCTGGGCCAAACAAAGCCAATTGATTCGGTACTAGCGTCTGCCATTGACCAGCCGTACAGAACACGCCAATCTATTGAATGCATGTTCACCGCAGTATGTATACGAACACCGTTCCTTTTGCGAGAAGTGACGAACAATCGAATTTGAAACCCATCCTTCGCCAAGCAGTCCTCATAGATGCAATCATCGACCGATAGCGTTTGCGCCCGTAAAGCAATACCCCATATAGGACGCATCTTCGAAGGCATTGTCTAATAGTGCGCATGACTTCATAGATATCCGCGCGAGGGCGACAGCAACACGGACACAGCAGCAAATAAAAAGTCGACAGCGCGAGAAGGACTCTTTTCGGAACAAGCCGCGCATTAGAAGCAGGATGAGAGTAGAATGGCGTGGAACGATACCTAATGACCATAACAGTCAGGCCAATGTTCCACGGTATCAGCTTCGCTCTTGCAAAATACCACCACACGGACGTACCAAATGACTGCTTTGCTTGCGTATGCTCCGATTAGCTGATCGGCCTTGCCAGGTCATACATTACAGAATCGGGAAGCCACGTTCTGGCAGCAAGGACCGAGCCAGACTACCCTGATATGACAGAACCCCTGCAGTGGCAATTTGAGGACCAGATAGGAGAATATGTTGAGCTTCGTAACATTGTGCAAGATTCATCACTTGTTTCTCGCGCCATGAATCCCCCCTTGAAAGTCTGAGAAGCTATATGTTAGATGAGCGAGACCCAACGATAGTTTTTGAGTTGTTACAACTGGTTGCACCTCACGAAATGTCGCCTCATGGTTGAGCGAAACACGATCGTGTTTGTTACAAGCTCACCGGCATCGTCCCGCCAAAAGACAACGGAAGTTGAGCAAACGTTGAACGTAAGAAAGCATGGGTGATCCGTGATAAGCAATTTATGATCCTTCGGAGCGAAAATCCTAAAAGAAGTCTCTTGTTAATCAATGATCTTCCAATGGCTCGATAATCAAGGGTTTCACTTGCAATAAAATCATAAAATGAGCATAGTGTGATCAGCAGCGCCGGCTTCCTACGTTGACAAACTCATTCCGGAGACGATAGTGTCCGATGTAAGGAATAGGACCAATGGGGTAACATGTAGTACGTAGGTTGGGGTGAGAGGTAGCCGCTGGATAGCGCGGGAGCTAAAAGTGACTAACCGCGCGATGATGGGCCGGAGCTCGAACTTTGGTACTCCGAGCACAACAAAGTTCTCACATGTTATATTACATGCCAAAGTATAATAGTTCGGAATTCGCTTCCAGCCTTCACTGATTTGTGTACCAGAAGATGCGGTAAATGGTCCCATGGAAGTCATTCCGACGTAGGCGTTCGGCCTAATCTTCCTCGTCAGATGAGCTGACTTTTAATTGCGTTATAGCGGTGACATCAACAATGATTCGCTCGCTGCCGCCAGCCTCGGAGCTCACGGAATGGTATGTAACGGTTACCATGGCATGCAAGACACTACAGAGCCCAGGAACGACAACGTCATTCTCCTACCACCTTCAGTGCTCCGTTGTCGATCGCGGGCCTCCCATTCATCAATATCTTGACCACATGTACGTTCCTGCCAGTGTATCGAAGATCTTGATTCGTTGACATTGGGTATGCATCTCACAGGACATTGTCCTCCTTTGGAGGAGAACAGATCATGGATATTCAGGTTACTATCAGCGCTTTGCCCACGATCGATTGCATTTACAATAACGAGATAATGTCTGGGTCCAAACAAGTGCACGCATGCACTGCGCACCACGACAGTGCCTCTTTGAACGTAGAGAGGACAAGGAACGTACGAGATTTTTAGCATAACTCCGCATCGATTGATATCTCTTCAGAGGTAGGTGGGCATGTTGTCAATTCTGCTCCTCACATCCCTGTTGTCTGCAGGACACGGCAAGACAATGAAGCGACAACCATCTTCAGCTTTGACACCAGCAATATCTTCTTCGCGCATCCTATCGCCCCCGTAATCGCTGCTCACGATTGCGACACAATCATCGCAGAAGTGGGTCCGCACCACATCCCCGAAACCATCAACTTCCCGTCGTTCTACTGCCCAACAGCCATCGGATGCCCCTTTCATGGACCCCGCATCATTGCAGTGTATCCACACCACCTTGCACTCACCCACAGCGATCGACATCACGGACGGTGGCCCAGTCGCCCGGTCCAGCGTCTCTATAATCATCCGGTCGAGACTTTCTTCCGATTGCACCGCAACCCCATGCATCAGGAATTGCGATGACGAGGATCAAGAGATCCTCAGCACGATGGACCAGTGTGTCCAGAAGGTGCGACGTACGAGATCTTCGCGAGGTCCGCACCTGAGGTTCCTGTCGAAATGGACCGTCAGGAGAATGTGCCGCCGTTACGCCTTCACGGCCATGTTAAACACCACGAACAGGAACGACAGGTCCAGACGCATACCAGTAACATGCTCCCTACTGTTGTCGAGCTGGCACCTGCTGCTCCTACAACTATATATTGCATTATGGTACTGCCTGGTACGAGCACCCGCATGCTTGACGATGGTGCTAACAAAGGCCCAGCACCCCCAATGGCTTGCGACCTCACGCACGAAGCACAGGTACATGCATTGGATTTGAAAAACAAGCCGGATGCGATGGTTACAGAGAAACAGGAGCGTTTTAAATCGGCCTAGTAGGCCGATTTAACTTGGCGCCTGTTCCTCCTCCTCTTCTTTTCTTACTGATGACGAATGACAACTTCGCCTCCCCCATTCCGCATTCCCATTGTTCTGCGTGTCTCAGACTCCAGAGCTGAAACGGCTGAGCAAACCAGCGAGACGACGCCATCAGATATCAGTAGTGCGAAGCAGCGCTATCTTTACTACCGAGCGAGAAAGCTTTATGAACAACGCATTGGCGTCAGGTCCCCCACGATGAAGTTGACAGGTACTACGTCCCACATGAACATGGTATGGATGCCTCTCGGCAGAGTCGGAGTTGCAGGCCGCCCCTCCGACCAGTCAAACTGGGGATATGCATGACTGAAAGCCAGAGAGAACAGATAGCGAATGGGCGTGAAATCATTCCATGAGCCTGAATTCGGACGATAGCCTCAGAGATGAGCACGTTAAGGCTCCAACTATTTATACTATTTACACTCCTGAGGTGTAAATAAATAGTATATAGTAAATAGTTATCTATATATCATATAAACAGTTTATATAAAGTTTATACAGTTTTTTTGGTCCCATGTTTTGATGGAGTTTTACTCAACTGTGAGCAGCCTCTGTGATTGTTGAGGCCTTTAAGGACCTGTGTGCATCAGCAAGCACATGACAATGAGCAGAAAACAAGCATTCAATGTCAACACTTGCACCAGGAATGACCAGAAAATCTTATGTCATACAAGAAATGACAAGAAACTCATGTTCATGAACCTACATGATGATAAACTATCAGTGGTGACTGCTGTTAAACACTATGACTTTCAATTGGCTCACTGTTGTGCTGTCAAATCTAGCAATTGTGCACTCAATAGCCCTATATCATCATAAAACTATTTATACTATACATATACATCTATTTACTATGTACAGGCCCAACTGTAAATAAACATATATAGTAAACAGTTGAAACTATGTAACATAGTAAATAGATAGAAATGTTGAAGCCTTAGAGCACGTTGTGGGTTTACGAGAATGAATCCCTTAAATGGGTGCCTTTGATTCTAACTTGTCATAGATGTCCACTTTTCTCTGTGCTTTCTGTACTCCTAGTATCCATGTCAGTACGAAGCTATACATCTTTGAGTCTGAATGCAATCATATTTACGTGGATATCGATGAGATGATCATCTGTGGCAAACACGGGGGCAAGTCACCGGGTCATCACAAACAGCAAGTGTACATGATAGGTGTGTTGGAAGTGAAATGCAGGATGCACTTGGGTATGCACTTGGCGTGCCGAGCACAAATGATGTGCCATGGTGAAACATGTCAGAAACGGTACCTGGAGACGGAACAGTCGGAAATGCACAGGAGACAGGGGCAGAAGGTAGTGGATAACTATCCGTAGGAATTTAAAACTGTTTTGTTTCAAATGACTGAGTTTGAAAAATGTGACGCGTGAGCTGTTCCAGACCATAACACAGTTTCGAACCCAACTAGGTACGACTTTGGATATGACTTTTCCAAATCACAGCCACCCATGCGTATCCTACTTATTTCTGCATGCGTTTAATAAACAGTGCTGCTGCCATGCCCTGTTCAACATTGGAGACACAAGCCATGATGTAAAGACCTATGTCATTGAAGTTGACATGGCTCTGCCTGTTTAAGTTCATCTCAATGCTGCGCAGTGAAGGACATTCAACAAAAAGGATGCGCATCGTGTCGCTGATCACGAGAGTGTGACAGGCCTCTGGGCATTGGCAGTGCTGCAGCCAGATCATCATCACTGCCAATCGGGTGGTGCACGACCTCGGAAAAAGTGTTGAAGCTGTTTGGAAAGCCTCAGAGACATCTGGAGAGGGGGTGCCCCCCTCTCCAGATTCATGCATTTAGAACAAGTGTCAGAGTTTCAAAATGTCATGCTGTCATGCTGGCTAAACTGCAGCAAGCAATCTGGAACAGATGTGTGTTCTAAAGTCGTATCTAAATGGCCTATGGATAATCATCCAGTATAAAGTATGTACCTAGGTAGTGTCACGGCACGCCGATGACAAAGATAGATAACCAAAATAAGAAGTCCCCTTGAGGGTTTCCTGGCTGAGAGCCTACAGCGACGAGCTGTGGTGATACGACGTGCCCACTGACGAGGCCGGGTCGCTAGTCACAAAGTAAGACTTACTGGCGAGGCGAGGGGCACTATCACAAGTGAGGATGATACTAGATATATAGCACACTGAGAGTGTCTGGTAAGACCCCTCTGTGATGGTAGTGGAGGACGAAGGAGAATAAGACTGAGGTCTCCTCCTCGTCTCGCTGGTCCTTATATACATGATTGCTATGCTACTGTACAGTACTACCTAAGCGAGTCACACGCTATCTTACTGGTCAGTGCTACAATCATACGACATGTCCCAATTAACCTGATTGGCTGCCTAATAATAATCCACAGAGACGGAGCTCCTCTTGAGCACGCCATATGGCATCATGGCGATGGCGACATATGACGCTATGCTGAGAAGTTCGGTGTCACGTGACAATGCCGAGAGAGATCTGAGGTCATGTGAATGGATGCCTCGTTATCTTATCTTGTTGGGTCACGTGACTTCTTGTGTGACGCGAAATGATGAAAAATGATATGCTCCTTAATAGCATTTGTTCCTATAATGACTTGTCAGGTAAAACCGTGACATCACCCCCTTCTCAAGGTTCATCGTCCCGATGAGCCAAAGCCTTTGGCGCCTCGTATGGTTCGCTTTGCAAGTGAGCTGTCTGCTTCAGAAATGATTCCTGGAGCATAACGCTCGCATATGAGTTGTGCGACACGATCACCTGTTCTGACCTCGAATGGTTTGCTGGTCATATTAACAAGAAGCACCTTGATTTCCCCTGTGTAGTCTGGGTCAATTACCCCTGCTGCGACATCGATTCCTTTGAGGGCTAGCCCACTTCGGGGGGCCACTCGAATGTATGTCCACTTTGGGGGATCCACCGCAAGTCCAGTGCCAATGAGCATTCGGGAGTGTGGGGGGATATCTATGTCTTGTATGGACTTGACATCCCAGCCAACAGCTTCTGCCGAACCCTTGTAGGGTGCTCTGGCATTTGGGTGGGTGCGGAAGAAGAACATGAATTCATCAGGATGATCAGACAGAGCGATTTTGTGCGCTTTGCGTGTTTGCGGCTTTGCTCTTGGAGCATCTGGGTGTGTCTTGTGGAATTCCTCTACTTTGTCTTTGACGTTTGTGAGGTTTTCCAATGGTTCCCAAGTATTATCGCTGTGGTCGTAGTCTAACCATTTTACGAGATACTGGGTCTTGTTATACCTGACTCTTGAATCCAGAATGTCCTCTACGTCCCATTCTTCCTCTCCATCTATGATGACTGGAGGGTTAGGGGGAGGTACACATCCCGGGATAGAGTCTTGATGGAACATTATAAGCTTAGAAGCATGAAACACAGGATGTATCTTCATGTCCGCTGGTAATTGCAGTTTGAATGATACGACTCCGATCTTTTCGAGGATCTTGAATGGTCCATAGTTTTGAGTCGCTAGCTTTTGGCTTTTGACTTTGACGCGGAGATCTTTTCCTCGAATAAGCACTTCGTCTCCTACTTTGAAAGGAACGTCCTGCTTTTTAAGGTCGAAGTACCATTTCATTTTTTCTGCTGCTAATGACAAAGTGGCACGAGCTTGTTCCTGCGCTTGGTCGCGGTTGTGGAATAGGTGTTCCAGGGATGGATGCTGTATCCCTTCCAGTACATCTGGTGCCATGTGGGGGTGTCGACCATACTCGATGAAGAATGGGGATAGACCGGTTGATTCTGAAGCTTGGTTGTTGTAGGCAAATTCCGCTGTGGACAATAGAGTAGCCCAGTCAGTTTGCCGGTAATTGCAGTACATGCGCAAATATTGTTCCAGAATCTGATTGACTCGTTCTGTCTGTCCATCTGTTTCAGGGTGATAAGCCGTAGACATTGTCGACTTGATGTGAAGTTTCTGACAAAACTCCTGGAATAATTTGGCTGAGAACTGTGTGCCTCGATCTGATATGATTTGCCTGGGAATTCCATGGAGTTTGAATACTTCATTGTAAAAAATCGACGCTACTTGAGATGCTGTCACCGTGTCATCTACTGCATAGTAGTGAGCATGTTTGGTAAATCGGTCGACGACTACCAAGATGGCAGTCTTCTTTTCTCCCCTGTGGTCTGGACTTGGCGGTAGCTGTGTAATCAGGTCACAGGTAACCATTTCCCAAGGTCCTTCTGGTACTGGGTTAGGTTGAAGTAGTCCGTAAGGCTTCTGCTTGCTCGTCTTGTTTCTTTGACAGGTTACGCAGCCTTGAACGTACTTCTTAACATCAATGGTGAGCCCGGGCCACCAGTAATTCCTGCTGATCAGTTCTTGCGTCTTTCATCATCCGGCGTGTCCGGCTGTGGAGATGTCATGGTGTAGCTTGATCAGCTCATTCCGCAGCGTAGAGTTCTTTGGGACGTAGACTTTTCCTCTTCTGAGCATCAATCCATGCTCGAAGTTCCACTCTTGGAGGTCTTTTCTGAACTCTCGCTTGCCAGTTTTTAGTAGGTGCTGGTAACCTTTGGTCATTTCATCGTCTTGTAGTGCCGATTTCACTCTTTCTAGAAGTTTTGCATCATCAACTTCGGAGGAATGAGTGGCTGAGATCACGTGGATGGCAAAATATTCAGGCTGAAGTAAAGTTTGCCCTGAATTGTCATTGCTCACCCCCTTCTCATGATCTGGCCTCCTGGATAGAGGATCGGCATGCATCATCGTCTTTCCGGGGCGGTGACGGAGAAGAAAGTTGAATCGTGTAAGGTAAAGTGACCATCGAGCTTGTCATCTGGTCAGTGTTTGAGCTTGTCAGAAATAGGTAAGATTAAGGTGATCCGACCATATCTCAACCGGGTGCGGGTGTCCTTCAAAGTATTGCCTATATTCTTCCAGGGCTCGAATGATAGCTAGCATTTCCTTGTCGTAAATCTCATAGTTACGCTCGTGCTCATTGAGTGACTTGAAGTAATAAGCGACAGGATGCCAGAGTTCATCTTCTCCCAACTGTTCAAGGACTGCACCTGTGGCAAAGTCCGAGGCATCTGTCTCTAGTCTAAAGGGACAGATTGCGTTGGGGAGTGCTAGGATCAGAGCGGAAGTGAAGGCAGTTTTGAGGGCCTCGAATGCCTTTTATTGAGGATCTTCCCATTTCCATGGTGCGTCCTTACGTGTTAATAGAGTCAAGGGTCGGGTCATCGATCCGAAATCCTTGATGAATCGTCGATAGAAATTTGCCAAACCAAGGAACGCTTGTACTTGCTTTACCTTGGTGGGCACTGGCCATTTGAGCACGCCGTCAATCTTTTCTGAGTCCATATGTATCGACCCTTTTGAGATTATGAGTCCGAGAAACTTGACGAAATTGGTCGAGAAGTGACACTTTTCTGGTTTTACGAACAGGTCATTGTCTCGGAGTCTTTGTAGGACCTCTTTGGTCAGATGGTCGTGTTCCTCCTGGTTATCCGTAAAGATGATGATGTCATCTATATAGACTGCTACCTTTCCAGTACGAATGAGATCACCTAGAACGTCGTTCATCATGGCCTGAAAGGTGCTAGGAGCATTACAGAATCCGAAGTACATGACAGTGGGTTCAAATAACCCTTTATGGGTAATGAACACTGCCTTTTCCTCATCTCCCTTGTGAAGGCGTACATTATTGTACCCCCATCTCAGGTCTAGTGTAGTAAATATACTAGCCCTTGAGAGTCCGTCAATGAGATCGTTGATTCAGGGGAGTGGGAATTTGTTCTTCTTAGTGACACTGTTTAATGCCCTGTAGTCTTGGACGAGTCTAAGAGATCCATCCTTCTTTTTGACGAAAAATACCGGAGCGGCATAAGGGGATTTAGATGGTCGAATGTAGCCCTTGGCTTGTTCGCCGTCAATCCATTCATCGAGCGAGTTCTTCTCTCGTAAAGACATTGGGTATACTTTTGCTGGTCTCGGGGTTGCCGTGTCTGGGACAAGATCAATTGCGTGATCATAGGGCTTACGCGTCGGCATTCTTTCCAAGCTCTTCTTCGAGAACACATCTCCGAATTGATGAAATTCTGGAGGGACGAATTTGGACCAATATTCTTTGTCCTGTGTCTCTTCTGCCGGCTGTTCTACCAAATGCTCCTTTACCTTCTTGCTTATGCCTAGGATGTCGTGCACCATGTTACGAAGATCCTGGTCTTGCAAGTCTATCCAGTTGATGAAGTTATCTTCCTGATCCCACCCGTCATCCATGTGTACGTCAGGTAGAATTGCTTCATCTTCGAGCCGAGGTTGCGATAGAAGGTTGACTTCTTCTTCGCATACTTTGACTCGTTGCTTCTTCATGTGTCTGCATCTTGAGAACGTGACCTCTCTATGTTCCCAGTCAACTCGGGGGTTGTGCTCTTGTAGAAATTTCATGCCAAGGATCATTGACATACGTCCAAGGTTTGTGACGAGCAAACTCTCAGTGGATCGGTGCCCCTCAATTAAGATGCTTGTGACTACACGATGAGTAATTGCGCCACCCTTGTTGGGGCTAGCGTCTGCGTTGAGGATTCGGATTTCATGGTTTAGGGGTATCATCTTAAACCCGTGCTTCTCAGCGAATCTTTGGTCGATATAGCAAGAGAATGCTCCAGAATCCAATAGTGCTGTTGTCTGGATTTCCCGTGATACGAATCTTATCGGCAATTCGATCGAATGTTTAAAAAAACCTGCAGATGCAATATATAGATGGTCGCTAGGTACATTCGTTCTCACGGTACTAATACAATTGTCTTGAAGTGTGACACCAGACTCGTCTACACTTCGTATTGAAAATTCTCTGAGAAATCATCCATTTCGATGATTCTCACATTGGTGTCCTTTACCGTTGATGCTGATGCCATTGATCCCATGTCCATGCTTTTCGCCTTGTCTTTACCCTTGCTGGATGGTGGCGTAGTCGTCGTTGTGCTCATACCGCGAAGTGCAGCAATTGCTTGTTCCAGTGCCACAATTTGAGCTGATGAGCCCGCGCTACTTTCTTCTTCCACCTGTCGCATGTTTGTCACCTTGCCCTTCCCTTTTCCTTGTCCTTGTTTCGGGGCGGATCGTGTCTGAAACTGCTTTCCCTTGTATTCAGGCTTGGGGGAGGGACACCGCTTTCCTCGTTCATAGGCGTGCTTTGCGCAAAACAAACATAGTTTGTTTGCCAGCCATCTGTCCTGTTCCGGGGATAGTTCGTGGGCGATTCGTGCGCTAGTGTCCATAGCGTTAGGGTCCTTAGGGGGGGCCGCCTTGTTCGTCGTGGTCTGTCCAGTAGACTTGTTGCCCGACATTTGCTGAAGATGTTTAATTTCAATCTCCAGGCAGAACTCGAGGTAATCCATCCAGGTGGTTGGAATCTTCGAGGGGTCTAAAGTCTCCGTTACCGACATGACCGTTTGTATATGAGTCGACCATTGTTCCCTGATTTTGACGATCAGATCTTCATCAGAGTATCCTGATTTGGGGGCATATGTCCTGAAATTCTCTGCGAAGGCGATCATCGTCTTGTGGCGAATTGCACAGTGTGCATCTAGCAAAGATTGTGCCGTGCGCTTGGGGTCAAGCGTCTTGTATGCCATTTCCAGTTTCTGAGTGTACTCTGCCCATGTGCCAACATCTTGTCCGGAGGTGAGCTTGATTGCATACTCTTTCATGTATAGAGCTGCTCCTCCTTCCAGATGCGCGTTGGCCTGCCGAATTTTGTCCTTGTCATCCGTAAAGTGGTTATAATCAAGCCAGATGAGAAGGTTGGTGAACCAGGTCTCGAAGTTTTCGGATAACTTTCTTCCTGAGTATTTGGGAGGGTCTGGGAGCTTGATTCGGCGGGGCGATTGACTGGATTGGCCGACCGGTTGTGGGATACCTGTGGGAGGTGCATTGATGATGGCATTGTTGAGTCGAGACTCTAAGCCAACGATGTAGGTAGTGGTCTTTTCCTGTGCCTCCTTCAGGGCGACCATGTTGCCGTAAAGGGCGTCCATCTGACCCTTTACTTCATCCTTGTAGTCCTCGAAGTCCTTGCAAATTGACTGGGCTTCGAGCAACAAATTGGTGTTCGCATTGGCGAGCCTTTCTACATCAGCGAAGAGGGTGCCGATCTGGGCTCTTGCGACTTTTAGTTGGTCTCGTGTTTCTACCGTCATTATTTCGACGTGAATATGAGCCAGTACTTCTTCTTCCAATGAGGCCACCGTGCGTTCGTGATGCTCATCCATCTTTTGACGTAAAGCCTCGTACGAGCTTACAACGTCTCTCATGACGAATGACTGTACCACGTTCATTACCCATTCCTTAACATCATTTGGGATGGTGTTGGGTGCAGCGGCATTGGCGGCTTCCTCAATGGTTGCGTAAGGAACTCCCTGCCATTCCCAAGTCTGAGGTGTGGAAAATGCTAGCAGGGTAGTGGGCGATGGGTTTCTGACTACTTCTGACGCCTTGGGTGTGCTGCTGTTGTGTTGTTCTTCAGCAGGCGCAGCTGGTCCTGCTTCAGATGATGTGGAAGTGGCCTGACTCCTCCAGGGGTCAGCAGGCTCACTCATGGTGTGTCCTCCGGAAAACGAAACACCTCCAAGGTTGTATTGAGACATAGGGATCGATGTCGAAGATAATGGAAATGATGTGACGGACAATGTGTTAATCGATCGATGCTTGGTCTCGGCCTTAGAAGGGTTCGGGGTTTTCCTCGATGAGTCCTTCTTCTTCTAGCTCCTCTCGTAGAGATTCTGCTCGGTAATGCCAATATTCTCGTTCTTCCTCGAAATCAGGAATGAGACGGAATGGTGCCGAGTAGGTGGTGTATGCATGTACTTGTACCGTGTAATGGTAGAGTACTTGTTGCCAATTGGTGACAAGAGGTTGATAGATGAAATACGCGGTGCAGATGACTGTGAGCTGTCCCTGCGCCGGGCGATAAAAGTCCACGATGTAGTTCTGGTATATAAAGCCGATTGCGTATCTCGGCATACAGCTTTGGGATACAAAAATATTGCTGGTCCTAGTAAGGCCAGTAGCACGACTCCTTTTCAAACTTCACTATCTCCTTTCCTACGCGTTCCTGTTCTTTATTGATTCCCTTGAAGGAAATCTTCCCTAGTCCTACACAAAGCTTGATAGCGATGCGCCTATCGATGAATGTGAAATCGTGTCCTGCTCCGATGTGCTCGTTTATCACTGATAGATGTCGAAGAATTCTATCTCGACACTGTAACTGCTCCTCTGTGAACTTTGCCGCAATATGTGGCTGCTGCAAGACTTTGTATCACTGAATGGTAGCGTATACAGTCGGCGCGATGTTCTCGGGGAGAGTTCCTTTAGGATTTTCGTGAATTCCACGAGGGTGATAGCTCTTTGAGAGTGCGAAATTGAGGACGTCAATGGCGGGGAATGTATCGTAGGGATGAACAGGGTGAAGAGGAATGAACGGGGTGAGCGCGTCTTTTGGAATGCCTTTGAGCCAGAGGCTAACCTTGCGCTCTTGCTGGCGATGCTCAGCTGTGATGCCTTGTGAGCTAGCTTGTGGGGGCTTAGCTCGTACAAGATTTCCCTGAGTTAGGCGATGAGTGCAACGGGGATCTCGTTGGTATGGGTGATAGCGTCCGTTGGGCAGAACGATACTGTTGTGTACTTGGGGCGCTTTGCTGATCGCTGCTGCGCTGTTCCTTTTGAAGGAAGGAAGCGGCTTAGGTGGTAGAGATGCAGAGGAAGTGTATGAAGGAAGTGGTGTGGAAAAAGCCCTGTCCTGGGCGGATGTATCTCTGGGCGAAAATGCGTGGCTACCAGTGTTAGACACTTGGTAGGGGCGTAAAAGGTCAGTCTTATTCTAATGTCACGGCACGCCGATGACAAAGATAGACAACCAAAATAAGAAGTCCCCTTGAGGGTCTCCTGGCTGAGAGCCTACAGCGACGAGCTGTGGCGATACGACGTGCCCACTGATGAGGCCGGGTCGCTAGTCGCAAAGTAAGACTTACTGGTGAGGCGAGGGGCACTATCACAAGTGAGGATGATACTAGATATATAGCACACTGAGAGTGTCTGGTAAGACCCCTCTGTGATGGTAGTGGAGGACGAAGGAGAATAAGACTGAGGTCTCCTCCTCGTCTCGCTGGTCCTTATATACATGATTGCTATGCTACTGTACAGTACTATCTAAGCGAGTCACACGCTATCTTACTGGTCAGTGCTACAATCGTACGACATGTCCCAATTAACCTGATTGGCTGCCTAATAATAACCCACGGAGATGGAGCTCCTCTTGAGCACGCCATATGACGTCATGGCGATGGCGACATATGATGCCATGCCGAGGAGTTCGGTGTCACGTGACAATGCCCAGAGAGATCCGAGGTCATGTGACTGGATGCCTCGTTATCTTATCTTGTTGGGTCACGTGACTTCTTGTGCGACGCGAAATGATGAAAAACGATATGCTCCTTAATAGCATTTGTTTCTATAATGACTTGTCAGGTAAAACCGTGACAGGTAGCCAGTTCCCTCAGCCATTTACACAACTCATTATGCACTCTAATGAGGTCACTGGGGAACTGGAATGGGTGCAGACTGCTACCATGGTGTCCAGCCTGGGAAATTCCAAGATAAATGGCTCACCATACCTTGGGCTCTCTCTGCTGTGTCTGCGCACATCCTCCATTCTCTGTGACTAGGACTCTGGGCTGCCATCGATGGTTTTGGAAGAGCGAAGAGGGTCAAGGAGGTCAGAAAAGGGATTGTGGTTGGTCCGCTGGAGGGGGCACTGGAGATGAGGAAGGTAGCAGAGCCAGGTGCATGGCAATGCGAGCTGGGCCATTGGTAGGCATGTCACGGTGCACTAGACCTGCTATCCAAAGGCAGATGGGTGGAACACCAGACAGCATCCACTTAGGCTAGTGACCCTTGCTCGGAACCTTTATACCTCATACCAGACGGTAGAGGGTGTTGGAAGTCATACAGACTTTATGTCCAGTGGGACATGGACTTAGACATTCACACACATTCGCTTATGTAATCACGTAGCCACAGGCACGCTCGATCTTTTTCTGCTACCTCAGTGCTCAGCACTCGCATCATACATCGAGGCTAAGGTAAGTACCTACTGGACTTAGTGATTTTCAGGGCCCGGCTCAGCCTGAAAGCCTGGGCTTGGACTCAGCTTTAGCAGGCTCGGGCTCACCATAATTGCAAGCCAGGCCCGCTGTTAGGGCTTGGGCTCAGCTCGGGCTCGGCTTGGGCTAAGCCCTGGGCTTATTGCAGGGCACCATTTTTTTTGGTCTGCAGTTCTATTATCAACATAGAATACATAGCCAATTTATATATAATCATTGTTTAATCACTCTGAACTGTCTGCAAAGTCATCATCGAGCTCATCTGAGTCTGTATCTAACTCTATGTCAAGTTCTGCATCACAGATGGTGGATTCCTCACTGCCTTCACCCTCCTGACAGCTATACATGTCCTCCTCCGATGATGATGATGGTTCTAAATCATGATAAAAAAGATCCTTTTTATACACACACTTAAGAACTTGCAACACCTCAACAATGTCCCCTTTGAGACAGTTTTGTCACTTTGTAATGGTGATTCCGGCACTTGAGAATGCATGCTCGCTTGATACTGACGTTGCCATGATTCTGAGATAATCCCTGGCAAGTGAAGCCCACATTGGAAAGTGATGGGCATTTAGCTAGAAAATTGGATAGGTTATTAATGTGCAGATGCTGGAGAACAATAGAATAGAAATACTTACTCCCCACCATTGAACGGTTGACATTCCTTCAGGCATATTCTCATTGAGATCAACATACTTCTGGAAATCACGCTCCTACTGCTTCTTCAGATCAATGATAGCTTAAACTGAGGATGCAGATCGTGGTCCTTCATTGTCATTGTCACTAGATAAATCAACAAGTGAAGAAGGGTAACAGTGTAGTAATTTCTTCTTTGAAACAGCTGCTATCGCGCTTTGCATGCCACTGTTGAGCTCAGAGTAGCGGTCCTTGTACTAAATAAGAATGAATCAGCGACAGTGAGTAGATTGACGTTAATGACAGACCATACTTACAATCCTCTTTATGAGGTCCATAGCATCTTTTTGCAGAGCCGATGATCAATTCTTTTTAAAGAATCTGAAGTGCACTGTGTCACAGATTTTCGCCACAAAGTCTGCACGTGACTTTTCTCACACCACAGATCACGTGCTTCACCAATATCTCATGACACTCAGCCACAGACGCGACACGTAGAGATCAGGTGATAGTCCACATCACATGTTATGGTCCAGACCCGTGGATGATACGGTCGGACCTGTCTATTCCAGGATACAATAGAGGCACCCATTTGGGAACAAAGGGAACAAGGACTATTGTTATGCATCGGCCTTCCGCTTCCTATTAGTTTAGCCAGAAGCCTAGATAGGTACGATGTTCACACCGGAGAACAAAAGGGAAACCAAGATAGGCACGATGTGCACACGCATTACTGCGGCAACCATCGATCTTCCCACTTATTGTTCTACTTCCGGACATCCTATTGTTTCATGTACGGCCATTTGCTTATACCCGTAGATAGGTAGCTTAGGTAAGATAGCCTGCTGTATGTGTATATAAGACCAGCCATGTAGGAGACGAAACCTCAGATTGTTTCTCCTCGTCTACTACCTGTAGCACTCACTGAGCTTACCAGCTCCTTCATATATCTCTCACCCTTTCCTGCGTCTGCCACATCAACCAGTAAGTCAACAGGCTCTTGCGCCACATAGGGTTCAGGGGGATACCTTTGGGATCAGGGGGATCAGGGCGGCACGTTCCACGTGACTGTCCCTTTTTAGTCTTTTTGATCTCTTGTCCGGTGTTACTGTGACATTAGAAACAATCTGACATTTTCTGCACCCCTGCTTAGTGTTTAACACAAGTGGCCGCGTATTTTCAGCGCAAGCAGTTTCAGCCGTAGCGCGCGGCTTTTTTGACACACATTCCAATCCGATCTCTACCCGGCGTGAGCCTCAGCAAGACTCTGAGCTGCCCAAAGCCTCAAAGTGCAAGGCCACCCCCAGGATCGACCTCGACGCCCACTACAAGCATCAGGAAACCAACAAGGAGCGTGGAAGGCTCCTCACACTTGCGTCACTAGGCGCATCGTCCACAGACAGGCAGCGAGCAGCAGCTAGGGTTATAGATACCACACATATCATAAAGCGCAGAATCATCCACAAGCCACGTGATCACACCCCACCGCTTGAACGCTACAAGCCCAGAAAGGGACGTCTTACCACTGGTAGTCGCAAGCCGGCACCACCCCCAGAGCTTATCACCTCCAACGCTGTTCCCCCCATTATTGTTGCTCCACAGCCAGTGCGACCCCTACCCAACTTCGTTAAGGTCAACACACACGCACGACCCATTTGCCCTCTTCCGTCCAAAGTCAGGCCCACCCTCCACATCGAAACACTCAAGAAGCAGGTCTCCGCTACCCGCTTCAGACTACAACTGATATTAGGAGCATTCTGGGAGAAAATCGATCAGGACAAACGAAAGAAGGTACAACTCCTCGCATCGGAGTTAGACAAAGTCTGCGCAGACCTCTACACGGGGACTCGTGAATACACCTTTGTCGACAAACAGGTCATCAACACGTGCTGCCTAGAAATAGGAAGGATCAACTTCAAGGAGATAGGAAAGCAGCAGAGGTTAGACGAGATCGTCAGGGAGATTGGGAAAGTCAAGGACAAGCAGTACCTAGGCTTCATCTTCAATTAGTTTAATTACATCTATATCACAATGGAAGGAGCTGATCGTGCATACGCATCAACGTTCAGGCAAAGAATGGATGACATTCTGCATACAAACGTCGAGTCAGCACATGACGGAAGCACCCCACGTGCCTCGCAGCGCAATTCACCAGAACCTGCACTAGGACCGCAGGATTCTGCATCACAAGTCAGAGGACCAGCATCCTCGACACCATCACTCGTACCAGCCTACGTCCCACCCATCTGGGAGTTTGATGGACACCAATTCGAGCACCTGGAAGATGCTCTCAGACAATCCGCTCCCGGAGAAGTCCCAGACCACATCCGTGAATGGGTAATCATCGCAATGAAGCTCACGGTCACTACTGAGATCGCCAAGGTCTACAATGTGCTCAGAAACAAGATGTACGAGCACAAGAAAGCCTTTGAATCAACGATCCAAAACAACAAGAGCGAACACCGACTCAAGGAGGGGATGCTCCAGACGGAGATCGGGAAGCTCAAGGATACAATCCTCACGCAAGATGCGCATGTGACAGTTTTGAACGACGAGCTCACAGGAACCCAGGTGGCAATGCTCGATATAGGCAAAGAAATGATGGAAATCAAGGCAGCTAACGTCAAGCTGCGACATGAGCTAGCTTCGCTCAAAGCAAGCGGCGTCACTACGATGCAAGGTCAAACATCCAGCACGGTCCAATCGCACAAACCCCGCATCAAAATTGCTGAGCCTCCACACTACTCGGGCAAAGGAAGTCTGGAGGATTGGCTCCAACAACTCGGTATATGGATGCGGTGGAATGAGATCAATGACGACGAGCACAAGATCACCACGGCCTTGCTGCATTTGGAAGGTGGCGCATTCACATACATGTCCGAATATGCGACCAGAGCAGCAGCACAGCAGGCACTTGGCACATGGGAAGACTTCGTCAACATTCTCAAAGTAAACTACAGGATCCTCGACCCGGACAAGGATGCACAGCAGCATTTGAAGGATATCTGTGGCAAGACGTATCCCACGATGGTATCCTTTGCAGAACAGTTCCGTCAATGGGCCACTAAGACCAACTTAGGGCACACTGCACTCATCGGTTACATCGCTGAACACCGAAGCAAGGACGTACGCCAGGCAATGGTCACACGAGACAGTCTAGGAATTTCTGACCCCATCACATGGCCAGAATATCTCGACCTATGCCTTCAATTAGAGTCCAAGTTCAGAGCCGACAAGGCAGGACAACGTGGAACGGTTACGACATCATCATCATCGGCATCACGGGCCTCGAAAGACCCCAACGCAATGGTCGTGGATCGAGTATCCACCCTCACCAAGGAACAAGAAGGATGGCTGGAGAAGAAGCTGTGTGTACGATGTGGGAAACACCCCTTCGTTTTTAAACAGCGATGCCCAGACCCCAAGTACAAAGGCAAATTCGAAATGCCGAAGCGGGGACAAGCAGCAAGGGCAATTTCTTCAAACGTGGCCTCAGACATCTCCGACGACAGCAAGGCGAGATATGAAGCAGTCCGTGCTTTCATCGCCAGCTACGACACGAAGGGAAAGGAAAAGGAGGC